AGCTCAACGAGTCTTTCTTGCTTGGAAGAATTGAGCAAAAGATGCGTCTCACGAAACTGGCGACTTTCGATAAATACGAGAAACAGGTTAAAGAAAAACTACAGAGAGAATTCACTGCTTTGACGTTTGTGAATGGCGAGCCTTTAGAGCCAGAAAACTACCACCCTAACTCAACTGGTAAAGTTCAGCATAATCGTGTAAGCTCGCAGCTTGCCAACGAAGTGTTGAGTGACGAGGTAGAACAGTATAATGAATACCTCAGAACAGTGAACGAGCTGATCGAACTACCAAGACTACGGCTGTTGAGCAACCTCAGCAAGTCATGGATCTTCAGAGTTAAGGCACACAGGCAAATAAGCGAGTCTGGACACCTTAAACGTCTCGCTTCGATCAGGGGAGGTGAAGACCCGCCTGTTTCTGCCAAATTCATGGACAAGTATCCGGTGATCACAGCATGTTCGGTAGCACCTCTTTTTTCCGTGGAGTTGGCCAATTTGCGCTGGGACCTTTCGGAGCCTTCGTTCGGGCTTGACAACTATAAGCACTTTCTGCACCAAATAGGGCAAGGGATGCCGTACGATATGGAGTACGGTATTTTATTCCCTGTTAACATGCACATCACCTGCTCGCGTCTGACGATCCAGCTCAAAGACTACCCAATCCCATTTATTTCGTTTGGCGGTGGCGACGGAGACACTCCGCAGACGGTGGAATTCAAGGGCGACTTTGTCATTGCAGAGCAGATGTACGTGGCTGAAGAGCTACGGTACAATTTTGTTCCCTTTGTGTCCCAGTACAAGGACCCGAATTGCACAGATAACATGTTTGCCTCGCATGTTTCAAGAACGATGACCAACGTCAAATTCTACACAGACATGAAAGTACACGTGAACTCCTCGAAAAATGCGATTGTTTCGTGGTACTCGGCAATCCAGCCGGCATTGCTGTACGCGATGGACAGTTTTGATGTTTTATCCAAGCCTCCTCTCGATCCTAGTCCAAAGCTAGGATTCTGGGACAAGTTCGCGCTCTTGCTGCACGCGAAATTTCATTTCACTTTTACCAACGGCATCCACCTATTCATAAAGAGCAAGAACTCGCCTTATGATCTTATGGGTCAAGGAGGCGGGTTTGTGTTCAGGTGGAAGGATAAAGTAGACCTCAAAATCAACGGCACCGGGCGTCCCGATGAGCTGCTGGTTGTCGAGAGCAAGGAATTCGATGTGGTGATTCCTCGGTTTAATCGCAGCAACCTGACGTACTTGCTGGATGATAAAAATCCCTACGAGCTGGATTACATTACTGAGAAGAAGGTGTGGAAGTTGTCAAGCCAGCCGATCATCTGGAAGCTAGGGTTCCTTTTTGAGCGCAACGAGAGCCCTGCTGGAAAGTACGTTCCAGGACAAGTCAAGCGGACCAACAACTTCAAGCCTCATTACGAGGTCCGTCTACGCAACCCTTCTACCTTCACAACCAAAGAAGAACTAGAGTCTTGGAACTCTTATGAAGGCTTCCGAAGCCACTATATCCATATGTGCGTTTCGTTGGAATCAGACTCCACCGAGGCTAATACCTACAACAGCATCCATCTTACTCCGCTTGCGTTCTCTCACTTCTTCACATGGTGGAATACGTTCCAGAGTAGCTTGGGTCTGCCAATCAAGCACGGAAAGATGTTCAAGAACAAGTTCCTGGATTATAGGCCATCTCCGAAGTTTGGGAAGCATCTGTTTTCCATTAGTTACTCACTCAAACTCAAACCGCTATACTTGACCCACGTATACATCCATCCTACAGACATCCGGGCCAACAGCAACCTCGCGTTCACAGGACTCAAATGTTCCATCGAGAGCTTTGCGCTGGATCTCCACCAGCTCAAGTGTCCAACCAGTGCTTCTGATAACCCCGATTTCAGTCTCCAGTTCAACCAGGGTGAAGTTGATTTTGTCAGTACGGACTTGCGGCTGCTGGTGGCAGAATTCAACGAGCGCAGTGCAGTAGGTATGCTTGCACGTGAGATAGGTATCACAGAATCCAGTTCTTTCATGGACTCGTCGAGCTCGTCCGTGAGCGAAAGGCCTACCGCAGAAGATGTGGTGTGGTTTGATATGGACGACTTTGTCGAGGTGGATACGCCGAAAATCAAACCTAAGAATCCTCGGTGGAAAGCTACTCCGCTAGCGTCCTCCACTCGTTTCTGCTACTTTCTCCAGGAAAAAGAGCCAGAACTGCAATATAGTTTTGCGGCCATTCAGGAACGGACACACGACTGCTTTGTTGGCAAGAACCATCCGGAACGAACACCTTTTGCTGTTGCTAACAAACGCGCGGCAGAACTCAAGGACCAAATCAAAACACACGAGACCTCCTTGGAGTCTTTGCAGAGCAATCCAGAGAAAAGCCAGGTTATTGCCAAGCGCATAGAGGAGCTGGAACGGGAAATCAAAGATCTGTACACCCGTCTGCACGTGACTCGTTGTTTAAGGGACAGTTTTGAAGCCGGAATGATCCCTGACTACGATGAGTTTTTGGACGAGAACGATGCTTCTGACGTGGAAACGTCGTACACTGTTTCAAGGATAAATTCCAAAATATCGCGCAGATCGTCCAATCCAACCGTGAAAAGCACTGCTCCTTCGTCTCCACCAGCGTCGTCGTTCAGAAACCGATTCATCATCTACCATGTGGTATTCAGATGGAGCACGCATACCAGGAAGAAGTTCTCGAGCTACATCGATAACGTGTCTGAAAGAAAGTCGCTGGTGTTCAACTTGAGTCGCAGAGCAATCAAGCTTGCCGAGGAGCTGTATGAAAGTCAGAGTTTGCCGCGCAAGGCAGGCAGCTTTGATGATCGCGGCTCGCTGGACATGGAGTCGTGTTCGAACTTCTACAACTTCGAACGCAAGCTGAGAGAATCCGATGAGCTGGAAGATGTCAATTTTGAGGATACCTATCTGCTCAAATTCATTCTTCCGCAGCTCTGTTTTGACACGGAGATGAACAGTGCCGTGCTCGTTACGTCAAAGGAAATTACGGTGAGCTCGGTTTCTGTTGATTTCAAGCCGCAGGACGACGAGGAACGGATTCCTGTTGAAAGTAGGACCGGAATCATTCTGCGGGATGCATTTTTCCATGTTCTCGACAAAGACAAAACCCTGAACGGGCAGTACAAACTGTTCTGGTCTCAGTCCACTTGGCCACCACAGCTGCCTGTGGAAATGTACTACTGCTCTAACTTGTTAGCAAACACAATTGTCATTTGGAACGTATCCATGGGGCTGATCTTCATCAAGCCTAACAAGCTTAGGTACATGAAGACTGACGAGTGCAACGTGACTAAATTCAGAGAGCTGATCCAGGTTATGACACCGGAGGTTGTGGTCACTGCAAATAGTCAACAATACAACGTGATCTACAATCTGGCCATGAGTTTTATGGACTCCAACATGACGGAGAAGAAAAAGCAGAAGGAGAAGGTGAAGAGCCTTGTGAAATTCTCAATTTCTGAGGACTTTGAAGTCATCAAGTTCCGCATGCTCGATCTGCAACAGAAAGCGTGGCTATTGAGCGAGTGTAAAAAATTCATGTTGATGATGCACGGTAATGCGCCAGACCAAGACGACGTCTTGCAAATAGATGTTGAGCTCGAAAAGATCTATCTCGAACTCGGAATGCTTGTCTCTTATCTTCAACATACAAAAGCCATGAAGTACAATGACTCGTATGAAGAACGGCAGTGGGTGCTGAATGCGGATCACATTCGATTGGAACTTCTTGATAGCGAGGATAAGAAGTTCATTGTTGTTGAAGCTAAGCAGTCTTGCTACCAAACAGAGCAAAGGCCCGACGGGGCAAGCAGAAACAGGGTGCTTATTCAGGACTTTGTCGCAGAAGACCTTCAACCTCACACGAATTACAAGACCATCGTTGAGAAGGTCCACAAAGAGGGCTCCTCCGACATGCCTATGGTGTTTGTGGACTGGAAAATGCTGGAGGCAGTAGGAGGCATACCCATTGTGGAACATAAGTCGATCACATTTGCTCCTCTGAAAATTGAAGTGGACTTTAAAACGGCTGTGGAAATTTACAGGTTCGTGTATCCAAAACAGGTTTTAGTGGACGACACGGAGTCGAGTGACGACGAGTCGTCGTCCATGGCGGACTCGTTTAGCCCAGAAATCCCGTCTTCGCGAACGAGTTTGGATTCATCAAACTCTATTTTCTCTGACCAGTCAGAACATAGTGAGGGAAAACTGAAAAGGATGAGTCGGATGCTGTCAATCAAAAAGCATGATCGAGAAGGCAGTCCGACCTCTGTATCTGAATTCAGCACAATCCAATTCACCTGTCACAGAAATAACGAAAACACAGAGGAAAAACAGTACATTAGCCAGATGGTGGAACGATCGAAGAAGTACCAGCTTCTCAACAGAATCACCATCAATCCCCTACACCTGGTACTTAGCTTTAAGGGACAAGGGTCGTACAAAGTTGTGGATGTTCACAGACTCCAGCTACAGATGCCAAAAATCGAATACACCAACAAGATGTGGTCTGAAGAAGATTTCTTCCAGCATTTCAAAAAAGACGTTGTGCGACTAATTCTCAGGAATACGGGAAAGATCATGGCGAATAAAATCACCAAGCGACAAAAAAAGAGTAAGCTGCATCACCTGCTGAGTTACAAAGATGAACTGCAGAACGAATTGAGTCGTCGTACTCCTATTTCGTCTTCATCTACTCCGAAGTCGCATTCGCACTTGCACCGACAAGCAGACCATTCTGGACACTGGGAGGACCCGGATGTGTTGGAGCCCCACAGATACGAGCGGCCATTGATTGATGAAACTTCAGGATCGGAGATCCAAAACTTTGAGCCACTGGAGGAAATTTCTGAGGAATCTGTGTAAAACTTATATATTTATACTCTAGAGCTGGGCTGTGCGTAAGTAACCCTAATAAAATAGAGAGATAATAAAATATCACGTCAATAATTGCTGATGGACTTCTTTAAGGACATTGTTTCCAAAACGCAGACAATCTTGGATGGGTCGACATCGTCGAAGCGACTGGGAAAAGACGAACTTCTATGCGCAGAATTTCGGCTCCCTGAAGGCGAGCGAATAGTGGACGAGGCGTCCGTCGAAGTGGTCCTTAGCCCTCGGCACCTGGGCCAGCCCCACGCTTCGGAGAGCTCGGTCGTTGTTTTCAGCGGAAAACTTACCTTGACAAACAACTTTCTTACATTCAAAGATTCCTACGACCCTGTGGCATGTTCATTCGTGATTGAGCTGCTAATGATACAGAAAATCCAAAGACTTCATCGTTCCTTCGATTTTACAATTCAGTTGCATACAACCAGTGATTTGGAGTTCACCATACAGTTTTTGGGCATAAGGTCACAGGCAGAGCGTTTCGGACAGAACTTGACACGGTCTCTCAAACAAAATGTCAATGAAGTGTCGAGAATGAACTTATTTTTGATGGGACTATATTCCGAGTATCTCCTGTACAAAAACAAATCATCCAGACTGAAGATAGATGCGCCCCCAACTGGAGGGCTTGGATGGGTGTTCAAGTTTCCTGGGAACGCGCAGAAAATGAATGACAGACTAAAAATGAAAAAATGGTTTGACTTCTTTAGAGAGTACGGACGCAATTTCGCATTGATCAAAAACATACCATTCTACAGGCTTGTCAGTTACGGTCTGCCAAACAAGCTGCGAGGAGAATTATGGGAGACATGTTGCGGGTCGATATACCTTCGATACAAGTATTTCGACGAGTACAACAAACTACTGGTGGACTTTGACGGTATGAAATCTTTTGCAATTGAGGAAATCGAAAAAGATCTCAACAGGTCCCTACCTGAATATCCAGCATACCAAACGGAGGAGGGCATCAACAGGCTTCGAAGAGTGCTGACCGCTTATTCTTGGAAGAACCCTGATATTGGATACTGCCAAGCTATGAATATAGTCACGGCTGCCCTTTTGATTTACATGTCTGAAGAACAAGTTTTCTGGTGCCTCTATGTTCTCTGTGAGAGAATCATTCCAGGGTACTACTCACAGACAATGTACGGCGTTTTGCTTGACCAGAAAGTTTTTGAGGCTCTTGTGAAGAAGACGATGCCTATACTTGGAGATCATTTTGCCAGACAGGATATTCAACTATCCATTGTTTCTCTACCGTGGTTCCTTTCATTCTTCCTCAACACTATGCCGCTGGTATTTGCATTCAGAGTTGTGGACATGCTGCTTTTGCATGGCCCAAGAACATTGTTCCAGGTTGGCCTGGCGATTTTGAAAGTCAATGGCGAAGCGTTGTTAAATTGCGAGGACGACGGCGAGTGTTTAGCGGTCTTCAAAGATTTTTTCATGACGCTTGACGATCCAGAACCTTCTCTTGTGAACCCTGAAAAGATGAGAAGCAAGTTCGATAACTTGTGGGAAGTCGCATTTCGGGAATTCTCCGTGATCGACGAAAAGTTGATTACGCAGTACCGCTCGAAACACAAAAATGAGGTGTTCCATGGAATAGAGATTTTTGTGAAAAGGGCTGCTATTAGAAACTTGCCCAAGACTCCTAACTTGAACAACGAGCAACTGTCCAACATTTACGACCGCTACTACAATGCTCTGATTTTGGAGAACAATGCTGCTATCGGCAGAGCCAATCTCACAATGGATTACAACTCGTTTGTAAAATTCATGGCTCATTTGGTTGACTGGGTTGATCCCGACACAGATCCAGCCCAGGCTCTGTTTCTACAAAGGCTCTTCACTGCATGGTCTAAAGGCGAAGACCATCTCACTTTGGAGACTATCGTTCTTGGTATCAACAAACTGATTGACAAGGATATCATGAACTCGCTCTCCAACTTCATTGAGCTATACGATGATGGGTCAGGCAAGATTCGTAGCGAATCTGTTCTGCAACTTGCAGAGGATCTCATTTTTGTGACAGCTCCGTGGAGAAACGGATATATTTTTGACGATATAACCAACAAGGAGATAGAAACCGAGATTGCAAAGAAAATTATTGAACGGAAAAGACTTCTCAAAGAGCAAGGATTAGACGCCAACGATGAGGAGATCAAGCTTCCGCAAGAAGTTCGTTTTAACGAGGAGAAATGGAAGAACAAACAGAGCGAGAGATATCTCGCTTCAAGCTCCAAATTCTTAAAAATGGCATTCCAATATGCTCAGGAAGAACAGGATCCACAGGCCCCTCTTATCGATCTGGAAGATGACGAGTCAGAGAAACTCAAACATAACAAGGCTCTTGATCCCTCCAATCCAACATATATCACGCCATCTACTTTCAGAATGATTATTTTGGCGGACGACACGTACGAATCATTTTTCCAACATGACTTTTGGAAATCGTTCCATGTCAACGATAAGGTGAACAGAAGCCTTGGTGTGGTAAACAATTTGCGAGGCATTTTCACCAACTTCTTAGCCGACGGCCGCAGGGTGGCCAACGAGGTGCGCAAGAGAATGGATGACGCTACAAAGTCGGTTGCAACATCTGAACAGAGCTCTGTCACCACAAGAACTTCGCGAGCACAAACAATGTCATCATACAATGAAGAAGATGAGGATGACTTTGGCAACTTCCAGTCGCCCTTGAACGATGTTTTCAACGAACTATCGATAGGCGGAACTAAAGAAACACAGGAAAGTAAGGAGAAGAGTCCGGATCAATAGTGTTCATTGTATTATAGATTAGTTGCATATATGTATAATATATTGCATGCTCATTTGTGCTTCTAGTGCTTGGCGTTCTTGCCAAACAATTTGCGGAGCTTGCCAAATCTCTTCTTCTTCTCTTCAGGAGCCTTGCCTTGTGCAACCTGCTCACTAAAGAACCTTTGTTGTGCTGGCTGTTGCTGCTGCGTCCGCGGTTGCTCTGCACTAATACTTCTCAGTGTGTTCCGAGATGGTTTGCCGTTGAGTTGTCCGTTTCTTTCCTCAGCGTCGGAATCATAATCGTCGAAACGCGATTTGTATGGGGCCTGATATATCTGTGCTTGTTGTTGTTGATCCTGAGCAGATGCAAAAGCGGGATCATCTCTCAACGTGAACCTGTTGGCTCTTCTGGCCTCCTGGTTCTTTTCAAAAGATGAGGTCCTCTCAAGCTTCATACCAACCTGTTGTACATATTGAACATTAAGAATAGATTCGCGGCGACTTTTTCTCTCGTTGGCTTTTTTGTAAAGCTCAGCCGCACGCAATTGAGCTTCTGACTTTGGTGCAGCCTTGTACTCGTGCTTCTTTGTCGGAGTGGCCTCAAAGTGTTGCGGATTATGATGTTGTGCGGCTCGCGTAGCTGCTGCTAGATGCGCTGGAGTTGAGCTGTTGGACGGCAGACCGCCAACAGAGTCACGCCTGCCTCTTGGCGGGGTCGCTTGGGTTGTGCGCAGACTGAGCCGCATACCTTTGTGCTCGTTAGGAGGTTGCCTGGCAACCCTTTCTGGCTGGGGAGCTCTCTTATGCGATGGAGATGCTCGTGGTTGCTGCGACAGATTGAGAGACGAAGACGAAGCCATTGCGTTCAGTCTCGTATTCTCTGCTGTGGCCAGCGAAAGGTAGGCAGAGGAAGAAACAGACACATCATTCACCGACAATCTAGAAGAACTGTTGGTGTTTTTAAGAACCGACTTTCTCTTTTGTGTCTCAACAGGTCTAGGCACTCTTTCCGCCGTAGCACTTAAGGAGCCATCAATGTCTTCCAATCTGCTGATGGATGGTCTCTTGGGCGAGCGAGCCGGAATATCTGGATCGCTGGCTGGCTGCGGCGCAGCGGAGATCTGCTCCTCTGACGACCTCTGGAACCCAAGTGTCGGTCTCAGTCTTTGCGCCATCGTCTGGCCCATGTCCTGTGTGGTATTTGAAGTGGCAGTGTCGCTTTCCTGGAACGTGCGGTCAGCACTAGCGTCTGTCACCAAAGACTCATCTGCATTTTCTGTAGTTCCCGAATGTTCTTTCGCGTCTAGATTCTCAGTAAAACCACCCGTGTATCCATCGACCAAAGCAACCTCGTCATAGCCATTGGAGGATCCTGAAAGAGATGCCTTAGAGAAACTCGACGTGTCCAGCGGATTTTGAATGGAAACCGACTCGTTGGACACGGATACCAATGAGTGGGCAGCTTCCAGCTCCTGTTGTTGTAGCACAGATTGTAGTATCTCCTGCTCTTTCTGCCTGACTAGTTCCTCCAGCTTCTGTTCAGCTAGCTCCCGTTCATCTTCAGGATAATGATTAGTCTCCTCCGATGGAACGTCATGTGTCCCTGCAGGATCAAGCTTCACATCAATGGTATCAGATCGAGGCGGGACATTATGCTCTGCAGCTTCTTGCCTGTCCTCAGACTCGTTTTCCACAATAGTAGGACCAGCGGACATTTGAGTCTTTTGCGTATACATGCCCTGCACACTTTTCTTTTGTGAGGGCAGTGGACCTGACTTTGCTGCAAGTCTCTGGTTTCTAGCCCGACTCGATAAGGAGTTCATGGATGCAGAACGGGCCACTATTCTGCGGGCATTGGCAGATTGCTGGGCGGGTTGGTCTGCAGGAACTTCAATACAAACAAGACCGTGGGCTGATGGAACCCATTTTTTCACCGTATGTGGCGTAGCGGAGGCAGCCGAAGACTCCATGTCAAATCCTTCGTAATGCGCGCTGGGTCCATTGAAAGAGCCCTTATGACGAAGGGGCTGTTGAGTGCGAGGCCTGGCGCCTGTCAAACTCTGTGCACGCTTCGGTCCCGCATAGGACGACCTTAAAGGTCTTGTTTGTGCGACTGGCGAACTTGGAATGTTTCTGAGACTGCCTGACCGTACAATATGCCTGCTAGTGTTCGAAGTGATACTAGAGGCGCGCGTGGAACCCAAGAGACTTGCAGCACGATGTGCCTGTGAGTTTCTTTGTGGTTGCTTAGGTAGATTCAAAGGGCCCGGTTTGTGGTCGTTCTCTTTTAAGGCCTTGCCAATCACCGTAGCTGCAGCCAGTGCTCCCGACGTTGGGGCCGCCGGAGGCTGCTGAGCAGGCCTCGAAAGTCTTCTAGAGGAAAACATATTCGAGTTGTTTCTGCTCTTGCTCCTTTCAAATTCCCAAACCTTTGTTTTTCTGCAAGGTGAAACTAGCTTAAAAGGTTATGAGCACCCATACAGATCTATTTATAAGGGCTGCAGATCGAGGGATAAAAATCTTGATCTTCTTCAATAATGTCAACTCAGTTGTTACGTGTCAATGCTCTCGAATTCGACCTCGACGGTACCATCGTGGACTCCACGGAGGCCATCGAAAAGTCGTGGGCCGATCTTTTGGCCACCTACCCTCACTTGAACGAGGACGGAGACTTCTTCCACAAGGCTCACGGGGTGAGAGTGAGTGATGTCTTCAGAAAGTACCTTTCGGACAAGTTCGAGAACGAGCAGGCTCTAATTGATGGCGCTTATGACTTTGACAGACTTGTGTCGGTGACCTACGGAAAACTGAACTACCCGATCAAGGGAGCAGGCGATCTTTTCAAGGAGTTGCACAAGCTCCCTGGCAAACCATTCTGCATTGTCACTAGTGGCTCTTCAGTTTTGGCACACGGACACTTCCAGAACGTGTTGCATGAGGCCGGTGTTGAGAAGCCCGACATTTTCATCGTCGCTGAGGATGTGAGTGTCGGAAAGCCTGATCCCGAAGGTTACAAAAGGGGCGTCCAGCTGCTGAGCGAAAGACTGGGATACCCAATCGAGAAGGTTGTTGTGTTTGAAGACGCTCCTGCAGGTATCAAAGCAGGTCTAGCGTCTGGTGCTACCGTGGTTGGTATTGCTTCTACATTTGATGCAGAAAAGCTGTACGAGAACGGCGCCAACTACGTCATTCAGGATCTTTCCAAAGTGAAAGTCAAGTCCTTCAAGGACAGGGTGATCGAATTGGAGCTCGAAGTTATCGACAGGAAGAACTGAGTTGTCTGTCTTTGTTCTCCTGCAACCGTCCCATCGGCAAAAAAAAAGAAAGTTGCTTCCCTACGTCATATGACGTCATAGATATTTTTTTTTATAGAGATTTATAAACTATTTACAGGCGGTTCTTTTTCTTTTTGATGTTCCTCATACCGTTCGTAGAAGTGGTGCATTTCAAACAAGACCTCGATCATAATAAGATAAATCACAATCCATTCTAGCCTTGTGCCTTTTCGGGTAGTTAGGATGTCAAGCAGAGCTCGTGCTTCGTCCGAGCAATAATCCAGCTTCCGGTTGAGAATGCTGATCCGCGTATTCACATCCAGGATTCGAGAAACGTGGTTGTAAATTTTTTCCAAGTTTGGCTCTGTCCAGTACAGATCTGGTGTCTCAACCAGCTCAGAGTAGAGATTTAATTTTCCGCGTAGCAGCAGCAGTTTTCCAGACGACTGTAACACTTCCCGCGCACCGATTCCTAGCTGCTTTCCCTGTGACAAATTTTCCGTCGTATTTCTTGTCAGCTGGATATGTTTTTCTAGTGACGACTCCAGCACTGCAAGCCTTGTTGATCTCGATATACCGTAGGAAAATGCTAGTTTGTCCAACATTTTTTGGCGCGGCTCGCCCTTGATGCATATGATTTCGTGGTCTATCGTGGACGTTTGGCCCTCTTTTTCCTGCCCTGACTCATATTCTATGTAATCCAGATCTTCTGTTTGAATCTCATAAGGGGTGTTCATGGAGCTCCGCAAAAGAGGCAAGACTTTATCAAGGACATCTTGCTCTGGCATTCCCCACGAGACCACAGTTCCCGAGTGTAGCACGAACACGTCTATGCTGACGGGAGAGTCTTTGATTTGATAGTGGACCGCCTCGTTGCGCACAATTTCTTCCGCTTCGATGTGGTGCTCGGAAAGAACGGAACGCACATTTTCTAAATCTAAAATCTCGCATGCAGTCACAGCAACACAGGGGCGCAAGGGAAGGCCATGGTGGGAAGATTTAGAGCGCTCGTCAGGAATCACATAAGACTGGCTCAATAATGAGTCGTTAGGGGCACGGCGAATCACCTTGCGTGCAGTGGGGAGGGAAGTCGCCATCATTCGACGCCACCCGAGAGGGGGCACGCAAGCACGGTAGTTATTCAGGCCCCGGATGGTCACTTTAGGCACCAGTCGTAACGTGGTTCTGAACATGTAAGAAGCTTAGACGCAAAAATTATTTCACGAAATATTGGTCGACGCGTCGATATAGATTACAATCTTTCGGCTGATGAAAGGCTTGATTTAGCATGCCTAACTAACATAGAAGGTGTCTCCATGAGGGCCCAGCTACATACCTTGCTTGCAAGTCAGCTTCTGGTACCGCAACAGCAGTTTTGTGCGCAATTGCCAGCACACTTCCTTTTTGAGCAAACGCGCTAAAATTTCAGCGCCCCCCGCTATCAGAGGAGCTCAGCTTATCGCGAAAAGCCAATCGAAAATTTGGATTACTCATTATGTTGTCACAGTTCGTCGCCCAGTACTACGAAGAGCTGATTACGGCCACTCAGGCCGCCCTGATAAGCTATGCGATCTACTCACTTGTACTTTATCCTCTGTATTTCCACCCGCTAGCGGCAATTCCTGGTCCTAAAATATGTGCATTGACTAAATACTGGATTCTTTTTGTCAGCTGGTCAGAACACCGAAACAGGTACGTTCACCATCTCCACAAGAAGTATGGGCCCATAGTGAGGGTTGCCCCCGAAGAGATCGATATTTCTGACCCCGATTATCTCAAAGATATCTATATCAATAATTTTGACAAGACCAGTTTCTACACACAGTTTGCCAATTTCGGCTCTTTCAACACTTTCTCCACTGTCGAGAAAAAAACTCACAGAGACAGCAGGAAGGTCTCCGCCAAGCTCTACTCCAAGTCTAATGTTGTTTCCGAGCCGTTTCAGGCAAAAATAAGGGCTGTGATGAGCAATCTCCTCAAAATGTTGGAGCAAAACCAGGACAAACGGCTCAATACGTTCCAGTTGTGGTCTGTCATGGCAATGGACACCATTACCAGCTTTTCGTTTGGAAACAAGGTTTGCAAGTCGCTGCTGGACGATTTTTTTGGGCAAGGAGAAGCAGTCATCAAAGCTTTCATGATCCAGTCGTCTTCGTGGTTTTGGACTACACAGTTACCACAGCTGTACGATTTGATGGTTCCTTCGTACGTTAGAAAGGCATCCAAAATAGCATGTGACTGGATCAATAGCCAGTTCAACGAGTGTTTGGAGAAAGACCCAGGAAATACAGACACACTGGTTGGTGTTCTGATGGGGACGAACGGCGAAAAGCTATTCGACGCTCGTCGAGCAAGGTCCGAAATATTCGACCACGTTGCTGCTGGCCACAACACCACGGGTACAACCCTTAGTTACGCTTTCTACGAGCTGGCACGGGACCCCAAAAAACAGGAAAGACTCAGGGCCGAGCTAGCTGGTCTAAATGGAGGCAACCTTGCAAGCACCAATCACCGGTCGCTGCTATATTCCGACGTCGAGGAACTTCCATATTTATCTGCATTCACGCAGGAGGTGTTCCGTATTTATGCCGCCATCCCGGGCCAGGAGCCTCGTCGTGTTCCTAAAGGGGGCTTCCACTGGAGAGGTTCCAAAGAAACTTCATCGACATTCATTCCCGAAGGAACTGTCGTTGTCATGCAGCCATGGTCATTACACCGCGACCCAACCGTCTTTGAACACCCCGAAGTGTTCAATCCAGACAGATGGCTTGTTGATGACGACCAAAAAGTTAAACAAATGAACAGACAGATGATGCAGTTTGGATCTGGCTCCCGTATGTGTCTAGGACTGCATATTGCCACGTGCGAGATCAAACTATGTGTCAGCAATGTGATCAGCAGATACGAAGTGTGTCTAGTTGATGGGTATGACTACGAAGCCAACGCACAAATGAGAGATATCTATACAACGATTCCGAGATCTGGAGACATGCCTCTCAAATTCAGGGCACTGGTGGTGTAGAGTTGTGTATAAAGGGTAGACATACTTTATCAGTCGACACTTACGTAAGGATCAGCGAAATAAATTTGTGAAAAATTGTCTTTGTGAAAAATATGTCTGGGTTCCCTGATTTAGCCACAGATGCTGTTTTGAAGCAGTCAGTGCCCGTCCCCGAGCACTTTCAGGAAGTGAAGGGTGTTGACTATTCGAAGCCCGAGAGCCGCAACGCCCGCGCCTCGGACCTCATCGACTCCATGAAGACCATGGGCTTCCAGGGCTCTTCTCTGGCCAAAGCTTGTGAAATCATTGACGAAATGAGGACCTGGAGAGGTAAACACATTTCAGAGCTTGCCGAGCATGAGCGTAAAGGAGAGTTCGACGAGAACGGGTACCAAAAAACGACCATCTTCATGGGGTACACCTCTAACTTGATCTCCTCCGGTCTCAGAGATACCCTACGGTTCCTGGTACAGCACAAGATGGTGTCCGCCATTGTTGCATCAGCTGGAGGAATTGAGGAGGACTTGATCAAATGTCTTGCTCCAACTTACATGGGCGACTTTTCTCTGCCTGGAAAACAGCTTAGAGATGACGGTATGAACAGAATTGGAAACCTGATTGTGCCTAACGACAACTACTGCAAGTTTGAGGAGTGGATTGTCCCCGTTTTGGATAAAATGCTGGAGGAGCAGGAAGCTTCTGCTGTCAAAAACGGTGCCAACGCTCTGGACGCAGATGTCCCTTTCTGGACCCCATCCAAGGTCATTGATCGCTTGGGACAGGAAATCAACGACGAGACGTCCGTATTGTATTGGGCCCATAAAAATCAGATCCCTATCTTCTGTCCTGCTTTGACCGACGGCAGTATTGGTGATATGCTTTTCTTCCATACTTTCAAGGCCTCTCCTAAGCAGCTGAGAATCGATATCGTTCAGGATATCAGACGCATCAACTCTTTGTCCATGGAGGCCTCGCGCGCAGGAATGTTGATCCTTGGAGGTGGTCTGATCAAGCACCATATCTGCAACGCTTGCTTGATGAGAAATGGAGCAGACTACGCTGTCTATATCAACACCGGCCAGGAGTTCGATGGCTCGGATGCTGGTGCTCGTCCCGATGAGGCTGTGTCCTGGGGAAAAATCAAAGCCGATGCTAAGAGCGTCAAGGTTTTCGCCGATGTGTCATTGGTGTTACCGTTGATTGTGGCTGCTACTTTTGCGAAAGAGTAATGCGGTTATAATAAATAAATAAATAGACAAGGCTAGACTCGTTGCGTAACTTTGGCGTCCCATTCAGCAATTTTCGGCTTGGCGGTGTTGTACGTCACAAAGGCTCCTTTGGTCTGCGTGTAGTTGTAGTGGTGAACCTTATTCAGAGAATAGGTGATTGCTTTTTCTTCGGGCTTCAGTTTCGAAGGAGGCTTATCTGTTCCGTATGCCAACCAGTAGTGCCATCCAGGCTCAATGTGCGACACGTCGTAGTCCCAGAAGTTCTTGTACTCAACCCATCTTGTTCTCATATGAATTTCATCGGGGTCTTTGGTTTCGTAAAACTTATTCCCAAAATCGTCCTCGCCAACAAGAACTCCAGATTTTGTGTCATTGATCATAGCAATCTGGCGAAGAGACCTCTTGAGGCCGGTTCGCCAGATGTTTTTGACCGTCCTTGCGAAAGAAACAGACATGAAGATAATTTAAAAGTGGGGTACAGGTGTAAAGGTGCTCCACTGAACTTTTTTTATTTGATCCACCCGCTACCGGGCCGGTGAGTAATGTTACAGAGTGGAAAATTTTTCTCCAGCTTTTCTTAACCAATACTTTCCAACTCATCATCAATATGTACGTTGCCAGAATATCCAGAACCGCAGGCTCCAGAGCTGCTGCCGCTATATCTAGAAGAGCTCTCTCTAGTGCCACCAGATCTGTCAGACCAACCCTGGCCAGAACCCAAGTTTCTGGTGTCAGAGGTATCAAGAAGATCAACTTTGGTGGTGTCGAGGAGATTGTCCACGAGAGAGCTGACTGGCCAAGAGAGAAGCTGCTTGAGTACTTCAAGAACGATACTCTTGCTTTGATCGGTTACGGTTCCCAAGGTTACGGCCAAGGTTTGAATCTGAGAGACAACGGTTTGAACGTCATCATTGGTGTCAGAAAGAATGGTGCTTCTTGGAAGGCTGCCATTGAGGACGGATGGGTTCCAGGTGAGAACTTGTTTGACGTCACTGAGGCCATCAAGAAGGGAACCATCGTCATGAACCTGCTTTCTGACGCTGCTCAGTCCGAGACCTGGCCTACCATCAAGCCTTTGCTCACCGAGGGAAAGACCCTGTATTTCTCCCACGGATTCTCTCCTGTCTTCAAGGAGTTGACCCACGTTGTGCCACCTACCAACATTGACGTGATCCTGGCTGCTCCTAAGGGTTCTGGTAGAACTGTGAGATCGCTTTTCAAGGAGGGCAGAGGTATCAACTCTTCTTACGCCGTCTGGAACGACGTTACTGGTAAGGCCGAGGAGAAGGCCATTGCTTTGGCTGTTGCCATTGGATCTGGTTACGTTTACCAGACCACCTTCGAGAGAGAAGTCAACTCTGACTTGTACGGTGAGAGAGGATGTTTGATGGGAGGTATCCACGGTATGTTCCTTGCTCAATACGAGGTCTTAAGAGAGAACGGCCATTCTCCATCGGAGGCTTTCAACGAGACCGTCGAGGAGGCTACCCAGTCTTTGTACCCATTGATTGGAAAGTACGGTATGGATTACATGTACGATGCCTGCTCCACCACTGCTAGAAGAGGTGCTCTTGACTGGTACCCAGTCTTCAAGGACGCTTTGAAGCCAGTCTTCCAAAAATTGTACACTTCTGTTAAGGACGGCTCTGAGACCAAGAGATCTTTGGAGTTCAACTCTCAACCTGACTACAGAGAGAGATTGGAGGAGGAGTTGCAGACCATCAGAAACATGGAGATCTGGAAGGTCGGAAAAGAGGTCAGAAAGCTGAGACCTGAGAACAACTAATCTATGTACAGAAGGTTTGGTCCTGAAGGACTTGGGTTTTGATATTTATTCCTTTATAGGAACGGCATGTTTGAAGAATAAACAGTTCGAAATATGATAAAAAAACAATGTAGTTTTTCGACCCATTTTCGCTTCGCGGCTTGGGTAAAGAAATTTTTTGGACTCGAGCTGTAAAATTTCCCCATTCCCCGAAACCTGGTGAAGTTTTTAACTTTTCACGTGACATATGACAATTCTGCAAGATCTGGCGAGAATGGCAAGAATGGTATAAAACAGCCATTCTCGCCCCACTGCTCTTCTCCATAACTTTTCACAATGTCAATTCCAAAGCCAGACAACGGAACACTCAGACTCGGATCCATTGCTCCAGACTTCACGGCCGACACCTCTAACGGCCCAATTTCGTTCCACGAGTACATTGGCGACTCTTGGGCTGTTCTGTTCTCTCACCCAGACGACTTCACCCCAGTCTGCACCACCGAGCTTGGTGCTTTTGCCAAATTGGAGCCAGAGTTCGCCAAGAGAGGTGTGAAGCTCATTGGTCTGTCTGCTAACGGTACCGACTCTCACAAGGCCTGGATCAAGGACATTGATGAGGTGACCGGCTCCAAGCTTACTTTCCCAATCATTGCCGACCCTAAAAGAGAGGTCGCTTTGAAGTACGACATGATCGACTACCAAGATGCAACTAATGTCGACGACAAGGGTGTCCAACTCACCATCAGATCTGTCTTCATTATCGACCCAAAGAAGACCATCAGATTGATCCTGACCTACCCAGCTTCTACTGGTAGAAACACTGCTGAGGTTCTGAGAGTCATCGACTCTCTGCAAACCGGTGACAAGTACAGAGTCACCACTCCTATTAACTGGGTTCCAGGTGACGATGTCATTGTCCACCCAAGCGTCTCCAACGAGGAGGCCAAGACCTTGTTCCCTAAATTCAGAACTATCAAACCATACTTGAGATTGACCCCTTTGGACGTGTCTAAATAAGTATTTAGTAATGATGCTTTGATTTAATGATATTTCTACTTTATTTACAATCCCGAGCACAAAAGAAATTACGTGTAGTGGAAGTTTTTTTCTTCTAATTTTAGCCGTGATCTTGGATCAGAAGCCAAGAACCCTTTTTTTCTGTACTTATACCCATGAAAACAAAATCACCTTCGTCACGGGGGTCAGTGATAGACATCCTTGCGTGGATCGTTCTGCTGGTGACTTTGGTCTTTTTTGTGCTGACCCCGATTCTCTTAAATAAACAAGTCCCATCTTTGGTTGCTTTATCCGATGACCGAACCACCGATTCAGGGGTCGTCAAATTCCGCTTGATCAGAAAAGACGACAATAACAGTACGTCCAGCAGTTCCGGTGATTGGAACGACGGCAGCTCCACCGATTCAGGATCCTCGGAAACTTCCGATGATGATCCAACTTCGTCATTCTCTTACTTATCGTCGTCGTCGTCTTCCTCGTCATCGTACACAACAAATTTATCTAGCTCATCAGAGGAGTACAGCAGTACTCATAGCTCTAGCAACGAGCCATCGACCTCCCAGTCGTCGTCGATCTCGAGTACCGCTTCCACCTCATACACTTCTGATACACCCAATAGTCAAGCAACTATCTGGACCACGCAGAGTTCCTCGTCGGCATCTTCCTCGACAACGGCGTTTACTTCGAGCTTCTCATGGTCTTCGGACTCAGATGCTGACCAGTCGTCCTCCGATCAGAGCACTCAGAACGAGCCTTCATCCAGTGACCAGTATTCCTCGACCTCGAATACCCAGCCATCAGCCGCCGCATCGAGCTCAACCTCATCATCATCTAGCTCCACAAGCACGTCGCGTTCTGAGTCAACGACAGAGTCCTCATCGCCAACCGCATCATCTGTAGACGCTTCCTCCACATCCTCAGCGTCTTCTCAAACGTCGGAAGTCTCTGTGTCGTCGTCGACGTCTGTGTCGTCTTCATCCACAGTGGCTAGAGCCTCGTCGTCGCCCTCGTCCTCTGTAAACGTAAGCACAGATCGGTCTTCTGGTGGTCTCTCGTCGAGGAACAAAAAAATCGTGATTGGAGTGGTCATTGGACTTGGTGTGCCGCTGCTCCTGCTGCTCCTGCTTGCACTATTCTTCATTTACAAGAAACGGAGATCAAACAATGACTACTATGTTGACTCCAACGGCCGTATGGTCGGTCTGATGGAGAGCGGCTGGCTCTCGAAACTGGCATTTTGGAATAGAGACAAAAACAGGGGCGATTTCGGCGACGATGACGATGAGGATTTGAGCGGTTTCAACAAACAGTCAACAGGAGAGACCGGATTTGTGGTGAATAGAGCCAAGACTGTTAGACACACCAATCCCGGGACCACTTTTTAATTAGGGTAGGTTAAAGATTGCATTTATATAGCATAACGATATGAACTAGAGAATATAAAGAAGCACAGGCAGGATGGCAGCGAGGCTGACCTGGTTTCGCACGCCACCTCCCACGAAAGTCAGAACGGTATGGGCTGGTGTGGTTGATGGAGAGCTGGCGAAAGAGTAGTCTGCTAGGGACGACAAACTAGGTGCGTGTGATTGACTAACAGACTGCAGAGAGCTGCTGGTAGAAGGAGTCACAAGGGCAGAGTGAGCGCTGGTGTAAGTAGAAACAACTGTGAATATAGTGTTTCCCGAAGAAACGTAGGCTGAGGTAGAGCAGGAACAGTCCTCGGTGATGGTTTGTGTGGATTGGGTAGCTGGTGTTACAGACGTCTCCTTTTGAGAAGAAAAGGTGGAAGGTGACGGAGTCTGAGAGGAGGTACTGACAGTAGTGCTTTCTGGGGCTGATTCTGTGCTGCAGCTCTGTGTCTCCGTGACCGTGTCTCCGGTGTGCACAGTCGTTTCGTACGTGCTAGGTGTTTCTGGAGTGCTGGTGGTGATCCAGGTTGAAGCGAGCGTACTTGACTGGCTCTCAGGGGTAGAGGAGCTGGAGGCGGTGGTCACCTGTGGTGGAGCAGTGGATGAGGTTGGAAGAGTCTGTGTCGAGCTTGTGCTCCTGTCTGTTATTGAGGTGAGTGTCGACTGTGGTGTTGCAGATGATTGGTGGCTGGAGACAATCACAACCTCAGGGCTTGACGGTGGGCTTGTGCATATTGTGCACGTGGTCTCGGTGGTGGTTTGGAAGCTGGAAACAGCAAATGAGCACACATAATTGGTCACCACAGAGACGGTGCTCCAGTCGCTGCTGGAAATAGTTGTGGAATAAGTTGTGGTAACCAATGATCCGGAGCAGGGCTGTGTTGAGGAGCTGAAACTGAGGCTAGATGTGCTGCCCATTGACGAACTGCTGGTGCTGATTGGGGTCGAAAGAGGCGTAGTGGATGTGGACTGGCTGGAACTTCTAAACGTGGAGCTAGGAGTCGATGAGGTCGAAGTGGTTGCACTGGTACTTGAGGTAGAAACTGGGCTCGAAGTCTTGGGAACCACACTGCTTGAAGTCAAGCTTGTTGACTCGCTTGTTGTCGAAAATGTGGAGCTAGAGCTTGTGCGGAAACTGGAACTGGAGCTAGGAGAGCTAGAGCTGCTTGTGGACGAAGAGGTGGAAGTCGTAGTCAAAGAGCTGCTGCTGATTGTGGTCGAATGCGAGCAGAGAGAGCAGCTGGTGACCACATTCCGGTCCACGTCAACCTGAGCCAGGCCAACTTGTTGTTTGTCTAGATCAAACACCAAGTAAATGCTCGTAAGAAACGACTGACCCAACACGACAACGCTGTCAATTTGAGTCTCTGTCACTGTCAGGTAACAGGTGTCTGATTCCTGGAAAAATAGCTGATTTGCCTGGACTTTGATATCAGTGGTGCCAAAAACGAAGTTATAACTCAAGTCTGTGGTCTCAATTGTGCCACAGTCAACTGTCCACAAGCCACTGGCCTGGTCAACGCTGGCTCCCAGATCGTCCGTTATTTGTTGCAGAACTTCAGAAGGAACGTAGGAAAGAACAGAAGCGGTGTCGATATAGCCGGTCTGTCTACTCGCGAGCTTAGAGCCAGATGAGGTCTCAATTGTGTCCAGTGAAATAAAATATCCACCGTTTGTCTTGTCGGTCTGGTACTCAATCAGGTCGACATAGGTCAAGCTGCCGGAATAAAGAGAGCTGTCTGTGCCACCAAACTTGATCTTACCAGGAGATCTATTGTTTTGTAGCCAGATAGACACAATCTTGCTTGAAATTTGGCCAGCATTATAGAGCGCCTCAATAAACGAGCTCGAGCTGCCGAGTCCCAAAGATGCGCTGTAGCCTACCTGGTTGGTGGTGGCAACTCCAAATTTCAAGCTGTCGACTCCCAGTGATTCGAGGAACACCTTGTCCGAGCCATAAACACCTGACACAGTCATGTCTGTGACAAAGTCCTGGAAACAAAACTCCTCGGTCGAAGATACGAAAGTGTTTGATAAATTAGTGTTGAACTGGTCAGACCAGACCCAAGAGTCGTCTTGAGCCGAGTTGATAACGAACGAAAGGTTGGTGAAGTAGTCCCCTACAACACCTTCAACCTCATAGTAATTGCCCAGCCGATTCTGAATGGTCAGTTCGGTGCTGTCGCGCTTAGCGAGCGGAAATGCCTGCACAAGAGGCAGAAAAGTAACTAAATGAGCGAATTTCATGGCACTGGTCAATGACGCCGGAACCAAGACTTCTTGGTCTTTATATAATTCTGACAGGTAGTCTGAAACTTGTGGTTTGAATTCTATTATTGGAATCGGAGCCAGAAATAGTCAAGTTAGCTCTGGTACCTCATGTCAGACCAGATTCCTCGGCCAAATAAGGAAAACCGGCCATGTGCAAAGAGAAACCGGGCTCCAAAAAATTTCCCGTTCCATCCTTTCAATGAGCTGCAACGTTTGAAGTTTGTCTGACAGTCTCTCTCGGTTTGAAACATTCACTAGCCGGTCGCTAATTATTTTCAACGAAAATACAATAAATCTGATTTTTTTCCTTTTTGGGATTATCAATAGCTTTATTATCTAATTATCATTTAAAAATGTCTTTAGCTCATAACAATAATCAAATCCATCGCTGTCAGCAGGAAACCAGTTGCTGACTTTGCGCGTCCAGCGCTGATGTTCTAGTTTCCAGCTTCTGTATAGATCGTCCGATATGCGGAAGTGCTCGGCATGGGCTGTTTTGGCAGCATTTTTGGGCTCTTTCTTTCTCCTTGGAGGATCTTTAATGGTATCATCAAAATTCGCAAAAGGGTCATCTTCGTACTTGCCTGTCATGCTGACCCAACGAAGGTTCTCGTCGTCGTATACCATGTTTCCGACAACTTGCAAATTCTTGCTACTCTGACTTCGTGGCATCGAGGATTTTTTCAACAGCGCGGGCCTTCTAGACATCTGTGACTCAAACAGGCTCAAATCTTCCTCATTACCCTGCCATTTCATTTCTTCTGGATCGTAGACCATACCGCCCATAACTTGACGAGCTCTGGCGCGTCCCAAAGATCGGATCATCTTGAGCTTCCCTTCCTTCGTTAATCGTGTGCTATTAGTCACTGAAGGATCTGCAAACTGTGTACGACGAGAACGCGTATCCTTTTCGGCATATTTAGAAAGGTCGAGAGCGCGACTCTTGCGTTTCAGTTTTTTGTAATCGGATAGAGTGATGGTCAAGTCTTCTGGAGAATCGTCAATTTCGTCAAACTCTGGTGTATATTTCTTAACGCGCGTCGCCGGCATCAAGTCCATCGTTGACATAGTACGATTCAAAGAGCGCAAAAGATTCGAGCGAGGAATGTCCATTGTCGAGGACGACTTGCGAAGAGAGCGGCGACCGAATTGGTCTGAAAGAATCGAAGTTGAGGACTTGTTGCGCACTTTTTTCGGGCTCACCACCTTGAAATGACGAGTGTTGTGTGATGCTGATGGTTTGAAGTCATCGAACTCTTCTTCATAGGCACGTTTATCGTCCAGGTATAATCTGGAAGCGCGTCGCGTGAGATCTGCTAACTTCTCTGCCTGTTGGCGACGAAGCTCCAATTTTTGGGCCAAATTTATATTCTGCTCCAGATCATCAAAGTCTTCAGCATAGTCGCTGTGTTCTGTATCAGACTCCACGAACTGAGAGCTATTGGCGGATATGCTGCTGAATCCCGACGAGAGAGAATGGCTGCTTTGAGAGCGCAATGCAAATGTGTCTTTGTGTTCTCTTCTTTGCTTCAGCCGCTCGCCCAAGTCCATGTTCTCAAATTGCTCCCACTGGTCGTCTTCAAAATCATCATCTTTGTATTTTGCGAGCAGCTTGGATTTCTTGGTCTTCAGTAATCTTTGAGGCGCGTGTTCCGACTCTGTTTCACGTACCGTCGAAAGCTGCGATCTTCCAAACATGTCATCCAGCCGATGCTGGCTGAGCTGTGGGCGGAGTTGTTTGGCGTTCGGTTTGCGTATAACCGACGTTCGAAAATCGTCGTCCATGAATTGGTTACAGGTAAATAAAAACAGTAAATAAACACTAATGGCTGTGCCTCAGTGGCTAATGCAAAATATTTACAACTTTCCGCATACAGCAAGCTCAACATAATAATCCAAAATAATTCGTACATTTTGTTCTAATACACAAATAAACAACCTCAAATATTTATATTTGAGCAGTGACGTGTAACAAAACGGATTTGTGGACATGCTAGCGTCCAATAAAAGACATGGCATGGTTCTTTCAGGCTCTGCAAGCCCTACCGGGTCGCCTGCCCCAACCGTGCCTTCGTTCGGTTCTCATAAGAGAATCAGCAGACTTCCAACCAAATCAGGTTCTCTCTCGTTAAATGAGCTTCTGCAAGAAAACCGTTCTTTTGAGGTATACCAGGATAACCGTGGAGACACATTGAGCCGGCTCAGAGGAGCTCCTACTGCGGACAGAAAACGGGTTCTTGCGGAAACAACAATAAACAAGCTGTCAGAACGAGAAGACAAAAAAAACAACCGGTTATCTACCTTATCACTTGCTACCACCTCCTCGGTATCAACAAGATCCACTGGTTCGAGCTTGAAATCAATAGCTCATAGAATAGCAGGTGCTGTGAAGGGAGATGGTAAAGATGCGGCCGAAAACGCAGAAAACACTATTGTTGATACCCAAACAACTCCTAAAGATGATCCCGAGTCCCCGCAGCTCAAGAAAAAATCTTCTTTTCTAAGACTCAGACACTCTATTTCGCTAAGATCGCTTACATCCCGCGACGAAACTACGCTTTCTTCTTCCTCCTCTCGCAGACTTACCCTCAACAATTTGAGAAAATCATTCATTGGTGGTACCGCCAATAATTCCAGAACGTCGGTTGACATCTCTTTACCGGTGCCTAACCAAACTTCAAGGGACAAAATTAAAAACAAACTCAGAAACTCTTCGTCTTTGCTCTCGATTTCTTCTTTCATGTCTACAGGAAGCAGTCGCACTCGCTGTGAAAGCAAAGAGGTTTTTGCTATTCGTGCTGAAGAGTACGATTCTCTTCAGCACAAGTTACTTTTGAAGCTTTGCAATCAACAACGTGTTGTGTCCTTCAACGCGTTGATGAACAAGATGCTATCCAAAGCCAAGGTTTTGGAAAAACTCGCCGACTCTTCCTACAGTGAGGTGTTCCTTGAAAGAGACTCTAATACTGGGGAACCTCACAGCGTTTGGAAAGTTATTTCGTTTGGCGACGAGAATCTGAATCAACCAACACTGAAAGAGTTGATTCAGGAGCAAAGTATCACCATGGCCATGTCGTCTGTGCCGGGCTTCATCAAGATGAAATCTGCAACCGTTGTGAGAGGCCCAATGCCGTCCGAATTATTGCACCTGTGGGATAAGTACAATCACAAGTACGGCTCCAACAACGCGAGGCCAGATGAGTACTCCAAAAGTCAGCTTCACCTCGTTATCCGTCTGGAGTATGGAGGGCAAGATTTAGAACATTTTGAGCTCAAAAGTTGGACTCAAGCATTAGAAATATTTGTTAGAATTGTTGAGATTTTGAAGAGAGGACAAGACGCTCATGAATTCGAGCACCGTGATTTGCATTGGGGTAATATTGTCATCAAAGAACGGTCTGCCGGCAGCGCCGACGCTGCTATTCCTCAGGACTCTTTAGCTGAATTAACTCTCGATGAGCAAAGCTCTGTCGAAGTAAAGCTCATTGATTACACACTGTCTAGAGCCAGGATTGGTGGACAAACTATGTTCACAGGCCTTGATTCTCCTCACTTTTTCAAAGGCAAGGGCGACTATCAGTTCGATGTTTACAGACTGATGCGTCAGCAACTTTCCGGACAAAATGAAGCAGATATTGACTGGTCTGTTTATAGTCCATCTACGAACCTGCTCTGGCTCCACTATGTGGTGGACAAATTACTTCACCACAAAAAATTAAAGCCGTTGAGACTGAATCCGCTTACCAGATCCGCAAGCTATCTAAACATGAACAATTTGACGCAGGAAGCTGACAACTACGAACAGCTTGTTCAGCTTCACAAACTGTTGGATCCTACTCGCAAGAAACGCAAATTTGGGTCGCTTGATGGAATTCTGGAATGGATCAGATAATTTGGTATTTAAGTCATTGCTTTGGGATTAGTGGTGTATTGAGGTTTACTTTTTGATGTATTAATTAACTTTTTCTTTAGAAGGCGGTAGTGGTCCTGGCTCGGTGAGCAGTTTCACGAAATCCACCAGAATCCAAAAAACCCTGTTCACACAGAAACACCAAACGTAAATCCCCACAGAGCCTCTAGCTAAAAAGGGAATATTTATGATCAATGCGTCTATGACCCAAGGAAATGTGCCAGGTCTGGTGTAAAAAAGACTTCTGCGAGCGTACCATAGTTTTAATGCGTTGATGGGCAGCGTAGTCAATAATTGCAATGCTCTGGAGACGTAACTGTCTATAGATGATTTCTGGCCTGAGAGCGCGTGCTCTTCTTTCTTTATTTGCTCGGCCAGCGCATCGTATTTTCTGTTGAGTTTCGTCCATTTAGCGTAATTGTCTTGTGCGCTGATCGCGTTCCTTTCCTTGTTAACTGCCAACTGCTCTGACTTGAGTTTCATCAGCTTGTTATATTTTTCAGTCAAGAACAATTTCAAAAACACAGCATACACCGCGCCCTGGACCCTCTCCTTGGTCACAACCGACACCAGGTTCGACAGGATTGTCAACCCAGTGATGACCAAAAACAGTGTTTGCGATTGCATGGTGAAAATTTTGACCGCAAGATAAAATAAAAAAAAGTTTACAAGACTGTATACTCCTAAATGAATATCTCCAACGACTTAGAGTCGAACTCGAGTGAGGAGATGGACAGTTGGATCTCCCAGTATTGTTCAATCTTTGGCCACGACTACTTTGTGGAAGTCGCGCCTGAGTTCATCGAAGACGATTTCAACTTAACGGGGTTGAGCTCAGTTGTTCCGTTCTATAGAGAGGCACTGGATGTTATTCTGGATCTGGAACCCGAAGTCCCCATCAAAGTCTCCAACGTTCCACTGGTGGAGCATGCTGCCCAGCTACTATATGGATTGATTCATGCAAGATTCATTCTCACCAAACAGGGATACCATCTCATGGCAGAAAAATACGAACAGAAAGTGTTCGGAACCTGTCCACGATACTACTGCGAAGGAATGCGACTCATACCTATTGGGCGCTATGACCAGACGGGAATCGAGACCGTGAGACTGTACTGTCCATGCTGTAACGATATCTATCTTCCGTCGTCGTCCCGCTACTTGAACATCGACGGTGCATTTTTCGGGACTTCCTTTGCTGGTCTTTTCATCAAAATGTTTCCCGAAATCGAGAGGCAGTGTCAACAGCGGCTCAACAGGCAATACGAACTCAAGTTGTTTGGATTCCGCATTAATGAGAGAGCGGCCTCGGGACCTCGTATGAAGTGGCTCAGGCAGGTTCCCAGAACTAAAGAGGAAATAGAGGAGTTTGACAAATGTGAGTTTGAGCTCCCTCAGGACGATTACAGAGAAGACACAGAGCGCAACGAGCATGACGGAAGTGAGAGCGTCATGAGTATAGCCCAGGAAGAAGAAGAGCAGTAGCACAATAGATTTATAACCGGAAGGCTCAATTTATGAAATGAAGAACGACAAAATGCAATGCCAAGCTGGCAAATATATAGTCACCCAATGCGCGTTCTGGAGTGATTCCTTTGAACACGGTTTTGTTGGTATCCAAAGTTTGTAACCTCAACGACACTGTAAGCACAAATTGCGCCACGGTTGCAATAAACCCTCCCAAAAATGCGTTGAAGGGGAACGTTCCGACCAGCAGGCAGAAAAGAAACTGCCAGATCCCGAGACACACCAAAAACACCAGGAAAGCGTCGATCAAGCGTAACTTTTGGTTGTCCTTTGTTTCCGAAATATAACTATTGAACGAGATCTTCATGGAAGTACCCAGCTCCTGAAAGAGCGAAATTGCATTCGCTGTAGGTTCTGCAGCAACAGAGCTGCCATGTTTCTTTATAACAGGCGCACTTTTTGACTTTGCGTCTTTCTTTGCCATACGTGGAATAACTCGAATAAATTAATAAATTAAATTATTTTCATTTATGGAGAAAAAGACAAAGCTGCCGCCAAAGGGTGCAGTTCTGATCGATCAATTGCCAAATAATGCAATAGAAAACGAGCTACGGGATGACACGGTGGTGGTAAAGAGTCCGCCTTCTTTGCGCATTGTCCCACCTATTAACTTCTGTCCTGTCGAGAAACATCTATACAGATCCGGTCAGCCATCCGCTATCAACCACTCGTTCCTCCAACAGCTCCATTTGAAGTCTGTGATATGGCTTGCAACTGAAGAGCCCCAGGATACATTCCTAAGATTTATGGAGGAAAATGATATCAACTTATTCTGCAATTTGGGTTACGACTCTATAGATTCTAATTCTTGGGACGGGCTTTCGGAATCCTCTATAAAACAAGCATTGGAGATCATTTCAGACAAACGCCACTATCCACTACTTGTTTGCTGTGGTATGGGAAGACACAGGACCGGAACAGTGATAGGCTGTCTACGAAAACTACAAGGATGGAACCTTGCCAGTGTCAGCGAAGAATATAGACGTTTTACAGGGGTGCGAGGAGGCCGTATTCTCGTCGAGCTATTGATTGAAGCGTTTGATGTGAGCACTATAGAAACAAGAAAAGAGGTTGCTCCGGAGTGGTTGCTTAGATGACAAGAAGGGCCAAATTTTTATTCAGTCTTTCTTTCTCGGCGCTGTCTGTAGCGTTCCTGCGCCATTTGCACAGCCAGTTGCTCTCTTCGCCGCTGAGCATTGCACTGCTCCCACGCAAATGTCGAGCCCAACATCAGCCCTCCAAATCCCCAATTGGCAGCCTTACGTATGTCTTTATGGTATAGGAACATCACGGACGAAAACACAAATAAACACGAGAAGCCAGCCAACCCCGCATCTCGGAAGCATGGTATTGCTATCAGATTGGAAGGGTGGAAATCGGACCAACTCAGATTCGATAAAATCCTCTTCATCTCCCTCGACTGAGTTGTGTGCTGTGGAACCGGCTTCTGGTGATCTGTGTCAAACTTTGGGGGAACATCCTCCAGAAATATTTTTTGTTCCGTTGTATCCTTTCCATTACTTGTAGTCTCCTCTTCGGCTGACTGTGTCGAACGTTTCCCAAATGGCCAAACCATGAATAATTTTAATATTTTTCTTCCGACGCGACGATAAGCACTAGACGACGTTTAACTAGGATACAGAATTCTCTATAGATTTATCAGCATGGGCGAGTCTCCCGCTAAAAGAATTTCGGGACCAGTGCCAATTGTGCGACGCGATTCCGATTTTCGCAATGCCAGCCGTAATACCAGCAGAAGGACGTCTATGGCTAGACTTGCAGCATCGCCCTTGGTATCTGGAACGCTTTTATCTGTCTTCAATCAGAAACGGCCTGATTCTCCTAGCTCCTCTGTGATTGACGATAGATCCAGCCCTGTGAATGTGCACAGAAATCCCTCCGCTCAAGCATATCCATCTCTGTCTACTTCTGGTTCATCGGAGGCAGAAGATACCTCTATTCTTGGACGTGCTGAGCCACAGGTTGACATCCCCCTATCATCTTCCCACAGTTCCTCAATAGACGATCCTACATTGTGGAAAAATATTTCCAAACACTTAGCTACTGATGCAAATGGTTCGCTCAAACTGGCGGGTGGTGACATTACGAGAGATCTTTATACGCTTCCTGCTAAGAAAAACAACTTGAGACGGTCACGCAGTTTGACCGGTGCAGATTTGCCTGGAGAACGTCGTGGCTCTGCGGCATCCCAAATTCGTCTTCCAGGAGGCTTCAGAAGACAATTCATTCTCAGCAAGAACTCAAAGTATGGCCACCAGCTGTCCAAGCCAACATTTTTCACCAGGAATTTCCTAGAGTTCCTGTCTATTTATGGGCATTTTGCCGGTGAGGATTTGGAAGATGAGGATTATTTGGCTTGTTCCTATGTTATTGACAAAGATACTGATGAGGAGACTCCTCTGTTGGAACCCCGGGCTCATGGGGGCACTGCGTCGACACTGAAGTCATTTTTCCTGCTTCTCAAATCGTTTGTGGGAACAGGTGTACTATTTCTCCCTCGTGCATTCTACAACGGTGGCATTCTATTTTGCACGTTAACTTTGCTTTTTTTCGGAGTCTTGTCATACTGGTGTTACTACATTCTTGTGTTGACGAAGGTGAAAACTAGTGTGTCCTCATTCGGTGACATTGGAATGACTCTTTACGGAAAAAACATGAAGCTGCTCATCCTTGGTTCTATCATTCTTTCTCAGATTGGTTTTGTCGCTGCATACACCATTTTCACTGCTGAGAACCTTCGCGCGTTCACACTCAACTTTTTCAACGTGGACATCTCACTTGGCAAGTGGGTTGTAATGGAATGTGTGGTATTTATACCACTTTCACTGATCAGAAACATTACAAAGCTGTCACTAGCTGCCCTTTTAGCAAATATATTTATCATGAGCGGTCTGGTTACCATAGTTTACTATGCTTCACTCGACCTCATAGAAAATGGACCTGCACATGTTGAGTTATTCAATCAAGACAAGTGGTCGCTCTTCATTGGTGTGGCTATATTTGCATTTGAAGGAATTGGCTTAATCATTCCGGTGCAAGAGTCGATGAAGCATCCAGGACAATATCCAAAAGTTCTGGGCGCAGTCATAATCGTGTGCTCCATACTATTTATTGGGATAGGCTCTTTGGGATACATGACTTACGGAGATCACGTCAACACAGTGGTGATCTTGAACCTTCCACAGTCGTCCATCGCAGTAAGATCTATTCAATTGTTCTATGCCATAGCTATTCTTCTTTCTGCTCCGCTACAACTGCTGCCTGCAATCAGAATCATCGAATCTAGAATCTACAAAAGGCGGTCTGGAAAGACCGACTCTGCTACAAAATGGTCCAAAAACATGTTTCGCACATGCATGGTGGTTGGGACAAGTCTTATAGCGTACTGGGGGTCGTCCAACCTAGACCAATTTGTGTCCTTTGTTGGGTCGTTCGCCTGCATTCCCTTGGTGTACATGTATCCTCCAATGCTGCATTACAAGATATGCGCCCATTCGAGATTTATGAAGGCCCTTGACATGAGCCTAGTAGTTTTGGGAGGAGTGGCCATGTTATACACGTCCTACCAGGTGATTGTAGGATAGAAATATTTTTTATATTATGACCAATAATTTAATTTGTCAAATTCATCCATAATGGGACGTTCTTTTTATTCCGACGAAGAGGATATTTTGCCCACTCCAGGGCTGAACCAGCCAATTCCTAAGGATCTCAGCAGAAAAGAAGATCCACTCAGAAATCCACATAAGCAGGTTGTGGACGGAAAAGTCATCAGCACCAATAGCACACTAGAGAAATACGCCAAACAAGCCCGTGAATTTGCTGTTCAGAAGCTGGACATATTCGATGCCGAGTACAGGAATCTTCATGCTGCATATCTGAATGAAAAGCGCAATGCCATCGAGAAGTATCACCAACTCGTTGCCGAGCCTGTTCTTCCTTCCGGATTGTACATTTTGACCGCTATGCTCACAGGTTCGATCATGGTGCGCACCAGGTCTTTGCCTCTTCGGTTTGTGACTCCTGTGGCTTTTGGACTAGTAGCCACAGAGTACCTGATGCCAAAGACTCTGCAAAATACTACAGGCTGGTTGAGTTCTCTCTCTAGAGAACATTTCCCAGAAGTCAACAAGCAAATAGACGAAGCTGCCAAACAACTTTCTGGTTGCATGTCTGATATAGAGAAGACCCGCTCCAATTGGATGCAGTCGCTTACCGAGAGTGTCGGGAAAGTCAGAAAGAAGGTTCTTCAGTGCACTCAGGATAAACAATGATGTATTATTTACTCTCGTTTAAATACACTCATAAACTCGAAAATTCCACCCATGTCGACGTAGCGGCGTCCACACTCTGTCAGGTACTTGTCAACCACCCTCTGGTATGTTCTGAATGACTCCCTATTCTGTTCCACGAGCGCATCCAGCTCTCCCTGGTTCATGGGCAAAACTTTGTTTTCCTTGTCTTCAACTCCAAGATCGGCCGTCAGTGGCTTCAGCAGGCGTTTCTTGGCTTTATCGACATCGAACAAGCTCATTGTGTATAGTAACTGGTTGTAGAGCTGTTTGTCCGGATAAGTATATCTCATGATACCCTTACAGCCATAGGCCTTGCCGTTTTTGCCGATACACCGTCTTCCGTAAACAGAAACCTGGCGTGTCTTGACACCACAGTCGTCGCAGACAAGCCAACCAGCGTAGTAGGCGGAAATCTCGCGGCGCAAAAAGTGTTCCAACTGGGAAGAGATAGCCAGTGGTGCCAAGACGTGCTGACACGACAGACACTTGACTCCGGAAAAGGTGACCTGGTATTTCTTGGACGCCTGGATTCCGCCAAATTCAAAAGACACGCCACAAGACGTACATCTCAGAGCCAGCGGCTTGCAATCACGGAACCTCTCACTATCTGAAATTGTTGAGTCCAATGGTTGCAATTCAGCGGAAACGCGATCTTGCACAAATCTTGCACGAGCCTCGTATTTGCGAGCATCCAGCCCAAGAGCGGTTGCCATTCGCACAACATCGTTGCCCTCGATCCGTTCCAGAAGCCTTTCTATTGGAGCAAAAATCTGTTTCTCCAGATAGTAATAGGGATCAGGTCTGTACTGAGAAGGGTTGGCTAAAATTTCACTTATAGCACGCGCGCGATCTGCAACAGAGTCTCCGTCGTCGTGTCCTTTGTCTGTAACCACAAAGGTCATGACGCTTCCGGCACGAACGAGTTTGCCTTGTTTTCTGAGTCTCAGCGCCACTTGAACAGCTGGCATGGACTTGCCTCCGGGATATTGCTCCGGATCTTTGGACAATCTCGTATTTATGGTGAGCTTGTGCATCGGAATCTGGTTGTCTATCAGCTTGTTCCTGACATCTTCCAGGTGAGCGTAGATCTCATTTAAGGCATCCTCGGGGTCTGCGTCGCCCAGGATTTTCTCCAAAACAAATGTGGAGGTCTCTTTTGAAAGCGGGCAAAATTCACGACGTCTCATATCCAGCCCTTTGACCTCCAAGACTGTCTTTTCGAGACCTGAACCATCCATGCTAGCGTTCATTGCTGCGTATTTCTTTTTCGAGTGCAACAGGAGCCGTTTGAACACATTATCAATATCGATCTCGAGCAATCTGTACCGCTCGTTGACCTTCATTTTGAAATCGTCACCGATCTTTATAGCTTCCTGGAAGTTATCTGAACCAGTGTCGATCATGACAGAGTCGGTGTCTCCGTAGACAACGCGCAATCCAATGCTTTCTGCTAGCTGACGCGTATCCATCAGAATCTCTCTTCCTCTGTTAGTGACAAGCATCGCGAGCGGCTTGGCATAGAAACGAGAGTTGACGTAACCCAGACAACCATACATTGAGTTTGCAGTCAGCTTTAATGCCTGTTGCTTGATGTCATATTGAGCCTTCTCCACAGCTGTTGCTCGAGGATCTTTCAGCAATTTTTTGACCTCCCGACGCCTGTTGACCAGCTGCAGAAGCAGGCGTGGGAGAACTCCTTGCGCAACGTCTGATGGAGGAACATTAGGAAGATCGTTGTCTCCCAAATTTGATCGGTTGACAGTGGTGAAACAGATGTTGAACTCCTGGATAATCGATGGATAAAGAGAGTTGAAATCCATGACCAATATATAGTTCTTGTGAAGACCTTTTTCGGGCTCGAAAACTAAACCACCTTGATATTTCGTCTTCTTGTTAGACGTCGCAGCGCTCTCATCTCCGTCCTGTTCCAGAGCAGCCGCTGCTGCAGCCGCCTGTCTTTGCGATCGGGTTTCTTTGTCTGGAACAATGTATCCATTTTTAGTGAACTCGTGCAGCAGGATATACTCATTTCTTCCTGCTCTCGTTCCTCCAAGAGTGTGTGCCCATGCGTTTCCTGCAAGGTTGGTCAGCTGTTTTGAAAGCGACAAGATTTGCACCCTAAAGGCGACCTCCGCTATGATCTTGACGCTCATGCTATTCTCGTTGAAAGCAGCAAGGAGCAGGTTTGCGTCCTCGGCGAATTGAGGATTTGCAAGATTCACGTCCATCGGCATAAATTTCTTCTTGCACACGATCTCATACATCTCGGGAAGATCCCAAGACTGGCATTTAGAAGTCAGCGATTGGCCCATCTCGTTCGCAATGTCGCAACATAGTCTTCCGGCAAAAATCTCCTTCAGGTAAAACATGTTATTACGCCCAGATCCCTTGCCGTACCTCTCGGGCCACTGCTTTCTGTTCCTACGTCCAAAGGTAGACCATTGAGAGATTTTCAAGTCGTGCATCCGCCGCATCAGCACGTCCAACACAGCAGCATCCAGTCTGTGTCCTATGAAAACGTCAGGGTCTGTTTTCTTGATCATGGCTGCAAGACAGTTCAAAAGAGTGCGCTCGTTATTGAAACTCCGCAACGGAACGTTTCGCTTAGCAGCCAGCTGTGAGAGCCCAGGTGGAAGGGCCAAAGAGCCTCCAACAGGACGAACAAGAGTCAGAAGCTCATCTGGAACCGCGTCTTCCGGCATTGGTGTGTCCTGGTGGACGTTACGGTACACGGCAAAAGAGACGGACCCAATTTCCTGCTTGCCTTCTTTTAGGTTTGTCACTGGCTGAATGTTGATGCTGAGCGCCGTGAGGTCTGGAGCAGGCATATTTGTCTCTATTGGTTTTATTTGTGCAGGGTCAGCAACGGCCACCTCCACCTGGCAGTGAGACGAGTTTTTGATAGCAGAAAAGTCTGCTCCCTTGATTTCCAGCCAGCATGGACCCATCACGTTCCGCTGAACCACAAACGTCTCAAAAATATTGGCATTTGCTCCGAACACGTGACGGAACGTTTCTCCTTCCAAGGTCGATGGCAAAACAGTGTTTCTTGACTTTGGTGTTTGGAAAGGTAGCAGCACTTTCAAGTACTCGGTTTCTTTCGGAATGTTTTCAAGCTCAAAAGCCCATTTCTTGGTCTCCGGCTTGGCTTTGATACGATCAAGCCCGAACTTGTCCAGCAAAAGCGGGATGATCTCCTCGTGCACGTCCATGGCAGTAGGCGGAGGACCGTCCTCCTCGTCCAGCCTCGATTCACGCGGCAAAAAATATATTTCTCGACTAATGCCATTGACTTGAACCACACAGCTAACATGTCTGCCATCCAATGTCTTGACTTTGCCAAACAAAAGCAGGCTGTTGTCCACCTCTGCATAGTCCATCCAGAACATCTGTAAGGTTTCGGAGTCGGCGACTTGTGACTCGTCCACTTTCTCGAAAGTGCTATTAATCATTGAAGTTTCTGACGCGTCTCTACTTGGCGACGACGTTGCAAGTTCAGCCACTTTCGTCTCTTTTGGCTCCCTTTTTGAGCTCAGATTCACTCTCTGCACGTCCGCCCGCGCAGTCTTCAGTGTTGTGACGTCGATTTCATCGTCCGAGCTAAACTCCTCGTCTTCCTTGATTGCGCCCTTGATTGGTGAAGACGGCGTCTCTATCTTCGAAGCGCTTGAAATATCGGAGTCAGGGGCATATATCTCGTCCTCAGAGCTAAGCTTCACTCTTTTCGCAGGGACTTCCTCCTCAAACATGAGCTTCCTCACGTCAAGCGGTTTCACAGGTCTCACTTTGTCGGATTTGAGTGAGGAGAACACGTCCGTCCGTTTCTTCACGCCAAACATAGGCGTGCTTCTAGCCTTGCTACTTGCCTGTGCCGTGAAGTCGCTCAAAATGTCGTCAAGATTGTCAACTTTGCGTTTTGGCTTGTTCTCAGTCTCTGCTCCCTTGAAAAAGGAGGATATCTGGGGCGTGTCGCGCTTGATTTTGGCGATCTTCTTGCGTTGTCGAATCTCGGGCTCGTCTTCGTCTTCGCTCGGGTACTCATTCGCACCATCCCAATCGTCTGCACCTGTTTCTGCGTACCCGTTGCCAGAGTCATCCACGATGAAATCGTCATTCAGAAGCTGATGCTGTTTGTGCTGGCGGAATTGCTGCTCATCAACCTCCTCATAGATATCCTCGTAGCCATCTTCCTCGTCAGAAAGCTTAATTCCGGCCCGAGCAGCCCTTAATCTTGCCCGCTTATCGTGTTTCATACTCTACGCGACGCGTCAAGAAATTTCGAATCCGAAAAATATATTCTGGGCCCCAGCCAGTTTCTGCAAGATTTCACCGCCACTTGCGCCACAAAAAAAAAAAAAGAAGATTGTTTCCCTCAATTTAATGTCGTTTGCCAACTTGGATCTTGAGGCCCAAAAACAGGCCCCTGGCAATGGCAGCACATCCGGCCCTGCAGATCAATTCAACAGGATAAGTTCCCAGCTGTCGGATCTGATTTCCAACATCTCAAAATTCGATAAATTGCAGCAACAGCTAGGTACAAAAAAGGACACTGTTAATTTGCGAGACAAGCTGTCATCACTAGTCACAAAATGTAACTCTCTGCATTCAGAAATTGACCAAAGCTTGTCAACACTGGAAAAGAGTCCAGAGGTGATAAATAATATGACTTTGCAGTACACCAAACAAAAACTCAAAGCCCAATGTGCAGAAATGTTCCGCAATTACCAATTGGTTCAGCGAGCGTATAATGAGCGACTTCAGTCTGTGGTAGTCAACGAAGAGTACGAAAACAACAAAAATGACGCAAACCCTGCCGAAACAACTCCTCTTCTTCAGCAGCAGCAGCAGCAGAAGACCCAGATCACTAACACGGAGCTGGAATTTCACGAGTCGGTTATACAACAAAGAGAGCAAGCTATCGATAACATATCTCGCGGTGTCCAAGATATCAATAAGATTTTCCAGGACCTAAATGAAATGGTCAACCAGCAAGGCGAGCAGATCGATACAATTGAGGATAATTTATTAACATACACCAGCGATAACCGCGTTGCACATCGTGAGCTTGCTAAGGCGGATGCGTACCAAAAGAAAAAAAGAAATTGGACCTGTGTACTGTTGGTCGTGCTGGTGGTGGTTTTATTGATCTTGATAGCTCTTATGAACTAAATAGAGGAGGCTGTGCGCGAAGGCGTTTCCACACTTTCTGTATCTGAGCCATTTTCTTTCTGGTCATTGATCCAGTCCGAAACCCGTCTTCTTCTCACAGCAGTGCTGTCGTCGAACACTGTAGCTGACTCTCCTAAACATTCTGCTTTTGCTCTCATTCGTTTGTCTCTCTTTCTCTCTATTTTTTCTAGCAGGTCTACAGCTAAATCTTCAAAGAACTCGGCTATCTCTTCTCTGTGCACATACAAAACTGCGGACACTGCAATTCCCGCGCAGATAGCAGGGATTGGAATAGGTATTGGCATTGCTTGATTTAATTTTTATGTCAAATTTAATTGCCCTTAGATAAGACGATTTCCGGGGTCTAAAAATTATCATCCCTTTTTTTTAATGATGCTTCCCGCTCCAGGGAAGTATTCCACAGTTATTCACGGTCGAAAACTGGACCTATCATATATTCTGCCCAATCTTGCAGCCTGTTCTGGCCCTACAGACAACAAAGCCAAAGTATGTGCGAATCACATAGCTGACCTGGTAGAGGCGTTAAATCGTAACCATGGGAGAGGCAACTGGATGATCGTGAACCTGAGACAAGAAAAATTGGGGTATGATCCTTCATCAGTGACGGATATCGGAGGGCAATTCTTATACAGACCATTCAAAGACCATAGTCCTATTCCCTTGTTTTCCTTGCTGGAAACTATAGTTACAATTGAGGAATTCCTTCAGCAAAGCCCAAACAATGTGGTAGTCGTACACTGCAAGCACGGCAAGGGAAGGACAGGAAGCATTATTGTGGCGTATCTGATGTTCAAATTTGGACTTTGTTTTCGAGAAGCCAACGCTGCATTTCAAGTACGCAGGAGAGCTTTCCGTACAGGTATCACCATCCAGTCTCAAATTCGTTACATGCACTATTTTGAATTCTTCTTACAGGATAAGAAGAGACAGCAATTCTATCGGCAGCTGTTGAAAAGTGAATTCCGCGCAATAGATGTTAAAATCAGGATAGTTAACCCTAGTCGCTCATTGCTTGATAACGCAAAAGACATGCTTGTGACCATCAACGGAGTGAAAGCATGCTCACAGGAGGTTGTAAATATGGAACTCACATACTACTGTGCAGTTTCTTGTGAAGAGGATATGGTGGTCCAATTCAATTTCAATCTAAACTCGATTTTACAAGGGTTGGGCCGAGTCTGGATCAACGTTATTATGGAATACATGTACCAATATTTGGCCTCCAAACAGTCCTTCAATTATCTTGAGCGACCAAAGTCCCAGGTGAAGAAAAATCCAACTCAGGTCACTCATTGTGTTATCAAAATTCCTTGGTCTGAACTCGATGGATTCAAAGGAACTAAGAACAAGGGGGTCAAGCTTCTGGGAAGCGTGGAGATTGACTTTACCGCTACTTTTAAGAATACAGAAGATATTGTTTCCATTCAACGCCAGGTTGCCTTGGCTGGAATGCTAGGCATGAAGAAATAAGATATAGATTTTATATCCCTCCCCGTTTCAACCGCCCTTTCTTTCGGATTCCAGGCGCATCCAGGCATCCTTGATAATCTTTTTGATGTATGAAAGCTGCTGTTCGTCATTTCCGGAAACCATTTTGCAGTTTTCAGCGCCGTACGGTTTGGAGATTACAATGTGGTTGTCAAACACGATGATGTTGTCGTTTTTGTCAAGCGAGACGTCACCATCGGGAAGTAAATTGAATAAACTCGTGAATATCTCTTTCCCTTCTGGCGTCATCTTTCTGTGTGCCAAAGTCTTATTAAGCACATATTGTGATTGGTACTTTTTCACCACATGAGCGTTGGTAACTTTATAATTATGCCCCAGCATATTCAAAGGCACAGGGTGGGGTGGCCGGGGCATATTTGCAAACTTCTCGTTTATAGAGCTGGTATTTACATCCTTGGGTTTGGAAAGGCAGGTTAGACTCTTGATGAACGTGTTTTTGATAACAATAAAGTTCTCTTTGGATGAGTTTTCGGATTGACGAACAAGCGATAACAGTCCATTATTTGGGTTATAGGAATGTATGGACCCCACTATTGTCTCATCATCTGCTGTCACAAGCTTTATTCTAATGTTAGATGAACGAGTTGTGTAGGTACTTACTTCAAGCCGACACAGTTCTCCAAACTGAGCATGAAAAAGAATTTCAAATCTGGGTATACAAATTATTTTGTAGTCTTATTTTTTGTTATGGAAACTCAGATTCGTGACTTGGAAGCCCAGTTGGAGGAACTGGATCAGTTTCCAGGCGCTATCATTGATCGTGGGGAGATGGTGGAAACCAGCGATGATCAGGACATTTTATCATCTCCCCACAGTAGTTTCTCATTCACGGATAATGATGACGAAGACGAACGCGAAGTTGATGGCCTGAACAACTTCAACATCATTCTCGAATATCCAGAGCTGCAGTACGAATATAGAGAGCTTGAAGATTTTGAAACGGAATATATGGATTGGTTTACTGCTACAGATCTCAGGGAATTAAGCAATATCAAGAAACTTGCCATTCAAAATCAAACTCCTTCAGATCTTGCCAAAAAATTGATTGACACATCAGACAGATCAGCATTGCATATACTCATATGTTTGGAATATATAGCAATGGGTCAATATGGAGAGATCTCAGAAATAAGTGAACTGACCACCAAAATAATAGACAATTCCTGCTTACTCTTAAGTCACGAGGTGCTTCTCCCTGTTTTGGAGATTCTAAGCTCTAGACTCATACTCTTGAGTGATTTGAAGAACCAAGAGAAACCCTTCAATCACAAACAGCTCCGGCTGTGGTCTTCGCAATTGTATCATTCCATGACCATCATTTACACTGTTGTCCTGGCTACTTTAACAACTAAAGAAAAAGTGCGGTTCTTGGCCGGCATCATCGATACGAGCCAGCTTCTTACTACAATGATGAAGGCAATCGATAACTGGCGCTGGCTCACTGCAGATTCCAACGACAAGGAGTTGGGATCTGCGTTAGACAACTCAGTGGTTCATTATTTCAAACTGCGCAATGTCATAATGCTTCTCTCAAAGCTGGTATTGCTTCAATTCGGAGACTCCGAGCTCCTGCAGTCTACAAAATCTTTTCTAAGATTCAAGTGTGAATCTGGTCATGTCTTTGGCAGCGCACCAGGAACTCGTGGAGCAAAAGTTGAGACTATCACCCCTCTTGACTACCAGTACTTCCGCAAGGAGCTAATCGCTAGATACCCTACCTACTCGCCTCCCGAGCATAAGGTCTCTGATATTTTACAGATGAGCGTCGAGCAAGATAATGAAAGTTGCTCAAAGCTGATCAACACTTCTGCGCTATTAATCAATCAGAAACATCATTTACGCAACAAGTTGCCAAATTCGCAAAATAGCTGTCCTCCAGACATACATATAGCAACTCCCGCCCCATCGCCAACTTTGAGCCCACAGCATACAGGAGGGTCTAGAAGCTCTAACATCTCTGAGGTCGAACATGTGAACGGGCAAGGTCGCAAAAAGGTCTTTATCACACAGCCCCAGTTTGCCAATTTGTATCCTTTCTCTCATGATATACCTGTGAGCATCCAGGAGGCAACGCGGATTTTTCATGCTCATGTATCTGAGTCGTTCAGTGCTTTACAATTTACCGATGTATTTGAGGATTTCATCAGGCAAGAAAAGGGAATTACTGAGCCTACTCGCTCAAAGTTCATTTATACCGAGAAAGACATTGAGAAGAACCCAATTTTTGCTGATGAGCTCGTGTCCTTGCAACGTGTCGAGCAGTTCTATCATTCGACATTGCCCTACTTGAATTCACTGGCGGCAATATTGATTCAGATCATATCCTCGAATGTACTTCCTGCTTCGGGGTATAAATCTGCAGAAAACCCATTTTTACCGCTTAAGAAACCTTATAACATTTCTGATATGTCGAACTACGACAAACAAAAGCTTGATTTGATGCGCATCAAAGAAACCTGTCTGAAAGCAGCTTCCACTACCATATTCCTACTGCTCAAGTGGTTCAAAATGTCACATATTTTGAAACAGGAATATTTTGCTCTTTTGCTGTTTGACAACGATCTATACTTAAACCTCTTCCGCTTCCTTGGAAGCAATCAAATGCAGACGCAGCTTGAGAACTCTTTTGATTTCAATGACCCCGAGATGTTACTGAAGAATAGAGCTGTCTTTTGTGATTATGAGGTGCTGTACGATTCAAAGGAATACAACTTTTTCAGAGCTGCAACTTCATTTTGTCGTCAAGCTCCGCAGAGTCCAAAGTTCAATTCTGAAGATATATTCGAAGTGAACGAGCAAGCCTATGAATCGTACATTCCGCCGTTCAACGGACAATCACACGTGAAAATTTTGAAGCCCAATCATCGCTATTGTACAATCATTACACAATTATTGCGAAGCTTGTACTCAACCATTTCCAACTATAAAATTCAACGAATTTACAAGCTGTTGGAAGTGCGACCAACAGAAAGCTTGCGGTTTCTCTTGACGATGTACAATTCCAATTTCTATAAACCGGTTCTGAAGGTGATTAAGCTGATTTGTCCATTCAATGGCAAAAAGTGGCGCTCCAACAACATGGATCTTATTTCCTTTGTGTATCTATTCTACAAAGTTGGGCTCCGCGACCAATGGCTAAACAATCTTTTCATCTTCAATCTCAGCGAACGATTGAAGCGTTCTTGGGAAAACGAGTACGCATTGCGCAGTTTACTCAAATTTTATAACGCCACGTATTATTCTGACCAGATGGTCAACTTTGGCTACGACAATATTCCACCTTTGAAACAAGAAATGTTTTTTGAAGAGGGCTGGAAAGGTGATATATAATGAATGAAGGTTACACCTGACACCGTATCCTTATTTATTATTGGATTTATTTTTTTATTTACATTATAGTTCTGATGGAGTCGGAACAAATCGTGATCAATTATCTGTTTCGGCTTTTGAGGAGCATAGTCCCAGATGACTTTGATGCTAATTTCATTCACAAGCTAACAAATGATGTGTATACGCTACTGCTAAGGTCGTATACGTCCTCCGTGAGCACTTCTCAGTCTTTGGCTTCCCTGAGTGAATACCGTTCTATTTTTGCCCATATTCCTGCGTACACGTATGTCTGGGATAAGCTTGAGCATACCACTGAAGATCTTCTATCCTTGAAAAATATAGACGATGCAGCTAGGTACTTGATCAAGTTGGATTCGTACGAAACAAATAAACAAAGACAATTACCATCGCGTTTCGCACAATACGACTCTTCTGGAGTCGCAAATAATCTGGGAGCCAGCACAAGCATGACTAATCCACGTCATCTTCTTTCATCTCCTGGCCTGCCTTCAAGCACCGCGTTTCTTCCCTCATCGACATTTGGACTACATTCAAGCCGACCGCCAAGCCAAAGCTTCTCCGTAGGGGAGCCTCTTAGCAAACACCTGTTACCCTTTTACTACCATAATACCGAGTATGGCCTTATTCCAGAGCAAGAAATGATCAAAAGTCTGGCATTTACACTAATAGGTTCGACGTCGGAAATATTTCCATTCGATGATAAGATAAAAGTTCCAACTAATATAAGCTATGGCGCAATGGGTCTGCTTTATCAGTTATTCGAGCCTGCTCTAATATACAAACAATTGAAAACAATGAGTCCGAGAGTTTTGGCCAACTCGCAGGTAAAAGTCGCCTTTTCAAGCTCCTTACAGAAAGAATTATTCCAGTATACCACTCTTGTGAATCAAATTTTTAATCCAGCGCACATCGAGTCCTTGACATTGAGATATGTACGCTTACAACTCAATGACTCAATCATCAAGTTGCGGATGCTTTTCAACCTTACCACACAGATTCAGACGCTTCCCATTAACGAATTCCTGTCGTATTTGAGCCAGCTTACAAGAATCGGAGACCCGTTGTTAAAAACGTTGGCAGTCACGATTTTTCGTACATGTTCTTTGCCCTATTTTGAGATGATTAAAGATTGGATTTTCGAAGGGTCGCTGGTTCTGGAAGATGCCACAAAGGAGAATTTCTTTATCGCATACACTGAGCGAGGTCAAGAACTGCAACAGGAAAAAGTTCCTACTTTCATACGGACTTCAGAGCTGATCTACCAGATAGGAAAATCGCTTCTCTATCTGAAAAACCAGTGCAATGAAATGAAATGGTGCATCGATTTTGGTTTGAAGTATCGACAATTGTTTGCAAGCAATGGTGATTTTTTGGATATGGCAGCCAACAAATTGGACATACTTGTGAAACAGCAGTATGACGAGATAATCAATTATTTATGCTATGTTCTTTACGAAAAATATGGTCTGGTCAAAGAAATAAGCTATCTGCACCAACTTTTGCTGATGAATAAAGGCGATTTTATCAATTCTCTCATTGTCAAAGGCCTTACTCTTTTAAATGAGTCCTCGTCAACATTGTCATCTCACCATCTAATGAAAATTTTACAAGAATCTATTGAGAATTCTAGCATCAGACATTTTCCTATTGAAGTTCTAAATCGACTGGACGCTAGAATCCTTGAGATGGGACATGGAAATATTGGTTGGGATGTCTTTACTTTAGACTTCCAGGTCAAATATCCCCTAGATAACATTCTAAATGGGCCCACGCACGATTCTAGAGAATATTTGCGGATGTTCAATTTCTTGTTGCGTTTACAAAAGGTGAATTATCTTCTGAACGTAGAATGGTTAGAATCCAATAGCATCAGGCGGAGTTCGTTGAAACACATTGAGAAAAGAAGCAAGATGGTCCGTCGACAACTGAAGCTCGACCCTAATTATACCCTCTCGGTTCTTGATTCGCGTTGTCTCTGGCTATCCAAAACCTTCAAGCGACTTAACATTCTGAGAAACGAATTCATCAAGTTTGTGAATATCATCACCAGTTTCTTTGATCTTGAAATCATCGAAAAAAAATACCGAAAGCTGCTAGAGGCCCTTGCCAAAACAGACGAGCATGATATCAAAGTCAAGCGAAACGCCAAAGGCCTGAAAGTACTGGAAAGTGGAAGAATCAAGATTGACAAGACTTATCTCCCTCTGCCCGATAACGCTCATCTTGAGCTGAAATATCGTGCTTATAACTTGGACGAACTGACAAAGTTGCATCACGACTATATCACTTCAATCACAAGATCCAGGCTGTTTGATATGCACAGTAAGTCCTCTAAAGGCAAAAACTCGGGCCTTTATTACATTGAGCAGATTGATTCTTTCATCAGAACCATCAACCAATTCATCAGTCTCAACGAAGAGTTCAACAGCTTGTTGGTTGACATGTTATCTGTTACCGAAATGCTGCGCGATGATGGGCATTTAGACTTTGAGAATAAGGATCGTTATGACGATTATCTCAATTCGATCGATATTAAGTTGAACAAGCTTATGGAAAAGTTGACCGTGGACATCATAGAGTCTTTCGAAGATAACCTCGAAAAGTTCACCGAGGACTTGACCCTGGACCACGACCAGACACTGAGGTGTCTCGGTATCATGTTAAGCAATTAGGTAGATAGCTAGTCATCAACAATCAAATTCGAGTCACGATTATTTTTTCCCCTTGGCCGTTTTCATCACATGTCGGTGTGCACCCTTAAACGTGGGGAAGATATTTTTTTTTATAAAGCTTGAAGAAAACCTTCTTGTAGAGTAAATGGAGGATAGTATTGCAGAGTCCGTTCTTTTAGACAATTTCAAATCCTTTGGTGCTGGTGGTTTTGGTGGGATATGTGCGGTGATAACAGGCCAGCCATTCGACTATACCAAGGTACTTTTGCAGACAAATCAGTATAAGTCTTCTCTCGACTGTATCAAAGGCACTTTAGCCTCAGGTGGGCCTTTGGGCTTCTACAAAGGAGTTTCGTCTCCTTTATTGGGGGTCACTCCGATGTTTGCCGTGTCTTTCTGGGGTTATGATGTGGGCAAGAAGCTTGTGTGCACATTTTACAATATCGATCCAGTAAAATCACACCTCACCATCCCTCAGATAAGCGCAGCGGGATTCTTCAGTGCAATACCTACGACATTGATTGCAGCCCCTTTTGAGCGTGTGAAAGTGGTGATGCAGACTTCGCAAGGCCAGGTGTCCTTTGTTGAAACGGTGTCCAAGCTTTACAAACAAGGTGGTCTGAAATCAATCTTCAAGGGGTCCGCGGCTACTTTGGCCAGGGACGGGCCTGGATCTGCGGTTTACTTTGCCACTTACGAATACCTAAAAAAGGAGCTCTCTGGAAGCTCTGATGATGCATCTATCGCAGCTATCATGGCTGCGGGTGGTTTGGCAGGTGTTGCAATGTGGACAGCTATATTCCCTATTGACACTATAAAAAGTGTCCAGCAATCTTCGGACAGCAACCGGTCAGTGGTTAAGACGGCATCTTCTATTTATTCAAAAGGAGGGATTAAGGCTTTCTTCCCTGGTTTGGGTCCAGCCCTCGCTAGGAGCTTCCCAGCCAACGCAGCTACATTTTTGGGAGTCGAGATAGCCAGGAAATTTCTCGATCAAATTATGTAATCGTAAATATATTATCCAGCTTCCAATTTATTTTCCGGTGAGCTAGCTCTTTTGATCATGGGATTCTTTTTACCTCAGCAGGCCCTACCTCACCTGAAAGAGTACAAGTAAGTACCAGCAAGCTATTCAATACCTAACAGCAGGTATCAATCAGAGGATAGGTCGTTATTGACCAAATATGTCCTAAAACGATTCTGGGTCCAATTTGAAAAGATCTTCCCTGTGTGGATGGCCCCAAACATGGTTACGCTTTCGGGACTGATGTTCATTTTGGCCTCTTTGCTTCTTGTGTTCTACGTGGATCCAGATTTGAATCAGCAATCGCCTCGATGGTGCTACTTGGTCTATGCACTGTCCATTTTCCTGTACCAAACCTTTGATGCATGTGATGGAATCCACGCAAGAAGAACAGGACAATCTGGTCCCCTTGGAGAGTTGTTCGACCATTGTGTTGATGCGGTTAACACCAGTCTTTCTGTTCTGATCTTTGCCTCTGTGGCAGGTTTGGGGAAGGGATGGATGGTGTACATGTCTCAATTTGCTTCTCTCATGAATTTCTACTTGTCGACGTGGGAGGAATTCTATACTCACAAACTATTTTTGAGTGAGTGCTCGGGTCCTGTGGAAGGAATCATACTACTTGTTGTTCTTTTCATTGCTACTGCGTTCAATGGCCCAAGTTTCTGGAAATTCGAGGTTTTCAGGGTCGACCTTTCTGCTTTCAACCTATCTTCGAGCTATCCAATCAAAGCCCTTGATTTGGCTTTAGCTTTTGGTGCTGTCTTCCTGTACTTTAACATCGACTCGGCCCGTCGAAATGTCATTCGACATGTTGCCTCTAAGACTGAACAGCAGTCCGCGATGAGAGGTCTGGTGCCATTCTTTGCTTACTATGGCTCCGTTTTTGCGATGCTAATCCTTCACGAGCAGATCAGAACAGTATATACTGTGCCAATGATGCTCACTATTGGCTCTACAATGGCATTCACTGTGGGTCGTATCATTATCGGTCATTTGACAAAGCAAGAATTCCCGATCTTCAATCTTCCGATGCTTCTTCCCACGGTGCAGCTGATTTTGATCCCTTTGTTATCACACGTCTATGGATATGATTATGATGGTGTTTTATGTTCAATTGTTTACCTTGGATTTGGTGTTGCTCTTGGAGTTCATGCTATGTTCATCCTAGAGGTGATCTATGAAATTACAACTTATCTGGACATCTATGCTCTGAGTATAAAACACCAGAAAGTCTTTTAGAAACTCGACTGAAGCATTATTCACCGTCTTTCGAAGATCCTTATTGACTACAACACGCATACATGTATACTACTAAATCCTAAACCAATTGCTTATATATACACAATGCTCGGCAACTATTGCCTATGTGAGCAACCAAGAACATGCATGGTTACGTAGGGTCAGTGAAAAGCTGACAGACTGTATGTTGTTCCTAGTTTATTTTGCAGCTGCAGCTGGCTGTTGTTCGCTTCCGGAGGCCAACAAGTCACTGCTACCTTGTTGCAACTGCATTTCCTTTTCTAATTCGTTCAACTGGGTCTCACCAAAAATTCCCAAAGCCAAAGGAACTCCCAGAAGCAAGGTAGAAGAGGTCAGAATCCACAATCCATTACCACATTTCTTGGCCAAAGTTGACGCAGTGGAGGAAACAGACTCCAAAGTAGAAGCAATGTATTGTCTTTGCTCAGGCAAAATCATGTCCTTAAGTGCTTCGATTCTCTGCAACAAAGTTTCATTTTCGTCAAATTCGTCTTCAGACTCAAATTCAGATTCGGTTTCAACTTCCTCTGCTCCTGACTTGAACACCTTTTCTTCAAGTTTTTGTTGACTCTCGTCTTCGATTCTAGTTAGGGTGACCATTTTTCAATGAAATTTTTTTTCCGATAATCAAAATTATAGCAAAAGTTCGTCAGTGCAAGGGTGTATTGCAGAGTATCCGCAGCACTCAGGCTTACATCGTATATCCTAAGCTACTAGCGGTGCATTCCTAGATGAAACACTTTTCCTGAAGAAGGCGGAGTCTCAGGTCGGGAGCAATCCATGTTTCAGTCACCAACGTTGCGATTATATATGCTAAATCTTCCTTCATATTCGCGCACCATAACTCGTAAGTAACATGCGTAATTTACACTATCCTTATCCCTTCAAGCGCAAGTAGCTAGCATGTGGCTAATCACCTTGAGCAGTTGGTCATTTTCGCAAGCAGCACTGACTCTTTCTTTGTCATTCAGCTGTTTATTCACCTGGTTTTCGCTTTGATGGCTGCCTTCCTTCAGTAAGACTAATATTCTAAACCTTGGAGGCAGGCAACGCTCCAATCTTACTCTGATTCCGAGACCAATGAGAGTGGCCAAAGAGCAGTGTGTGATTGTTGGTGTGATACGGACTATCACTTCTCCTATTTGATTCTTATCCTTTGGATCAATAACTTTGATGTCTGAGAGATTCACAACAGCTAGCTGCCCAAGAGTGAGCGGGTGTTCGGGGTCAGAAATTGTCGAAATCAAGTCATAAATCTCCTGTGCATCGAATCCTTCGTCTTCAGATTCGCCCTCACTATCGGTATACGTTATTCCGTCTAGCGAAAGCTCAGTGAGCTCCTGATGCACTACTGACTGCTCGTCTTTCTCCACTATTGCGCCGTGCCGTGTGGGGAGCAAGCTTGCATCCAGCACGGTAGGGTTTGCATTTATAACGTCTGCCATGACAAATAAAAATTGTAATTTTAGATCTTTTTTTTTAAGGTACATCTCATGTCTCTCATAATAGGCGTCAGCGGAGCTTCGAGTTCTGGGAAAACCACTGTGGCTAAGACTTTACGTGATCTGTTTCCAAACTCTATCCTACTACACGAAGATGACTTCTACTACCCAGATGACCAGATTCCATTCAATCAAGAATTGCAAGAATATGACTGGGACTGCCCTGAGGCAGTCAATTTTGAAAAATTGAAAGATACATTGAGAAATTTCAAACGAGACCCAAAATTTCAGTTTACCGAGTCGTCCAAAGAGTCTGTCGATGTCTCCATCACACTTAATCCCCAAATTGAGCGAAAAATCAAGGAAACCGTTGGACATTTAAGCCTCCCACGGATAGTATTCATAGATGGGTTTTTGTTGTATCATGATAGGGAGATCCTCGACCTCCTAGACGTTTGTCTGTTCTATAAGACAGACTACGATACTCTTAAGAATAGACGTCAAAACAGACAATACACTATAGACAATGGCATATGGACAGATCCTCCTGGGTATTTTGAAAAGATCGTTTGGCCACAATACTACAAAAACCATACACATTTGTTTGAAAATGCATACGATAACGAACAACAGCTAAAAGAGAACACTGCCAAGATCGTTGAGCCACGTATTGTTGCTTTCGATAATGACAATAGCACAGAATTCAATCAATTGATTTTGCAAACAGCCAGGATGATATGTAGGGGGTTATCTCTTTGAGCGAGGCCCTTTCTGCTTTTTCATTTCTTGGTCATATATCTGTTCAGCCGTCTCTACGGTCTTCCGCTTCTTTCCCGATTTGACACTCACCACACCTTTGTTCTTGGCAGCTTTCTCTAATTTGCTAGTGTCCCATCCTTGTTCGTTAATAGCGTACTTTTCAAGATTTAGGGAGTTGATGAGCTCTTTTTGTTTTTCTCTCAAGGCGCTCACTGCTGAGGCTCCGGACTTGTTCATTTCATCAACGAGCTCTTTTTCTATCTCTTCAATGTCTGCAACGTTGGTTTCCTCACCATTCATCTCTCGGACAATTTCGTCCTCCACTTCAGGCATTTCTTCTGCTATCTTCTGTTGCACAAGCGAGCGGAAATAACTGGACACTTTACGAATGATCTTGGCAAACATTGCCATGGCTTGATTGGCCTCAATAGAAAGTTCCTTGGCAATTTTGTCCATGTCCTTGTGTTGCAGTCCGATAGCTAGCAAAATTGCCGCCTGCACGTTTGACAAGTTCACCTCTTTAGAGATTTTACCCTGGAAGTAAAGATATGCCAAAATTGGTAGTAGATCCACCACAACGTGGTAGTCTATTAGGTTGTTAGCGTACGACTCGAGTCTCTTGAGGTCGAATGGCGAAAAGAATTTGTCTAGCTCTTCTTTTGTGAAGTTTTCTTGCTGTGGCTTTTCACAAGACTCCAGTACGCTCAAAGCCTGTACAGAAGGTATCACATTGAAGTTGTAACCCAACAAGTTCACAAATCTTTTATGGAAGTCCTTTGAATATTCCTTCAACCATTGGTCCTCGCGGTTCTCGAGAACCTTGAGCATGACACATGTGTGTTCGCCAGTCAAGTCATTTGCAGTTTGTCTCAGGTAAACTGGAAGATAGTGGGACCTTTTCCAGAACCTAAATAGATCCGGTGTTAATCCATAGGAGACACCCATATAGTGTAAATAGTAAGGTGCTTTGTGAGAAAGATTAATGAACAGTGGTTGCAGTCTGTTTTCCTTTCTTGGTTTGATCTCCTCTTGCTGTAGAACCGCAGATTCTAGCTCATTGTCAGTCAATCTTCTAAGAGAGTACTTGTCATCTTCGAAGGAGGAAGCTTCGCTGATGTTGGCAAATTTACCTTCGAAATAGTCTGTCAATAGCTCCAAAGCTCTTGATCCGTAGCCCATGTTCATATAGTCAGGGTGAGTGGCGACTCTAACAATCCTAGCACCAGAAAGAGATGCAAAATCATCGTCCTGGAATTGTTGGCTGATCAACCACGGTATAAGATCTCCACCAGCACGAACACCTCTGTTAAGACTGCTTCGAATACTCTCCTTAGATATCTCACCCTCCAAAGCAAGTTGCACCACACATAATGGAGTTGGAATGGAACCGTCTTTTCCAGCATCTGGCCCAAACAACGCATAAAGTTGGTGGGCTGGAGCATCAGACATGAGCTGTAGATCATTTGGAGAGTTTTTATAATGCGAAGAAACAAAGAGGGCCATCATTTTTTGCAAGAACGCCTCTGAAACCGGATCGTAAGAAAATAAAGTGTCCCTGTTGATGTAAAAGAGATTGCATTCGCTAGGATGTGGACAGCCTCTTGTCTCATATTTGGTATTTTTTGTGAGTTTCGCATCCAGACAAAGCAATTTATTCAACCAGGCCTCCACTGGATCTCCAGGGGCGTATCTAATTGGTTCGTCCAAAACAACTTCAACCAAATTGCGGCCGCGGATATGCAAGTCATCCTCTGTCGATTTCTTGTTGCCTCTCGACACAACCTGAGTCTGAGAATTATTGCTGACAATAGTATTAGAGTGGTCTCTCAACTGCTGGATCAATTTCAGGCTCAAGGACCTTCCTGTTCCTTCGTATCCATTGATGGTGGAAGCCATGAAGACCAAATAAGGTCCCAGTAATTTCTTCACCACCGGCAGGGGTATCGCTGCTGCCTCATCAATAATCAAAAGCTCTGCTTGTCCCAGAACGTGACTGTCAGTAGGCGAGATATATTGAATGGTCTGTCTGTGGCCCGATCTTTTGATATCCACTCTCACAATGGCTTTAGCGAAGGATGGATTCGTCGACTGAATAATATCATAATCTTGATGCTCAATGTATCCCATGGCATCAAAACCTTTGAAGATAAATTCAAACAAGGTTTTAAGGTTTTCCGGCGAAGGAGACGTAACGAAGATGTTGGAGTAATCTTGGGCAACGGCTGCAGCTATAGCAATACCTAGTGCGGCAGATTTACCACGACCCCTACCAGCAGTCAACGTCACGGTTGTGTTTAAGGTCTTTTCGGCTATCGAATCAATGAATCTCAAAATGGCCTCTGCTTGGTTGACCGTCTTGGACAATGCAACTAGTGCCCCCGCCGGTTGAGTATCTTCAAGGCTCTTCTTCAAGTCTATCAGCTCCTGTTCTTTTTCGGTCACTTCCTCATCATCTTTTGGAGGTAACCTCTTAACGTTTCTTCCGCCAGAAACAGGTAAAACATTCAACTCGTCGTCCAACACTAAACAATTTCTGCAATCGGCAAGTGACAGCAAAAAGCGCTCATTGAAACGAGCCACAACATCGTTGTGTGCTTCAGTTCTATATCTGGAATGGATATCCATGGTCATGGTATATAATTGCTTCAGAGATGTCATGGACTTGAGTAGCATAACAACTAATCCTCCTCCTTCAACCGTTTCAATTGTCCTTGCCATAAGATTAGGGGTGAGTCCTTCGAAATCCTGCAAAATGACCATACCATATGTATTACCCAAAATCTTGTCGGTCTCTTTATAATACACGTATCTGATCTGCTGGTTTGTAATGAAGACTTCAAATGGATCTAGCTCATTTGGCTCCCTTTTTCCGCGCTTGATTTCCTTTTTGATCTTGTCTTCCCTCTTCTTTCTATGCGAAGTGAAACCAAGAAGTTTCTTCTTATAAGCCCATAAAATGGATTTATTCATTTTGAGGTTTGCATTCATCATCAGATAGTGGAGATTAGGAATTTGGTTTCTGGATCGATCTCCAACCATAATTATAAAACTCCGTTCCCTGGTGTCAACGCCATTGCGGATAAGAGCAGCAATCCGTGAATCAAGGGCCTTCTTCTTGCTCATACCTTTAAGTGAAAATTATTTCAAGAAAAAAAAAAAATCAAATAAAAAATAAATTAGGTTACAACATTATGCGTGTCGCAAAGGAGTAGGATAAGAGGCAAAACCTGCTTTGTTGACTCGACAATCCCAAAAATATTATCAAGCTAGCATATGGTGGTGGTGCTGCTAGACGCATGTGGATACTTTAATGTGTGTCAATGTAGAAAACATTCAGGTTCATAGCTACTGCTTTTTATAAAGCTACAGATATAATTTCTGAGCTATCATTTATATATAAGGCCAGGAATTATCCGAAAGCTAATATCTTTCCATTGTGCCTGAAGGGAATGTTTTCCAGTATAACAACCGTACCCTGCAATATAGTGTCTAAGTATTGCAGCATCTCAGTATATTTCAGATCATTCACGCTACTTATCATCAGGTTTGAGCCGCATAAAATTTTTTTAGCTAAAATGTCTACGGTAGGATCATCACCAGAGAATCCTGTAAATGGAGAAAACCTTGGGCAGCAAGGATCTCTAGACAACGAATCTCATGAAGAGGAGAAAGAGGAGCAAAACCATACTTCCAATGCTTCTGATATAGCCAAAGAGAACCTGGAAGGACAGGATAAACAAATAGAACCGATTAATGACCAGAATCCCGAGGATCGTATTTTTGATGAGACGAAAGAGATCGCCGAGTCTGAGAACGAATCTAACGATAGCACGAGCTCAGACTCAGACTCAAACTCAGACTCCTATTCAGAGTCAGATAGCAAGTCGACTTCTGATTCCAGCTCGGACTCGAGCTCAGATTCGGAATCTGAGGAAGAAGGTGAAGTTGAGGTTTCCGACAACGAGAGCGACATATCTTCGGAGCCCATCAAATCCAAGAACGAACAAGAGGAGGAAGGGCTTGAATTGCCCGAGGACTTTTCCATTCCTCCCGATGCGCCTATTGAGTACATCGGTACTATTACAGCTCTTGTTGAAAGAAGCATTGTGATCAAGGCAGGAGTTTCAGGGGAGATACGCGTCTTGAAAGATGGGTCAATTATCTGCTTAGAAGATAGAACGTTGGTTGGCCCGCTATTTGAGACATTTGGCAGGATACAATCTCCCTCGTATCGTGTTAAATTCAAGACTGAAGACAAGTTAGAAGCATTCAGGGACAAAAAAGGCGCAAAAGTTTTCTACGTTGTTCCTGAGTCCGAGTTCGTGCTTACGTCTGAAATAAAAGCAACAAAGGGAAGCGATGCAAGTAATTGGCATGACGAGGAAATCCCTGAGGAAGAGCAGGAATTTTCTGACGACGAGAAAGAAGCAGCGATGAAAGCTCTTAGGAAACGCAAGAAGAACCAAAAGAAAGATGAGCCAACAAAAAGGCCACTTCCGAATCATGTGAAGTCACAACTTACCTCTCTTCCAAAGAAGGGAGCTCCACAGGCAGGAACTCCCTTTCAAGCTACACAATCCCCGAAACAAGAGAATTCTGCACAGTCCTCGGCTGCTCCAAAGTCCGCCCCGATTAGCCAACCGGTACAAATGTCGCAGCCGTTGCAATCGGTTCGGCCCATTATTCCAGTTCAGTCTCAGCCGCAGCTGTATCAGCCCATGAGTTTCGTGAATCCAGTCCAACAACAATACTATCCCCAGCAACTACCATATCCTTCCACTACAGGGTATTATCAGCAACATGCTCAATATCAATGGTATCCCCAGTACCAGCAATATCCAAATTATCAGATTCCTTACCAACAGGTCCAGAATGCGCAGCCTCAGATTGATCCGAATGTTTTTCAACAAGTCAGCCAGTTCATCCAACTTGCTCAAACGCAAACCCAATCTCAGCAACAATCGCAGCCTCAAAACCTTAATTCACAGAACAAGACTCCGAAAACCTTCTCTGACGACGAATATGACCCTGAAAATGTATAGCAAAGTTTCCATTCGATAGATCATGTGATATATTTTATCAATCGTTACGTAAACCTGATGTCGCTTTGATGTACGTCTTTCTGGCCAGCTCTAATGCATCGGAGGGAAAGCCAGCCAGTTGTGCAATTTCAAAAGCATGCGAATGAGAGCTGATTCCGGGAATCAGTTTGTGGTTGAAAATGAGCTTTTCGTCGATTGGTAATTCGCCATCATGAATTTTAGTTAGAGTAGTTTGATAGAAGGCCGTACGTCGCTCTAACTCTTTATCATCTTTCATCAGTTTGTGGATCTCCGCGCCGAAATGCGTTGCAAAGAGCACTTTGCACTTCTTATTTTTTACCAAATGAGACAAAGATGCATATGCGATGGTTATACCTTCAACCGCCGATGTTCCTCGTCCAAGCTCATCAACTATAGCCAAGGATCTTTCTGTGGAATCCCTAAGTATAATTGCAGTTTCGTTCATTTCTACCATGAACGATGATTGATGTCTGTAAATGTTATCCGAGGCTCCAACTCTGGTAAAAACCTTATCTATGATCCCGATATGAGCTTTTGTCGCAGGGACATAAGATCCTATCTGCGCAAGTATTGCAATCAGTGCATTTTGTCGTAAGAAGGTGCTTTTGCCACCCATGTTTGGGCCTGTGATCACCCATCCACTGCCTGAATCCAGGGCACAACTATTCGCTGTAAAATTTTCAACTCCAGTGACTCGTCCACGCAAACCCTCTTCCACTACCAAATGGCGTCCATTTTCTATCTCAAATTTGGTGCTTCGGTCCACAGTTGGTTTGACAAGACCTTTTTCCCAAGCCAGCAGATAAAAGGAGGAGCAGACGTCCAGAAACTCAATGATAGGAGCAACCTGGCGCAATTCTGTAGAAAGGGAGAGCAAAGTATCCCGAATCAATGATATGATCCTTTCTTCTTCTCTCAAAATGTCTTGCTCAACAAATAACATCTCTGTACCTAAAGTTTGCCATTCGACTGTCCAGAATTTGGCACTGGACTTTGTTCTTTCACGAAGCTGAAGGTCCATGTTGTCGACAAGATTCTTGAATGATTTTCTAGATGATCGAACATCAATGACGAAATCAGTGGACCGAGGATCACGGATTAGATTGAAACTTCCTTGGTAACCGAATTTTTCGAATTTTTCTGACAATTGCTGTATCAGAGCCTGAAAACGAAGCTCAAGCTGGTCATATTTCTCTCTAAGCTCTGCAAGCTTTGGAGAGGCTGTTGGCTTGAGAAACCAGTACTTACGGAGCACTTCGAAGTCATTCCTATTTGTATCAATTTTCACCCTAAGGGCCTGAGGGTTGATTGTGTTGATAATAGATTGAGATAGACTCATAAGAGCTGGAGACTCCTTGAATTTTTCGAATAAAGGCAGAACAAGATTGACTAACTTTTTATCCGGACAGTCCTTCACCATCTTGTGAATCTCATCGATTATCATGATAGTATGTCCCAATTCCAAGTACTCTCCCATGTCGGCCCTCTTGTTATCTGCACGGCGAACGATTCGGCCTAAATCAGTGGTCTTGCGTAACAACTGGATCAGCTCCTCGACAAAAATGTGGTTGTTTAGAAAAACCTCAATATACCTTTGACGTTTCCTAATCTCCCCGACATCTGTGGATGGAGAGAGAAGCCACGTATTTAGAAGTCGGGAGCCTTGTACCGTACATGTCTTGTCAATTATGGACGCGAGAGCTCCAGTTCGGAAACCACCAACTATGGTCTCAGTGAGTTCCAGATCCTGTGCAGCGCGAGGATCAATATGCATAAGCGTATTTGGCAACGATCGTTGGGGCAAGTCAAAACTGAGCTTGTAAAAAGGCAGACACTCATTCAGGTAGTGCAGCAAAACTTTTGCGGCTCCAGCTTCTTTCTGCGAAAGCTTATCCAAACGGCTTTGGACAAGTCGCTTGTTTTCTGAGAAACGGTCGGCAAAATCCAGAAGCGGTGTACTGACTGACGGCAGCGAATACCTGCTTATATAGTATTTCTTCAGTTCTCCCAATTCGGGAAACCACTTCCCTGTAATCAAAGAATCGATATCTAGATCACTGGCTATCAGAATTTCACTTGGATTGATCCTAGTTATGTTGGCCATAAGCTCATTCATATTAGTTTCGAGTACATGAAACTGACTCAAGCCAATATCTACCCAGCACATACCTATCTTTTGACCTAGAGCATCTTTTTTGAATGGGTCCGCAGGAAATTGGATAGCCAGCAAATAATTTGTGCGATGATAATCTCTCAATGCCTCATCAATGATAGTTCCCGGGGTAACCAACCGAGTCACCGGCCTCACAATCACGTTCTGTGCAGTGGTCTGCTGATCACAAACAACAGCTTTGAGCCCTTGGCCAAAAACGATCTGTAAGTATTTTTCAAGCTTGTAGTCAGGAAAGCCTGCAAAAGGTATTTCATGATTTTTGAGAACTCTCTTGCTCAATGTGAGGCCCAAGACGGATGCATGTTTCTCAGCCTGCTGAAAATAGAGCTCATAAAATGATCCCACTTGGATCAAGACCACGTACTGATCTTCAGGATATTGGTCGACAATGTCTTTCAACGTCTGATAAAAATACGTGAGCTCGACATCTGGTTTCGCACCACGGTCTCCAAACTGGTCGATTTCGTCACCCTGGACAGTCTTCTTTATAGTTTTCTTGCCAATCTTCTTGCGGCCTTTCCCTTCCTCCTGGGTCTCGTCGACAGAAGCTTGCTTGTTATCTTGACATGCTTGAATCGACTGGAGAGGAGCGCGTATATTCATAGGAATGCGGACAACTTGGCGTGGATTTACCAAGCTGTGAAACCTTCTCAAAGCATATTTAGGCCCCACGCGTATCATGGAAAATCTGGAGCAACGGGATGGGCTTTTATATACAGAGCGCTCAGCTATGTTACTCGTAACTTTTCAGATTTCATGCCCGCAAAACCGGGACAATTTAATACTTACTTTTTTTTTTGGAATACCAGCACTTCACGATCTATAGTTGTGCTTAGACGAAGCTGCAGGCAGTTAGAAGGAGCTGTGAGTTTGGCAATTAGTCTAGCGTTTGGGCAAAAAGTGTCTATGTATCCTAGGATGCCCGAAACAAAGAGCACAGGATTGGCGGTAACGTCTATAACTCCGGGAACAATACCAGAGAACGGGCACCTTAATGCAACGGTCTCTGACCCAGACCCGTTAGAAACCCTTACAGGACTCCCGAATGGCGAAATGAAGATCAAAAGCTATGAAATGGCTCAACAACCCTGCAATGGGAAGCGAATCAGCGTCGATGAGGCGATTGCTCCCACCAAGCTAGATCTCAATTCAAGAGCCTCCCGGGAAACCTTACGAGCTCCTCTTAGAAACGAAATGAATATCACCATAGAGCGTCAGTCGCAGTATACACAAACAACAGCACACTCAAGTGGTATGGACAGATTGGGCTATACAGAGTCACATACGATTGCGATACCTGAGCCTTACTCTCAAACTGAAATCACTGGTATTGATAGACATAATCAGCAGACACTCACTAGCCGTCACCGTTTTGCAAGAAGAAATTCTTTCAATATAGGGCCTCAAAAACGAAAGTCACGAGCAAAGTCTAATGACAGATATTTGATTCCTGGACAGCGTGTTGTGGAAGGTCACCACAACTATGTCATGGCATATAATATGATTACCGGAATTCGGGTCGCTGTGTCCAGATGTTCAAAGCTTCCAGGGCCTATTAAAGATGAGGATTTTACGAACGTTTCCAAACTAATTTTCGACATGGAAGGAAATACCATGACACCATCTACAAAATATGAATTCAAATTCAAAGACTATGCACCCGAAGTGTTCCGTCATCTCCGTAGCAGGTTCAATATTGATCAAGCAGATTATCTTCTGTCCCTAACGGAACGCGTGAGTTTGACTGAGTTAGGATCTCCAGGGAAAAGTGGGTCCTTCTTCTACTATTCGAGAGATTACAAGTTCATCATCAAAACCATCCATCATTCAGAGCATAAGCATCTTCGCAGATGTCTCAAGCAATACTATGAGTATGTGGAGAAAAACCCCCAAACATTCATCTGCCAGTTCTATGGTCTTCACCGTCTCAAAATGCACTTCACCACTGGAATTCACAAAGTTCACTTTTTGGTGATGAACAACATATTCCCTCCACATAGAGACTTGCACGAAAAGTTTGATCTAAAAGGGTCAACGCATGGGCGTTTTACGGATGTAAGTGCAGCCAAAGCTCAAGGAAAGACGTCGATAGTCCAAAAGGATCTTAACTGGCTTCAAGATCATCACCGACTCAATTTTGGACCCACCAAACGCAAGCAAATTGTAAGCCAGCTAAAAAAAGATGTCCAGCTTCTTGAAACGCTAAATATTATGGACTACTCATTTTTGATCGGAATACATGATTTAACTCTTGCGACGCAGCACGATCCCTACAACCAGCTTTCAAACTTTGATCCTCCCGAAATACGACAGCAATCTGCTTCTACCGCATCTGACGGGTACTTTGATAGCGATGGTGGTATTAGAGCGACAGACGAGCAAGACAATGAGCTACCTATTGTGTATTATATGGGAGTCATCGATTGCTTGACCAACTATTCGACTTTCAAAAAGCTAGAAACATTTTTCCGCACATTGAATCATAGACGCGAGACCATAAGTGCTGTACCTCCAGTCGAATATGGGCAACGGTTCCTTAGATTTATAGAGACTGCCATGAAACCTACATCCAAGTCCGCCTAGAAAAATACATCGCAGTTCGCAATAATAATACACAATTCTATGACAAACCGTTTTTTTTTGTAATCCCATTACTCTTCAATGTGGTCCTCTTCCATTTCTTGCTCAGGTGCTGGTTCATCAATCTCTTTTGGCTCGACGGCAGAAACTTCTGGACCAGGCTGAGAAGCTTCATCGGGCTGTTGGGCAGATTCTGCCTCCATGTCCATATTTTGCTCAGTCGAAACGGTGTCTCCTCTCTTGGCAAATGAAACACGCAGACGTCTTCTACCGTATTCATAGTTGTCCAGTTGATTGACTGCGGCAATCGCGCCGTCGAGTTCCTGGAATTGAACAACAGCAGTCCCCGCTGGTCTATTTAGATCATCAAATTGAAGTTCAGCACGCTTAACAGAAGCGATACTTCCAAATAGGTCATAGAGATCCGTCTCAGACGTCTCCCACGGCAAATTATCCGCGAAGATGGTGTCGTTTGGTTCACCCTGTCCCACAACACCAGCAACAAACTCGGAGTTTCTAGATTCAGCTGCTCCCTGGGGCTCCTTGTTGAACTGTTTTCCAAGTCTCACTTCAATGCGTCTTCCATCCATATCATAACCATTAAAGTCAGCAATTGCCCTATCTGCATCCTCCGAGTTCTCAAAAATCACAGTGCCAAATCCCTTAGAACGTCCTCTATGATCCTCTCTCACATCAGCACGAATAATTGGACCGCAGCTTTTGAATAAGTCTTTGAGGTCTTGCCATCTCACACTGAATGGTAAGTTTCCAATGAAAACTTCATAGCCCTCAGTTAAAGGAGGAGGTGCATTTCGTCTTCTTTCCTCGCGACCAGTGTTTTCTTTTTCTGGAGGAGGCAGATCTTCTCTAACAAAGATCTCACGGCCCTCGTACATTGTGCGATCAAACTTGGAAATTGCCTCTTGAACAAGGTCCTTGTTCGCAAACTCAACAGTTCCCATTCCGCGAGATCTTCCCCGAGAAGTGACCACATCTGCACGCACAACTTCACCGACTTCGCGGAAAAGGTCCTTCAAATCGTACCAAGTGGTATGATAAGGAAGGTTTCCAACGAAGATCGAGTTTTCGTAAACTCTATTAGATTTTGACTCGTGCTCACGTGGACCACGGCCACGAGTCTCAAACCTGCTACCAATTCTTGCACGCAACGGTCCTCCTCTTCCTCCTCGGCGAGAGGAGAAACCGCGTCTATCGTCTCTTCTCTCATTCCGACGTGGAGGCGAGCGAGACCTCTGGCGCCATTGTTCTCTCACAGGTGACCTCGAACGATCCTAAAATGTTAGCCTTTTAGCGAAAAGCTGAATACTTACCCTGTTGTATTCATCTAATTCCATGTTGTCAGACATAATCAGTGGAAAATTTTGATGTAGCTGAATTGGATTATAGGAAATATTTTCAGTTGATTAGCTAAAGGTCGAGAAATGCTTATATAATACTAACTCAAACGAACTCATTTCAGTGATGACGACCATGCGCAATGTGTTGAATGCTGATTCTTTTTACATATCTATAGCCAGTGGACCACAAAGATTCCCATGGTATTATCTAAACAAAGAGTGATTAAATGCCACCCATGACGAAGCTAGGAGTGTATTTTGCTCTAAGTGACCTGATATTATGAGACGTCACCAATCTACTTGGCATGGGAAACATATAGAGGATCTCATTACTGAACTAGGATGACGGGGTCGATAAGCGGTACTTTGATATGTCTGCAGCCAACCAATTTTTTATGGGGAGAGTGATTTATCCTTTACTCTTTTGATTATTGCACACCTAATTTAGTTTAGATACCCTTTACATCCTGGGGCCCCGCATAAGCATGGAATTCTTTCCTCATCATTGGTCTCCCTTTCGAATTTATAGTCGTAAGTTAGCTCCTCGTTGGCTGCAATATCGCGCAGAGCGTAAATAACAATTCTTTTCTTTCCTTCCACCTTGATGATCTTTGCCGTGCAAGAAGGTACGCAACAATGATTAATGAAGCGAGCTATGCCTCCCTTTTTGGATGCATCAATAACGGTGTTCTCATCAATACGGAACAAATAGGACGAGCCAATGCCGGATCGAAGGTATTTCTTTTCTCTGACTTCGGCAACTTGTTGCCGAATTCGCTCTCCGACATACTCTATAATCATCTCTTTCGCAGCAATCGGCTCTAAAGCATACAGACCCCAGTTGTGGATGGCCGATCTGGCAAACTGTACAGGTTTTTTCCGTTTTGTCAGCTGGTTCAGGTCCAAAATATCCGTTTCGGAGCCCAACATCTGTTTCTGGGCACTGATGTCCGCCGCAAACCGACGATTATTAGCCCTATTAACCCTAGAACTTTGTATTGCTTGCGTCTCACCCTCGTCTTCGTTTTGAACAGTATTCAGAAGCTTATGGGCTTTCCGGCGATGCAATAGGTACTCGCTCTTTACCTTGTCGGGTATTTTGTAGTAGCCTTGAGTGCGGAAGCTGCCAGTTGAATTTTGCAGTTTATCGTTCCTCAAAATTTCTTGTGAAAACTCAATTGCTTCCGCATCTTCTGCACTTGTCTCAGTCATGGAGCTTAGATGCTTAATTTTCTTCACATATTCTTTGTGTTTCCAGGCCCAAAGCTTGACATCTTTAATCTCTTCGCTCTTTGGTAAGTCTTCGAACGCTCTTCGTGCGAAAGCAAAATCCTCATCATCATGAATGATAGCTTGCAAGCTGTTCAAATCAAAGCCCATCTTACTATAATCGTCATCATACACCGTCCTAGCCACATCATGAGAAGGCTTGTATAGCTCGCTAACCAAATGGTCTTTCTTCCGATCAGCCCCAGATTCCTCATTCTGACGATCCAGTGACTCAGGTGACGTTGGCTGCGACGTGACTTTAGACTCTGGAAGATCTTGAATATCTTCCTCATCCGAGGAAGAAGTGGTTTCTATGGCAATCATCTTTTGTTTCTTGGAAGCTTTATTTTGGTCCCCATCCTCTGATTCGTTGTCAGAGTAGTTCAGCGCATGAGCCATAGGAACAGCATTAAGCTTACGTTTGTACCTATTCTCCACAGGCTTCCTCCTGAAAGTAGATAGCGATGATATAGGAATAGATTGGTGCTGAACGGTGAATGCAGAGACACCCACATGCCCATTCAGGGAGTCTGCCTTGGTTTCTTTAGTATCCTCTTTTTCCTTCAGATATTTTTCCAGAACAGATTTGTACTTGTTGCTATCCAACAACGAAAGCAATTTGGGGCCGATTACTTTCTCTCTCAAATCTTTGAGCAAATAGTCATGAAACTCCCTGATTAACACTGCTTTTGCTTGACCAGCGTGGCCAATTCTTTCACCAATCTTTGTCTGGTTCATCAATTCATCAGGAACCACGAAGTCCATGTACAGTTTGTATTTGGAGAAAGGCCTTCCGTCTTCTTCGTCAAAGCATTTTTCAGCATCCGCAATATTATTAAACACAACGTAGAAGCCCGATTTGTGAGTTAAAATTCGGTCGAAATTGTGCCCAGAAAGAAGCTTTCGTATGTCTGACGAGTTCACATTACGAGTGTTAACAAATTTATCTGGAATGAGAAGAAATGGCCTATTCGCAATGTGTTTATCAAAGTTGAACGGAAGAGTGACCGAGGACAAAGTTCTCACATGACGATCATGAGCCGAAAGCTTCACAGGCAGCTGATCCCGGCCCGTCCTATTGAGTTTTTTTCGTTCTTCTCGCTCTCGTCTCTGCTCTTCCCTCTCTCTCTTTTGTTCGTCGCGTTTCTGCATCATCTGCAGCTCCTGCTGGCGTCTTCGCTCTTCTTTTTCTTTCATCAGCTGCTGTTTCTTGGTATCTAGAATTCGATTGTAGATTGTATTAAACAGTTGATCGTTGTTGTTAAGTCCACATCGAAGGTACTGGCCTCCGATCTGCAACTTTTTGTGCACTGCCTCGACTGCTTTGGTGGCCGCTTGATGCGCTGACTCAGGATCTCCATCATATTCTAATACGCACAAACCTAGTGGGACTGCCGTTAAGGGGTCGTCAATCCCCCTCAGGTCCGAGATTTTCCCAAACTGAGCAAAATTATTTCTGATGATCACGAGCGGAGTGGTGGTCGGAAAATTCCAGATGACAAGTTGTGATGATGGCTCGGGCCCCACAGAATATTTATCGTACTTAAATTTGGGTATGAGTAAAGAGGTGTGGGGGCGCCGCAGTAGCTTTGGTATCTTTTGCAGCGCTTTTGGTCGTGGGTCCTCACTTAGTCCTCGGTCGCGGTCTGTGAAGATATATATGGGTTTTGAGCCTTTTGATGGATCCTTTCGCAAGTCTGGGTCGTAAGTGATTTTGAAGCTGCGGTGCTGTTTGTCTTTGCCAACTTCAGCAGCTCTTTTGTCCGCACGATGGTTTTGACTAGGAACAGACGAATAGTCGTAATAACGCAAGAGAGGTGAGCTTTCGCTCCTTATCGTATCTGGGGGAGTTGGGTATCTGCCATGTGATCGATGCAATCCACCGTTTTGCGGATCTTCCCGAAGTGGCCCCCGGTACGCGTTTCTATGAAAGACCATGCAGATAAATAAAATACCAAGCAATTTGATATTTAAAAAAATCGGGAAAATAGCGTGAAGCACACAGATTTATGTCGCGCTTTGTTGCCGCAGATGAGGTCAATGACGAGGATTTGGCGAACCAGGAGGCACATGAGGAGAAGCTTTTGAGTGCTTTCGAGCAGGAGAAGAGCAAGGAGGGGCGCAGGACGCTCGCGCAGCAGCTAAGGGAGAACAGGCAACAGAAATACAAGGAATACAAGGACAGCATGGAGGAGGAAAACTCTCTTTACAAGTGGACTGAAAGAGATATGGAATATTATGGTAAACTTGAAGAAGAACGAAGGTCTAAGAGATTGAAGGAGAAAGCAGATATTGAAAGGGAGATCACGACTTACAAGCAAGCTATAAGAGCGCGCGAACGAACAGAAAGCAGCTCCATCCTTAACGAGCTCGAAAAAATCGAAGCTATGGAAGGACACAAACGAAGATACTACACAAAAGACAGAGCTTATAGAATCAAGAAGCAGAAAGCCGCAGCGAATGGTAACAACTCTGATCGCGCTCAGCTGCCAGACAGCAATTCTGACACCGCAGGCCGGATTCCTAAAACTCGCTCACAAAAGGAGACGTCTCTTAGCCACCAAAGAAGTCAAGTGTCATGTTCTCCAAAAAACTCCATTCAGTCGCAACTTGGCTATTCCTCGGAGAGCGAATAAATTATATAAAATTCGTAAAATTTTGTCCATCCATTTTCATGTTTTCGCTTTTTCGCCCGTTGGTCCAATTTTCATTTCCACAACTGACCCGTGGACTTGCGAAGACGCACCGTGCCACTTACAAAAGATGGCGTAAGACAGGCACTGGCTACAAGCGTGGATTGCAGGGCCGCAAACACGGAAACGCTGGCCACCCGCACAGCATCTTGAAGAGGAGAACTGGAATTACCTACGCTAACCATATCCAAGAGAAGCAGCTCAAGCGTCTAATGCCCTACCTGTGAAACAATCACCAGATCTGTATATACAAAAATTAATACAAACGAATTACTGACGAACTGCAATCTTATGAGCGATTGATCTATGCATGCAAAGAGGAGGAGTCCAGCTCACCGTATTCATGCCACCCCTCCTCGTTTTTCATCTCCACCGTCTCAAAGTAGTGGTAGTTGACTTTGAGCGTTTGTGCAAATGGGACGTTGTCAAAAGACACGATTCTTAACTTGCAATATGAATTGTCTTTGATTTCTTTCACGACCTTAACAAACTCGTCCAATGTGGGTGTTGGTTTTTCATTAACATGCGTGATGAAATTGGTGACACCAATGGTGTATAATCTGGAGGGAGATCCTGGCGCCATGGCCGTACAATAAACTTTAGAAGGTAGCTGTTTGATCACTTGTCTTACACCATGATGAGGCTCCTGTAACACGGCACCGGCCCAATAGACCACGTGCTTAGTGACAAAGGAGCTACTCAAAACCAAAGGAACATTGATGTCCATGATTTGCTTGTTTCTGACGATTTTGAACGAAATCTCGTTTACATTCTCGTCGAGGTCTCGGATAACATGGTCAATATCACGAAATTGTGTGATGACTCGATTATTTGCACTCAGCACAATATCTCCATGTCTGAGACCGCAGGAGGGTTTGTTATCGAGTGAAATGCTAACCTTGGGAACGCTGAGCAGTCTGGGTTGATCTGCAGACTTTTCTTCAATTTTTGTGATCCACTCCTGCGGAACACCACTGATTCTAGCATTAACGATAGGGATGTTACCAAATTCAGCATCAATGAATTTGAGTTCCGGGACCTGCTGGGTTTTGAGGTTTTCGAGTTCCCAGAGCACATCTGTAGCGTCCAGCCCCATGGAATAGGTCTTGTCTTCGTCCGCGTCGAAGGCGAGCCAAAACGCACGGACCAGCCCACTGGGGTCACAGAGAACGCCAGAACCACATTGCTGGCCTAAGTTAGAGTCAATTAGCAGGGCTTCGAAATTGGAGGCCTTGAATCTGGGGGAGGTGACATTATTCGGAAGATGTATGATCCCAATGTCACTAACTTTTGTTTCGTCAACAACCACCCTTTGGGCTCTGTTGTGACCAATAAACACCACTTTGTCACCTCTTCCCAAAGGCTTCTCGCAGAATTGGGGAGTTTGCAAAGGAGCCAAAATTAGTTTGGGATCGTATTTCAAAATGGCATATCCCTTGGTTGGGTGTAAAAAGACAACCTTAGCTGGTACTATGATCGATTCTGCAACGGTCATAGTAACGTCCAGGAGGTCATGAGGCACACAGTACCTCGAAGCAAGAAGATATCCGTTGGTAGCATCAATCACAACGGCATACGACTTGCGAGACTGTCCACTGAACGAATCCAGCGGGACAGGCATGGTGCTCTTTAACATCACCAAAGAACGATCGAGTTGCTTACAACCTTCAAATTCGATCGGAAGCCCCACAAATTTAGCATTTTTCGGGGACAGAGCCGGTGGTGGTAATGGTTTCTCTTGCAGAGTTGTGAAGTCCCAAAGACCAGTCGTGTCGTTTCTTTCTGCTAAACGGAAACTAGAGTGCCAGTGGCGATCGATTTGGACGATTTTGATAATTGGGACATGAAGGTCCGTAAGATGGCGGCACTTGACGGTCACGAAAGCAGAGTCCGGGATTGATTTCATAACCTCGATGAATTCGTCGAGATTAGACACATCTTTATCGTCAATCGAGTCCAAGAGCCATCCATTAGGAACATTGGTGCCCAACACAAAAGAGCCAGCGGCATTGCTCACGTGAACACCTTTCACTGCCACTGCATAAATTCTAGCGAGTTGGTAACTCAGATCATTGAAAGTCGCACCGCAAACGGTGACGTACCTTCTGGGTGTAATTGAGTGAAGATCTCCAACAGTACAGCGAACAGTTAAATCTTTGCCGCCTCTCTGAATGACTATCTCAATCTCTTTGCCGACATGAGTATCCAGAATTTCGTCCACAGTGATGAATGTAGATATCAACTCTCCGTTGATAGATATCAAACAATCACCTTCTCTTATTAGCCCATCAGCAGGGCCTTCAGGTAACGTGACAGCAGAGACCAGAAGACCATTGAGACTCGGAAACTTTTCTCTCATCAGTTTTTCTGTCTCTGCGCGAAGTCCCAGCCGGCGACATTTATCGAAAGGTTCCAATAGCCATTGAACTTGAATACTTCCTCTCGTAATAGGCTCGTTATTCTGGATGCATTTCAGAGCGCGAAGAACTCGATACACAGGCAGAAAAAAGTCTGTAGAGGTTTCTGTATTACCTCCTGCTTGTAAAGCCACCGCATGGCCATCTATATTGACAACGGGGGAACCCGAGGACCCTCCCGAAGCCGAAGCTGCTGCTTGCAAATATTCTGTGTTGAAGTCGTTGTATGAGTTAATACCATAGTCTGGGGCATTTCTGTCAAGTCGTGAGATAAAACCGGAAAGTATAGAAAGTTTTTCACCCGAATCGTTGCCTATGACCATTATTTCTGCTCCGATCTTGGCAAGATCTGGCCTTAACTGTAATTCACCAACATCCATGTATTTTATATCTGCTGGGTTATATCTCAGAAATCCAAAGTCGTGCACGGGATCCCTGTAGATTGGTTTGACCTCGCATTCTTCATGGTTATCAAACACGGCATATCCAATAAAGGGCCCTGGTCCAACGACATGTCTATTAGTCAAAATTATTCCCAGTTTTGCGTCAACAACAAATCCCGTTGCCTCACTGCAAAGAGCGTTCTCGGTATCAAAGTTCACCACTTGAGCAAAGTGGATCGAAACCACAGATTTGACGACTTTTTCCACAATATGCTGCCATCTCGAATGATCTTGCTTTACAAAGTCTCCTAGCTCAGACCCCAACACGGAATCCACGTCATCCATGGATATATCATCAGACTTTTGTCTTTTAGCGTGGCCATTTGACGGAGGATCTCCATGTCGCTTAGGGTGATAATCCTCAGTCTCGAACATGAAAATACACTTGGCTGGTTATTCAGAAAAAAAAATTACGTATTATTTTTACATGTACATATATAATTTTCTAGGAGCTCGTCTGTTTCTTGATGCTGCCTATCCAATTTTCATACTCGCGAATCGCACCATCGGAATAGTAACACACTTGGTTTCCAATGAAGGAGTTAAGTGTCGGCAGCCCAAATGGAAGCTTTGATTTGGTTGTCAACAGGTCTTTGTCCTCCAGATCGCGCACCCACTTTTCCGTTTCGCATAATTTCTCAACTAGCGCGATCCAATCGAGCAGTTCGTTATACTTGAGGCCACCGTTTTCATGCAACTGTAGGTTCTTGAAAAACTGTGTTTTGAATCCCATTTTGGCATCCACTTTTTCTCGGTTTAGCCTCAAGAATGCGATTGAGACCAGTCCACATAACAATCCCCATGGACTTTTCGTACGGTAGTAGTAATTCGTGTATGTCTTCAGTATGTTCTTTGTAATGTCCTCCGGCAGATAAAACTTGTTGCAAAATGAGATCAAATGAGCAGTCGTGATAATTGTGTCGTCGTTCAGAGACCGGTCTGCCATCGACAGCATCTTGAATCCCTTTTTACGTCCTCTTTTGGAAGGGCCCTTTATTTCATCTGCGGCAGCAAGCAATTTGTCCTGCAAAGACTTGGCTGCAGACCCGATATCCAATGATTGTTCGTTCTTGATCTCCATTTTGAGGCTCTTAGGTGTGCTCTCAGGAGTTGCTAGCATATTCTTCGTTTTTGAGGGTGTCGGTCTTGGAGTTACAACATTTGCACGCCTCTTACCAGGTGTGGATTCTGGTGTTGCTAGCTCGGTGATTCTTCTCTTCGAAGGAGTTATAGGAGCCTCCCCATGTCTCTTGCGGCCCGTAAGTTGATTCCGAAACTCCTCCAGAACAGCAGCTGCCTTACGTTTGGGGGCTGGTATACGGTTCATGGTGGGATCTGGGAGATCAAACCTGTCCTTTAGTTTTTCAACAGCCAGAAAACAACATAGATGGAACCGTGCGATTTCCATGTGGGCAGCTAGAGGACAAGTTTGCTTTGAGGAAATATACATGTAATTTGCATAATCAACTACTTCCCTTGGATAAGGTTCGGGCAGCGTTGGAATCACGTCTTTCAATGCACTCAAAATCAGCTGCGACATAGGTTAACGGGCAAAGGATCTGAAATCATAAAATATTGCAACCCAGCCATTTTTTTATTACCAAATTTGTATTAATTAAACAACTTTACACCATTGGAAAAAGGTGAGGATACAAATGTGGAGTAAAAATATCCCTTGTTGATTCCAATGATCAGAGGGTCTCGTTTGTTCCATGCATTGCGTGTTTTGCGCAATGAAAAAACAGTCTCCTCTGTAAACCAGATTTTGCAAGAATCTACGAATCAAAAGCAGATCATTAGCGGAGCTCCAGCGGAGCTTGCCGCTAACAGAATGGTTCGTATCTATAAGGAAGCGAAAGCGGCCACGCAATCGTCTGCCAACAACGCAAAATACTGGAAAATTGACTGGGATGTGCTTCCTAGAGGAAACAGGTGGGAGAATGATCTGATTGGGTATCAGTCTTCAAGCGACTATATGCAAGGCACCAGACTTTCTTTCGAGACTAAGGAAAGTGCTATTACTTTTGCTAATGAACAGGGATGGGATTATTTCATCCAAGAGCCGAAGAAAAGGAAGTTCAAGAAGAAAGAATACGCAGCAAACTTCTTTCATTCTTCCGGACCTTTGAAGCATATCAGAACTAAGTAGTTGACTATATATTTATTTTATCAAGACAACAGTTTACAGACATCTTCAAGTACATCACAGCATCATTATATGGCTTGCACTCCTCAAATATATACATTAGGCATTTCTTTCTATTCCTGCACGTCTCAAGATCTCCTCAACCTTAGCACTCAAGATGGGATCTTCCTTTATTTTCAACTGGATCTTGGAGGCCTCCATAAGAGAGATTGCTTGAACTCTGTCGTCATTGGACCTGGACAATCGACATGCCTCTTCAAATAGTTCAATGGCATCCTTGACTTTTTGCGCCTGGAGATAAATCTGTCCTAGATTGATTCTGGCAACTTCAGACTTAGGATCCAGCTCGCATGCGGTCTTCAACAACTGTTCGCATCCGGCGATGTCTTTGTTGACCTGGAAAATAGCCGACTTATTTATGAGAGGCAAAGCACCAATATTGAAAGTTGGCAGAACCTCCTGCAATCTGGCAGCGGTATCAAACTGCTTTGCTGCAGCTGTGTAATCCTGTCTATCGAACAAGATCTCTCCATAATAGTTTGGAACCTCTGGAGAAGTTGGGAACTTTCTCTTGGCCTCCCTGAATAGTTCATCACAGGTAGCAGATTCACCTTTTCTGTAGGCAATACAGGCCAGCTGAATGTGACCGAATACATTTTCAGGATTGTAAAGCTTGGATTTCTCAAAGTTATCCTTGGCCTTGTCCAAATCTCCCATCAGGTAAAACAATTGTCCGTAGTGATAATAAATATCTGGATCTTCAGGATTCATTTTGATGGCCTTTCCGATTTCTTCATCAGCAGAAGCAAAGTCGCCCTTGTCAGCGTTCACAAGACCCAAAAGAACGTGTGTTCTGCATCTCGGAGCTAAGCTGAGAGCCTTGTTGAAATTGGAAACCGCAGATTCAGATTCACCTTTGAGGAAATCGAATGTTCCCTTATACTCATAGGCGAGGGCAGCATGCTTAACGTCCGTGTTGGAACTATCTTTTTCGTAGCTGGTAACCGCTTGATGGAACAGGACATCTGCATTGACGTAATTGTCGTAGGTATCCTTGGCCATCTCATTCAAACCCTTGACCAAAAACTGGGAACAAGACTGATCCGGGTACTTGGATTCATCCAGGTCAATGTTTTCTTTAGCAAAAGCACCAAAGAAGGAAGAGATAGAAGAAGAAGATGGCAGTTCTTTTGGAAGAGTGGAGAAACGCTCCTCGTTAATCTTGTTGGCCAACTTCTTCAAATTTCTTTCCAGAAATGTTTCCGGAGATTGATCGTTCAAACCACCGTAAATGGTCAAAGCTGTAAGATCATAGATGGCTTCTTCGTACTTTTCGATGCTTTCATAAGCATGTGCTCTTCTGAGTAAGCACTTGGAGTAGCCTGGATTCAATTTTAAGGCTTCGGTACAGTCATCAATACATTTCTCATGCTCGCCTTGGGCAGCGTAACAAGCAGCTCTGTTGGCATAGAACACAGGATCAGTTTTGCAGAGCAAGGCCAAACTGTAACATTCAATTGCTGGCTTGAAATCCTCTGCCTTGTAGTACTGGTTTCCAGTCTCTTTCAATGCCAATGCCCACTTGTTTCGTTCCTCCTTGGTCATACCCTTGACCAGGTCTTCAGTCACATTTGGTAGACCGGTGCTTTCATTGATTGGAATATTAGAAGAAGGCCAGTTAGCAGTGACTGTGGCAGACTTTTTCTCCGACTTCTTCTTTTTCTTGTTCTTGTTTTTCTTCTTCGATTTCGAGGAATCATCCAAACCTGCACTCTGTTGGTTCATATAGTACAGCAATCCAGCCACCGATCCGGCACCTACAATGGCCGTCACAGCCAGTGCAACCTTGTGCGTTTGCACAAATCTTGAAAGCGACGAATCAGACATCTAAGTTTCTTATATCTGCGAGAGTGTCAATTTCAAACTGAGTATTTTGCTTGCCTCTCACTTATTTTGTTTGATTTCTTCCGACTAGCGATTTTTTTTTCTCCATCGGAAACATAAGGGTTGAAAACATGTGCATGTCAAATGTGCCATCAAGATAGCTCTCGAGGAAATTGTAAAAGCACGGGCTTTTTTTTAAGTCTTCTTTGTTTGACCACAATCAAGCACCTGAGAATACCATGGTTAAAATCCACTTATAAGTAATACTTGCCTCTTGCGATACAAAGATGAGAAGACTTAGCAACCGAATGGTCCAGACGGTAGCTCAGGCCTACCAAACCGTGTCAAACGCAAGAAAGCCTATGGCTTCAACAGATATGGGATCCATGAATACCACTAGTTCCTCGAGTGTACATTACAGGACATCGACTGCGCCTGCAGGAGTGCCTCTTTCAAAGATATTGAGCAACACTTTTCCTCTATCTGTCTCCGAATCGTTCAGACATTACTTCAGAAGACATCAACTCAACAAAATCCAGCACGACCTTTTGTCGGTGTTACCATTTTATCCCACGCCTTCAACCACCCACCGTGCCGAAGTCATTCAGACAGTCATAGATGACCAAAATAACTACATCAATGAGTTTCATATTTCACCAGTAGACAAACCGTCTACAAAACATGTGGTATTTGTTCATGGATACGGAGCGGGACTTGGGTTCTTTGTCAAAAATCTGCAGGATCTTGCATCCAGGAAATCTGATTGGGATATCCATGCGATAGACTTGCTTGGTTATGGTTGCTCTTCTAGACCCAAATTCCCGTACCATGAACCAAACGCCAACTACGAAAAAATAGAAGCATGGTTTACCGAATCTCTCAAGAAATGGTTCGACAGAAGAAATTTGAATAGAGACAACACAATGGTTGTTGCACACTCAATGGGGGCGTATATTGCCGCTTTGACGAATTTCAAATACCCCGAGCTGTTCAATAAATTGTTACTAGTCTCTCCTGCCGGAATCTATACCACTCGACAGCCCGAAGTTCCCCCATGGTTTGACAAATTGTGGAATAAAAATGTGTCTCCATTTGCATTAGTTAGAAATGCTGGGCCGCTTGGTTCCTACTTGACTTCAGGCTGGACTGCAAGACGGTTTTCGAAAGACAGCAGCATCTTGAACTCAGAAGAGCAGAAGTTGATGCACATGTATACCTATGCAATCTTCAATGCTAAAGGATCTGGGGAATACATGCTGAACTATATGCTTGCACCAGGAGGAGTACCTAGAAATCCATTGCTGCGCAGAATCCACAACCTCAATTGTGATAGTGTGTGGTATTACGGTAGCTACGACTGGATGGATAAGATGGGTGGATTGTCAGCTTGCAAAATTTTGAGGGCCAAAGGACTTCGTGCAGAGATGAAAATTGTCGGGGACAGCGGACACCACCTATACCTAGACAATCTTGTGGCATTCAACGCTCTTGTTGCTGATGAAATGAAATAATGTTTAACGATTAAAATCAATGAAGTACTCGATAACTGTAGATTATTATTAGATCTTATGTGATACATACTTTGAAATCATTAAGAGGAGGCATAAAGTTCGTCGACTCTAGAACGAACACTGTTGAGAATATCTTTTCTCTTCAGCTTTTGTGCGCTAGTTACAAATCCGGTTTCAGGAGTCCATTCCTCATCAACCAGAACAGTACCTTGGATAAGCTCAATACCCGCGAGTCCTTGGGATCTACCAGTTTCAACCAGGCTCTTAGTATATTCATTTGCGAGCTTCTTGTTGGTGACCACTTCAGACAAATGAACTTCGTCCTTTGATTTGACAATACCAAGTTTGACACAGAGATCCTTCAACAAATTTTCATTTGGAACAACAATGGCAATAGGCTTCACCTTGTTCTCGTCAGCATAACAGCAAATGTTCATGACAAGGTTGTTAGACCTGTAGACAGATTCCAGTTTCTCAAGGGCAATATACTCTCCGTTTTGCGTCTTGACAAGGTTCTTCTTTCTATCGATCAGCTTCAATTGACCATTAGGGGTCCACTCACCAATATCACCAGTTGAGAACCACCCTTCCTCATAGTTGAAGGCACTCTCTGTCTCCTTAGAGTTATTAAAGTACTCCTTTGTGACTGGAGGACCGCTAATCAAAACCTCACCCTGGTTGTTTTTGGCAAAGTAACCAGCTTCAGGAACGTCAATCAGTTTGACAGTGATGGATCCAACCAAAGAACCACAAACACCATACTCGAAATGATTTGGATCTGTAACACAAGTGTTTGCAACAGTTTCCGTGAGCCCGTATCCGAGGAGAAGTGGGGCAATGGTGTTGCTGATAAAGATTTGGGTAGACTGAGAAATCGGAGAGCCACCATTCAAAATCAGTCTCAAATTGCCTCCAGTTGCATTCTTAATCTTCTTGAAAATGACATTATCGATCAGGGATGGGACACCAGGGATAGAGAACTTTTTGCATGCAAGTTTAGCGTTGTATGCTGCCCAAAACATTTTCTGCCTAGTGGATGGTTGTTTTTCAATCTGGGCCATAATACCTTTCTTAACACTCTCCCAAACAGCAGCAACACCAACCATGATTGTTGGCTTCAAAGTTTTGATATCACCCTCACAGTTCCTGGTAGACGCATCTGTGAGAGTTTTCACATTGGCATAGCCAGCAACAGAACCCCAGTAAAAGCAGAGCAACTCAAAGACTAGTTCAAAGATGTGAGCCAACGGCAAGAAAGTGATGACAATATCGTTCTCAGTGACAGTCTTATCATCGATGACGAGGGAAACTCCACCAATACCCGCAACAATATTGGCGTGACTCAAGACAACACCCTTTGGAGTACCTGTGGAACCAGAAGTGTACATGATACATGACAGATCGTCTGGCTTTGGAGGGTGGTGAGGGATGTCATGTGCTTTTTTGCCGAGAGCAATGACGTCATCATAGGAGTAAATCTTGATGTCCGGCCTGACTTCAAGAATTTTTTCAACAGCTTTCTTGGCTTCCTCATAAAGTCTACCGTTTCCACGCTTATCGTTAGGATCAATTGGCTCACTGTGGATTATGTACTTGATATCTTTTGCTTTCTTGATTGGATTGATAAGCTTGGACAACAGATTATTGTCGGTGAAAACAGCAGAAGTAGCGGTTTCCACCATGGAATGGGTCAATCCATCTTCACCTAAAGTATCATATGCAGTGACCACAGGAATGGCCTGAGTTTGTGCAGCTATGAATGCTCTCATCCATTTAGGGCTCGTAGATGCAAATATGTGCAATTTGTCAACGCCAGCCGGCTGAACGCCTAGACTGACAAGTCCCTTTCCGAAGTCCGAAACAATCTCACTGAATTGACCGTTCGTAACGTGTTTGTAATCAGAAAGCTCGTAGTAAACCCACTCCTTGTCAACCAACTTCTCAGCACCATCAATAATCTTTTTGACCTGCTTGGTTTCATAGTGGACGTTTTTGAGATCTCTCCAGGCCTGAGATTTTTTGTTTGCTCCGTGCTTCTTTAGTGCCTCGTTGAAGAATTCGTACACTGTGGTACATTCATATCCAACTGGACGGGCAACCACAGCATCCTTTGCCTTGTAGTATCTTCTTGGAGCAGTCTCTCCCTTCTTTGCCTCGCCAACGGGCACATTGACTTGGAAAACCATAGTGATTTACGATCTGCAATAGTAGAAAATAGAGGGGGCAAAAAAAAAATTCCTACAGGTCTTTTTTATTCTGCCAACAGCCTAAAATCTTAAAAAAAACACGCTTGTACTTACATATACAAGCGTATTTGCAACAGGACTTGTTTTTATGATTTGAGCGAACACTGCCATCACATATTTGCACAAGGAGGATCCAAATCAAACCCTGGCCATGCCCATGGCTCCGTGACGCATACTCGATTTTGTTGAGCTAAATCCCAACAAAAGGTGCAAGGATGTAACGCTTGACCTAGTGCTTAGATTTCTTGTTGTTGTCTGCATCGCCTCCCCGCTTTTGATCATACTAGGGTAATGTACAGCCATAATCTCCAAAAGTAGCAGTTATCTATTAAGTTACTTTAGAGCTTTTATCTCAAGTCTTGATCAACAGTCTCGACATGGCCATGCAAATGTTCAGCCGACCCAAATTTCACAATAGTTCCTTTTCCAGTGGCTTTGTCGACATCTATTATTGTCACGCTGGTGTTGCTTGGAACATTCAGATCTTCTTCCTGTAGTCCAGAAGCCAATTTGAAAGCATATGATTTATAAAGATGATTGGTGAAGTTGGTGATTACGCCTCCATGGGTGCAAATTAGTACGTTAGTGTATCCGTTCGCAGCGGCCTCGTCTATAATCCGACTCCACTCATTTTGCAGCCGTGTCAAAAGCTCTACTTTCGTTTCTCCCATTTCTTTGAATTGGGCACCATATTTCTCTTTAGCTTCCGATAGGGGCATTCCCTCTACAGGACCCATGGATCGCTCCCTCAGATTGGGTGTATACCTCAGCTTGAAGTTAGGCTTCTCGCGATGTGCCGATACGATTTCATTCATAGTTTGAACACAGCGGCTCAAATCAGAGCTAACAAACTCGTCTATATCTAGATCCTTCATTCTTCGGCTGACAGATCTAGCTTGTTCCAGTCCTCGATCATTAAGCGGTACATCTTTGTGTCCTTGTAAGATTTTGAGATTGTTCCACGACGTCTGCCCGTGGCGTACAATAAACACTCGAACTTTAGTTCGATCTGTATTTTGTTCTTTATCAAATGTCATTAATCTCTAAATTTTTACCCGGCCAGATGCTTTGGTGAATGAATTTTTTTCAACCTTTAAATAGTTCTTCTCCATAGTATGTTACGAGCTAGAGGCCTATTTATTTCTGCACGGCAGTTTCACAACTCTGTGGTCCGCCCCTCAGTACTCGACTACTTCAAGTTCTACAAAAAAAAGGATGCGGCTCCAGAAACGCCTGTAAAGGACACCAAGGAGGTGATCAAAGAGATAGAGACGAAAACAAGAGATCCTGTTACCTCTAACGAGGTTGTGATTCTGGGCAAACACAATTCCGAATTCAGCGATGAAAAGGTATCTAAGAAAGCATTGGAAGGTTTTGTTTTCAATACATGGCTACCCGAAAAGTCTGAATTCTCGAATAGAAACACCGGCTCGCTACCATATCAGGAAGTTGTCAGCGAGCTTCTCACAGAAATCTTCAAGACCCATGTGCCATCCATCAATGCATCAGATCTCAAACTTGATGACCTCGCGCTCAGATTCAAATTACTGAAAGAAGTCCAGATAAAGTTTGGAACCTCAATTCCTGACATCAAATTGTCTCAGCTCGATTCGTTCGACAAGATTGAACGATACTTGCTCGACAAGTTAGATCCTAAAAGCCAACTTTTCAATGAGAAATTGCCTGACGCTGTGTATCTTGATCCTAAGGAATTTGAGGGGACCAACATTACTGTTGGAGAATATGTCTTTGAGAGCCAGAAACGGAAAGAAATCAGAAATTTATACCAAAAGGCCAAGAATGCCGAGCAGAAAGCCATACAAGAAGCTCTCAACGATGGAGAGAAGTAAACTTCAAATCAATTTGTATATATTAGGTATCAATATTTGTGCACATCATTTCCGAGATATAGTAAAGGCCACCACCACTGAGGCTGCAAGCGCAAATAACACACCGGGCAAGATCAATTCGCGTACAGTGTCGTTTGGCAGACCTTGGATAGCGCTAGTAGTTTTGGCAGAACTGAAAGTAGAAGGTACGTCCACATTCTGGTCGGGGTGGTGAACAATCAAGTTAATCTTATCTTTGTTTAAGCTAGTCAGCACAACGATGCAGTCTTTCAGGTCCTGATCAGATGTTATAGCAACCAAGTCATTTTCGTCGTCGACATAGGAGATTGCAAACTGCTCTGCAGGCTCGAACACTTGGCCAGTTTCAGAATCTTCTGGGGGAGTTAGGAGAGTTCTAACCTCCTGTCTGGAAAGTTTAGACGCAATCAATTCCCTTAACGACTGGATGCCGTCGCTAGGCTTGCAGCTGATTCTGTGGGTTCTTCCCTGGGGAGACTTGAATTTGAAGAAGACTGGCTCGTCAAAGTCAACTTCCACTTGGGGAGCTTTCAAAGCAGAAGACGACGTCTCTGGAGCTCCTGAAAATGAAATTGAATCAGATGGCTTCACAGCGTCGTTTGTGGAAACATTGAATTGAGCGAGTTCAGATTGAGTTACATCAGCAAGCGAGGCCGAGTGCAGAGAACTGGTGTCGTTGTCCAGCGATGTCCAGAACTTATTCCAGGCGGGACCCTCTTTTTCATCATTTGATCCGGCATCAGAATCCCCGTTGTTGATCATTTGGATGGACTGAAGCTGGTTCAGAGTATGATAGGTGAGTTTCAGAACATCCACGACACCCACAATCTCACTGTTGTCGTCATCCACAACTGGAAGATTCAAGTAACGACCTTCAAACATTTGTCTAAGAGCTTGGTGAATGGAACTACTAGCCAAGGCATAAGATGGCTTAGGAGTCATCACACGGATCACAGAGCAAGTTCTTGGATCTATACCAGCTGCAATAACTCTGAGAACAATATCCTTTGATGTAAATATACCCGTCACCTCGTCCTTATTTTTGGAGTCCTTGACCAAGACTGCTGTGGTCCTGTTGTCCCTCATCAGAATTGCAACTTCATGAACGGTCGTTTTGATGTCGCAACAAACAGGAATAGTTCTCTCCGACAGAACAGAGTTCAAAGTTGGCCCACTCACTAGGTTTTTCAGGTTCTCAAAATACTTGATAACATGGACGGGCTGGTTAGCTGGTCCGAGCTCTTCTGTGACGCCCTCCATAGCGTCGTACAATCTTTTAGAGCTTTCGTACATTCTCTCAAGCTTGGTCATTGCTTCATTGTAACACTTGGTAATGTCCAGAACACCCACTATTTGATTGTCCTCGTTGACCACAGGGAGGTGTCTGAAGCCCTTGTTGACCATAAGAGAGAGCGCGTCAGAAGCTAAAGTAGAGACCTTAGCACACATTGGGTTGGGAGTCATGATCTGATCGATGGTGGTCTGGTTAGCATTAAGATTGGCTCCAACAATTCTAAATGCTAGGTCCTTTGCCGTGAAAATACCTGAAAGCAGGCCGTCTTCATCAACCACCAATACACAATTTTCTTTAGTGACAGACATGAGCTGTGCTGCCTCGTAGACAGTGTTTGTTGGTTTGCAGATAACAGCTTCAGAAGGTTTCAGCGACATCACGGTACCAGCTGCGCCTGAACTGCCCTTGGAACGCTTTTGTGGCGAGCCCAAGTTCGAGACCATACTGACATTGTTCTTTTTTCTTAAATCGTGCTCTATCTTCTTACGAATCTGGTCGTCTTTTTTGCTCTGCCTTTTCCGCGTGGACTCCATGGGGTCCGAAGACGGATTAGAGAGCGACGACTGAGCCCTTCTTGGAGTTCTCACTGTGCTATCTGAGGCCAACATATCAAAGAATATAAATCTAAGGATAACTTTTTTTTTGTTTACGGATAAACGTAAACAAACACTGGATTTAGATATCAGGGCGGTGCTTCTCTCCTCGACAAAACGGGGATAGATGGGAATCACAAACGAGGTGAAAATTCATCGTATGTAATGCATTCGTAGGACATCGTCAGGTCATTCAGTGCTTCCAGACCAGTCCTTAGAGGTAAGAACCTCAAAATACCTTCTCAGCTTGTTACTTTCCGTATGGGTGCAGATTTTGTACGCAGAAATCAGTCACGATGACTTCCTTTCCCCTTACAACTTATTGAAGCTCTGCCAAGTTTGCCGGCCATTTCTTCACAACACCTGCTGTGGCCTTCAATGTAGGTTATATGTCTTGAAAGCGCGCATCTATGCCTCTAATGACGATAATCAGTAGAACGTCGATCGACGGAAGGCTTAAAATATTTATAGTACGATTAATAAATTAAAGTTCCGAAATTTCGGCATTGATAATTGTTGAAGACAATCGATACAGAGACCTTTGCGCCACCACTTACTGGCATGGAAAAACTAGAAAAGCACCCAAAGCGGGCCTCGAAAGCTTGCGACTTTTGTCGCAGTAAAAAAATCAAATGTGACGGTGAATCATTTTGCAGGAATTGCAGGAACCACAACATACAATGTACCTATATGTACGTTGCCAAAAAGCGGTCGTCCAAAAGAAGGAAGAGCTCCAACGTGAGCGACAATTCAGAGAGCGAGAGTGCAGTTCCGGAAAATAATAAAGTAAAGCCTCGTGCCGGCGCCCCAAAGGATCTGGAAGGAAGGCTGAATAAACTTGAATCCATGGTGCATGCGTTGTTGAATAAACTGGATCCCGATACAGTGACTGACAATGAACGCTTTGTTCGAGATAGCAACTCTCCCGAGAATAACAAGCCGAATATTGAGCCAGTTGCAGACTCCCATGCAAACCAGGCAGACCTTGAAGACTTATACTTTGGCCCTCTGACCACCTTTTCATTATTTTCAGCCAAAGGTCTCAAATGGCTTGATAGCCTTCTCCCGGATAAAACACCAACCAAAGTTTTGCGTCGTCATATCATTACACTAATGAAAGCAGAACAACAAGGGAAACCAAGTCAAAATTATACAATGCCCAGCACAGCATCGGAGATCTTCCCATCTGCAGAAGTAATTGAGTATCTTCTGAAAACGATCGAGCCTTTCTTTCAAAACATTTATCCCATGAAGATCGCTGAAGTGCACGGGCTTTTCGACAAATATCTCAAGTATCAAAATGGCCTCCGACCTCTGAACGCATTTCATCCATCAGAAATTTTACTCATGACTAGCATTATGCTCCATTCCTGCTGTTTAGCTAGCGAGCTGGTAAGAACGATGAATTTCCCGTGCCCAATGCCGTTGATTCATCTGCAGGAACTCGAAAGAAAACTTTCTGAGAACTGCCTGAAATTACTTCTAAATCACTCGGTGTCGCATTCTAACCTTTTGAGACTACAAGCTCTTTATTTGCTAGTCCCGATTGCTGATATTTGTATGGATCGGCATGCATATACACTGTCAAATACATTGTTTGCCAGATCCGCACTCGAATTGGGTCTGCACAGGGAAGAGAGCTATCTTGGAGGAAATCAAGACAGGAGGGATCAGAAGATCTACTTATGGTGGAGGGCATACGCTCTAGACAAGGAGGTTTGTCTGAAAAGTGGCTTGCCCCCTATCCTAAATGACACAGATATCACGACGCCTCCATTACCTGGCTTTGAAGAATTTTGGGCAATGCCATACGAACGACTGCCAGACGGAAGACACAAGAGAGAAATCATGAGGGACAAAATTACCGCCAAGCTGACATCGTTGCTGGATAGTACTAAACAAGATTTTTCTTTTGAGCTCTATCTCACGTACGATCTTGCAGTCATCTCGTCGAGAACATACCAGGAACTGTTTTCGGCTACGTCTCTGGTCAGGAAAACAAGGTCCCAGATTACAAGTACTATCGAGTCATTACTTCATGATTTAGAATGTTGGAGAATGTGCTTCCCCAAAAGAATTAGACCGGGTGAGACGTTTCTCTATTTGGGGGCTCCGACAAAGGTGACGAATGTGACGGATGGCATCTTTCCTCCGTTTTTGGTCCTCAGCTACAATCTCAAGTACTACTTGCTCCAGATCATTATATCGAAGACCATGCTGCGCCTTAATTGGTACTCAGACCACAAACATTCACATTTGTCTTCAAACAGAGACAACCAACACGCCAGGTTTGAAAACATTGGTTTGAATGCTATTCGACAGATATTGCAAATTGCGTACAAGATTGACAAGAACAACCAGGCTTACGTTTACTTTGCCACCTACTATTTCATGTGCGCCTATGTTGCGCTGATCGCGGAGGTTTTGCAAAACCCGAATTCACCGGAAGTGGTAGAAGACGTCCAACTCCTGTATTGGGTGAGCAAAAACTACTTTGCAGTTGGTGCTATTAACTCTCTCCCCAACCACCATAAGTGGCAGACGATGGACAAAATTAGCAGATGTCTTTTTTACACGGTATGGTGTTCTGTTCCAAACATTCAGGAACGTAGCAAGCTAGATGTGGGAGACTTTCTTGATGAATTTTTCCAAATGGCTGATGAAATCAAATCAAAGGCAAAAAAAGACGGGTCCGCGTCTTCGAAATTGCCAAATTTCCAATCTCTTTCATCGTATACTCGCGTTTCGATGGAAAGACCCACGATCGACAAAACAGCTGCGGATCAGCCGCAAAGAGAGTTTCTGGATCAGATCTGGGGTTCCTCTTCGACGTCTGGAAAACAAACTCCCAATAATAGCGAAGATTCGTTGCTCGACGGACTTTACTATGACGAGGACTCTTTAATTCCAAACATGTTCAGTCTGCCAAACTATCTTTTTGATGTCAATCAGAATCCGCTTGACACTTCAATGAATACATTGGATTATAGTTAAAGTTTATACGATTTAGCCAGTCTGACCGCACGACGAGCGGCCCCATATCCCGCTTGGTAGCCGTAGCCCGACAATCCAGAGACATGGATAAGCAATCCTTTAGCACGTTGCTCTTTTTCAACGCGAACACCGCCTTGGCGACTAGGTCTCAGCCCGCACGCCACGCGGAGGATTTCTGGCTCCTTTCCAATTTCTGGGAACAATTGACTAGTTCTGCGGATGATGTCATCGGTCTCTGTTTTCCATGTATCAGCACACCAGTTGTTGGCCTGCAAATAACCACCCAACACCACTTGAGACTGAGAATCTGGTCGAGGAATGATATAGGTTACGTCCTCGGGTCCCCATCTCATTCTGTTCTCGTTAATGTGAGGAGCCTTGATAACCACAACCTGGCCTCTGGCAGGATAGATGTTTTTGTCCTCGGCTCCCCCAAGTGCTCTGGCGCCGATTCCCGTGCAGTTGAAAACTGTACTAGCAAACTCGAACATCTCGTCGACATTCTGGATTTTCCTCCGCACAAAGACAATGCCAGTGGAAGCGAGGTATTCTTTTAGCACTTCAAGAAACTTTGGACAGTTGAAGTTCCAGGAAAGATATTTGATACCGAAAACCACTCCTTGAGGAAGTTGGGATGACGGAATAATCGCAAAATCCTGTAAATACGAGCTCAAGGAATCAATTTTCCGCTTGTCAGGAAGATAGTCCCAGTATTCAGTACTCGGACGGCGGTCTAGACCACATCCGGGGCCCAGAACTTTTCGAATGGCAGCCAAGTGTTTGTATGTGGTTTCATCAAAATGTAATGTCTGAGCATCATCTGGAGATATGCAGCTGAAGTTACCTCCGGCCCAGGGAGACGTGTAGTTGATCGACTGGTCGCCAGGTAGATACTCTGCTACAATGGTGATTTCAGAACCTTTGACGCCACTCTCAACAAGATTGAGAGCCGTGTAAAGTCCGACAATCCCACAGCCGACAATTGCGAAGGTCATGAGCAGAATGAGTAATAGGGCTCCGAATTTTTCTGCGGTTTTTTTACTTGTGGCGAAATACAAAGATCCATGTGGCGGTGCTTATGTGGTCAAAAAATACCACGCACTAGAGCACGCGCAAGAGGAATTTTGTGCCCCATGAACTTATTCATACAAATTCTTGGCATGTGGCGTCTTTCCGTGGGTACCCTGACCTGTAGTCACATTTGCATATCATCCCCCGAAACTGCAGGATGACATTGGCTCAATTCGAGTCTGGTTTTCAGTTGTGGCAGCCAGCAAAGTCTAGGAAATAGGTTTCATTACTGTAACGCAGTGTCAAGATCAATTTCGTTTGAGTTGTAAGACTTTTCAGGTGCCTTTTGCGCGCATCTAAATTTTTTGGCTAGACACATTTACTACTCCACATCAGTTTTTAGTAACCGCAATGCCGCACATAATTCTATATATATATATATATATATATATATATACACATGTAAAGATATCTAGTTCCTTCGGCGAATTTCGATACCCGATGAACTTACCAGACGACATCCTTGACAGTGTTGTGTCCGACTTGGATACAAAAAGTCTTCTCAGCTTGTCGTTATCGTGCCGTAGATTGCGAGCACATGCTGTACCAAAATTGTATCGGAGTTTGCTTCTGGTTGACACCAGGTATAACACAGTGGGTGATTCGGAGTTCACGATTCTAACCACCTCGAAATTTCAACAGTTTCTGGAGGCATTGAGGAGCAACATGTCACTAGTTGGTTTGGTCCAACGTTTTCTCATTGCTTCCCACAGCAACAATGTGGAAGGGCTCGAAGTTTTGGTGGGACTGTTCATTGACTTTAAATTGAGGAACGTCGATGTCCCTCTTTTGGGGCTCAAGGAATTCAAGATTTTGAATGAGACAACCCCATACAAGTTCCTGTTCATGAACAAAGAGTATGTTGCTTCCCAAAACCTCAAGAGATCATCTACCCTGCTGTATGAGAACGACGAAGACGAGTTCAACAAATATTCGAACTTTGGCCAAGCGAGTTCGATAGTCTCTTTGCAGAGTTATCAGCTTGTCAATATCACGGAGCTCAATGATGTGTCGGAGGAAACTCGCGAAATATGCATCAACACATCCAACCGGTATCAAAATCTTGGCTTTACTATGACAAAGAGGCTGTCGCGGACTTTCGACAATCTGGAATCTCTGGAAATTCTCAACTCTGATGCAGTGGACGCTCTTTTCTCCCAATTGGATGATGAGTGTGTGAGATTTAAATCGCTGAACAGACTTTCTTTAAACATCAAAGATTTGCATATTATGCCGGCCGTGGCAAAATGTGTAGATCTTGCCAAACTGGAACAATTCGAGCTAAAGTTCAAGCAAACTTCTATTGGCGAAGAAAACCAGCACATGAACCTTGATTTGGTCAGCGCGTTTCAGGATCAACTCAAAAACCTGAAGAAGCTTTCTTTAGTGCACCTAAATTCGAACAATCTGCTCAAGAATCAGTCGCAGACATCTCAATTGCTCCTTAGTAACTCCAACCTGTCATATTGCATTATGGAACATCTGGATGTTTTCAGTCCTTCCATTACTTACCTCAACGTGAGCATGAACAACTTTGCATATCTACCCCCTATTAGCATGAACTACCAGGATAGAAGGACTCATTTTGTTGTTGACCAGAACTTCTTGGAAACTAAAGTTCGTCAATTCAATAAGATACTTGCCTGCAAAAGTCTGGAAACTTTGCTGATTCCAGACTTCTTTTACAACTGGAAACCTTTTATCGCAATGAACCGAGAGGCCAAGAATCAGCCGCAGCTAAACGGAGTTGAATACCTCTATACCGGGTGTGACTGTCAAAGATGTATTGAAACTCGGCAATTGTTATCCCAATATATCGAAAAGCTGAGTTTTGGTAACAAAGACATGTCTTCCACTTACAACTTTCTAGTTGGACTTCTGCATACTCGTCTGACTAAATTTGAGACCAGCTCCGGATTGGATATCCTCAATTATCCTGTATTGGACCCTATCGAAGTCTCGCACTACGGCTACTTGGGCATTGATCTTTCAAGGATGGTACAATTGATCTTAGATAATATGCTTGAAGATCTGAATTTTGTCGTTCTAAAACTCCCAAAGCTAAAACTGCTCAGCCTTGGCGGTATCCACATAGCGATTCAACGCACCAAAAACGAGATAAAAATGAATGCTGTGCAAGATGACTGGAGTTCAACACTGCGTCGATCGACCTAAATATTTTTCAGAGTTTATTTATGTATTTCTTAATTAGGAATAGTCTTAACGCTATCTAGTACTAAAATTTGATAAATCATAAGTCAAGGTGACTTGAATATTGAACATTTGATTCCGTGAACGGAGTCGTCATGACGAATTTTAATGTCCCTGGTGGGTTTCCTTCTCTCCAGTCCCAGGAATTCACCCTAAAGACTCCTCCAAGGTCCAGGAGCGAGATAAAAACGTCCACCCCATCATCAACTGCTTTCCGGTTCACACCAACAAATGGAAAAAGGCTATACCCATCCATCGTAGTTTCCCCAAAAGACAGTACTGACTGCGATACAAGCTATCAGGATAAAGAGAACCCATCTTTTACAAAAGAGATGGATTTTCTTCAGTCTAAGCTGTTTTCGTCGAAGCTTACGTCTTCAGTACTGAATGAGTTCAACGATAGGTATCAAAAAGTTCGGTCGGAAAATATTATCAACATTCAGAAGCTGAACAACACAAGTCCCAAGCCAAGAAGCCGACGACCATCTACCCGTTTCAATAATGAGCACCGAGGACGATTCAACAGAATGGAATCCATCTCCACTCATTATGCAGCCAGGCGTACAGGACGACAACCTGTCGAAGCAACGCGAAAGATCTTTGAGGGTCCAGAGCAAATAACTAGAAAGACTCCAAATGACAAGCGTTTGGGAGCACAAGATCTAGGCAGTGCATCAAAGAGACTGAGAGTTGTTGACGGCTACAAGGAGATTGTAGAGCCGGCTGAAAGCCCAACAAGGCCGCCAGAGGAGAAAAAGAAAATAATGGAACAACAATTCGGAAGACAGAGACAGGAGAAGCCACATTTGGGTCCACTTCCACAGCTGGAGTTTTCGCCCGCTCCACGGACAGCCACATCTGACCTACAATCGTCAAAAGTCCCTTCGTATTTACAACCTACAAAGGCATCAATCCAACGTTCAGAAAGCAAGCAGAAACTGAACAGGAGCGAGACAGCGTCTTATCTTCCAAGACTCTCTAATATCGTGCGCTCGAAAACTATGCAGGAAATCTCGCCATCAAGGATGAACAGCAGTCACGCAAGTCCACACATCGCCTCTATCAAAAGCCAGTCTGCATTAACAAGGTCCACCTCGTCAAATACCTTGAACAGGAAATCGAGTATACCACAACTCGCGAAACCAGCCAAAAAAGATTATCCGAGACCTTGGAGAAATTAATTTTACCATCCCGCGAAAAATTTAAGGCATGGGTCACCACGCAGATTACTCTGAGTTCAGTGCTCAGCACGACAAAAAGGAGCTTCTGCAACAAGTTGTGGATTCCTACAAAAATCTCAGCGAGGGACAAACTAACTGGGTTTGTAACTTGGCCAATTGTAGCTCGTTGCTATGGCATTGCTACAACGAAGGACTTTCCAAACGAGTCAATTGGGCAGGTTTTTATGTACTCGATCCGGAAAGCCAAGACCAGCTTATCCTTGGACCATTCATGGGTAAGGTCGCATGCCAGACGATCAAGATTGGACGTGGTGTATGCGGCACTGCGGCAAGCACGCAAAAAACCCAGCTGGTTGAGGATGTCGAGAAATTTCCTGGACATATAGCCTGCGATGGGGAGACCAAGAGCGAGATCGTGGTTCCCATTGTGGCTGAGGGACGGGTCGTTGGCGTCTTGGATATCGATTGTTTGGAGTTGAACGGGTTCGACAAGGACGATCAAAACTATCTCGAATCACTGTGTCAAGCAATTGGTGAGACATGCAGCTGGAAAAATTAACTCTGTTGCGCTGTGGTTGTGCCGGGACCGGCTCCAATGTTGTTTAGCGGAATGTTTATATCTGTATCTTCTATATCACTTTCATCAAAATGCATACCAATTCGGCTCTCCAAATTCCAATTCATGGGTCTTGCCTTGCGTTGTCTTTTTTGTCTTTTCAGGAAGTAATGATGATAGATGCCGGATGTGACAATTGCAGACGCGGAACCTGCCATATTCACAGCTATATCCCACAGGTCGAAAGATCGATATGGGGCTAGGACATGTTGCATCAATTCACTCCCAATTCCTCCGGCGATTGTACATACCGCAAATGTAACGTTGCGCACCATGCGTATTGATTTTATATCCAGTGTCCAGTAGAAGAGAAAAGTCATTAAAAAGAACACAGCAAAGTGTAGAGCTTTATCGTAAGGCAATGATATGTCTGCTAGGCCCAAATACAAAGCGCCACTGGCAATAACGCAAAGAGATACAAGGGGTATCTTTCTGATCTTCATGATTTGAAAATCAAGAAATCCATAATGTAAATGATATAATCCCAAAATTAATTTTATCTTTTGCTCGTTGTAGTAAATATTATGATCCCAAATGAATATCGTGTGTGGCGTTTGTGGAACGCACAGCACTAAAGCAGACTACTTCTGTGGATCTTGCATCAATTTCAAGATTCTAAAACTGAAACTGAATATTACCAATATATGCTATCTTAACGAGACATTTGGGTACGAAATTGATAAGGTTCTGCAAGATTGCATTAATGGTTACAGCTCCAAAGTGTTAAGAAAATATCTAGAAGGAGAGCTACATGCTGATGCGGGTCCACGAGAGAAATTGAGCCCCTCAACAGAAGCAATTGCCAGACTTGCATACATGCTCCTTGCGGTGGAACTGTCACAGCTAAAGAAAAATCTTAGCCAGGCTGATGAGACTTTGGAGCGACAAAAACTAGCCAACATGAGTCTCAGAGCGAAAGTGGAGGAACTGAGGGCTTCCAAGAGTGAACAGGCCAACTTGATCCGCAGGAAGAAGCAGGAACTGGCAGAAAAACATCAAGAACGTCTCAAACAGATTCGCGCCACTATGCGAGAAATTGAAGCTGATAAGTTGGACAAGACGGCCAAATTAATCAGACAATCGGCAAATCAACATTTTCAACAGCTGGTGAAGGTGTCAAGCTACGAGAACATGAAAGGCGCCCGGAAGTCGGAATTGTCAAAATCCAAGCTACCAAGCCTCGAAAGGCTAAATTACAATATTATGAACCTACGAAACAAAATCACTCCAGGAACAGCTGGATTCAGAAATGCATTATTCTTCAGCCCTGTTCTTCCCTTATCGCAATACTTGTATTATACATCTGAGGTAGTTATCACTTCCATCACTAAAGTCGCTCAATTTGTATCATTGTCGGCGGTGTATCTCAACGTTAATGTGCCATTTAGGATTGTGAGGTCGACGCAATTCATATACATAGTTGAGGATGCATGCGAGTCATACGCGTTGACTCTCGGACCACCCAGTGAAAATCCCGAGGTAACAAACAGCTTGTTCGAGTCCACCAACCAGGACTTGAGTCGTTTCTGTGGCGCACTAGCTAGATTGCTTATCAACATGGTAGTCCTTATCAACGCTACGAAGCCAACGCCGTTACGATTTGAGAATCTATTGAATCTCGATGAGCTACTACAGCTTCTTGTTGGAGAAGTGCCCGACCCCAACATGACTGTGAAAGAGCATGCTCCTAGCCCACAAGAAGACAACAAACCTACACGTCGCAGATCCATATTCAATTTCTGGAGCAGAAGAAAACGGTCACATGCTGATATACACCCCTCGGAAGAAAAGGGGTCGGAGAACGGTTCTCGAGAAGTACTGGAAATGTCTCTCTACAATAGCCAACATTTAGTTGAGTATCTCCAAGACCAAAAAATCAACATCCAGTCAAAAATAGCCAGTAGCATCATTGCTCCCTCACCATCGGCTTCCACTTCGTTTGGAGCCACGTCACTTTCCGCAAGCAACGGAAGTTCTAATACGCCGATGGTGCCGGAATGGTCGTCTGAGATTTCGCCCGTACCTGATGCTGACTGGCTGTCATCGAAATTGCATGCATTTTTTGTCACAGAAATCTTGAAAGTGCTCGATAGAGAACCAGGATCAAGCCAGCTCGCTAATGGTGGCCTCTCGGCTTCTAGCACTTCAACATACCAGCAGATTAATTACAATTCAAAGAATAGCGACTTCACAGGGTCTCGCTACAAAACAGCGCCCCTGTACTCAACAAATGCCGTTCCTGTCTACCAATCGAGTATCCCACCACCATCAAGAAGCCGCTTCCACCACTACAAGCATTCCAAGCAAGCCAAAACTGATAACTGGGAAGTTATATAGCTCTTCAGCCATAGTAAAAAGTGTTTACCCGGCTTTGGGTCGTGGATGATAATAAAATTGTGCTGCTTCGAAAGCCAGCCAGCCAGGAAGATTTCATTAGCGATTGCGATACACAGCATCCACTTCGGTCAATTGCAATTAGTAAAAAGTCAAAATGCTCTCAGACCAGGAACTTTTCGAACTCAACAAGAAAGCAGTAATGCAGGGATTCAATATCCATCCTCGTATCAGTTATAATACTGTTGGAGGTGTGAATGGTCCGCTTGTCATCTTGGAGAATGTGAAGTTCCCAAGATACAACGAGATTGTCAACTTGACTCTTCCGGATGGAACGACCAGAGCTGGTCAAGTTTTGGAAGTCAAGGGCGACAGAGCCGTTGTTCAAGTTTTTGAAGGTACTTCAGGAATTGATGTTAAGAAGACGAGAGTCGAGTTCACGGGAGAAAATCTGAAGATTCCCGTCTCTGAGGACATGCTCGGTAGAGTCTTTGATGGTTCTGGAAGACCTATCGATAATGGCCCTCGTGTGTTTGCTGAAGACTACCTTGACATCAACGGATCTCCTATCAATCCATTTGCTCGTATCTACCCAGAGGAGATGATTTCCACTGGTATTTCTGCTATCGACACCATGAACTCCATCGCCAGAGGACAAAAAATCCCTATTTTCTCGGCTTCGGGTCTTCCTCACAATGAAATCGCAGCCCAAATTTGTAGACAAGCAGGACTGGTGAGACCAACCAAGGATGTTCAGGACGGCCATGAGGAGAATTTCTGTATTGTTTTTGCCGCCATGGGTGTCAACCTAGAGACGTCTCGTTTCTTCAAACAGGATTTCGAAGAGAACGGTTCTTTGGATAGAACTTCTTTGTTCTTGAACTTGGCTAACGACCCTACTATCGAAAGAATCATTACACCAAGATTGGCGCTGACTACTGCCGAATATCTTGCCTACCAAACAGAAAAGCATGTGTTGACCATTTTGACGGATATGTCGTCGTATGCCGACGCTTTGAGAGAGGTGTCTGCCGCAAGAGAAGAAGTGCCAGGTAGAAGAGGATATCCTGGTTATATGTATACTGACTTGTCGACTATCTACGAGAGAGCTGGTCGTGTGGAAGGAAGAAACGGATCCATTACCCAAATTCCAATTTTGACCATGCCTAACGACGATATCACTCACCCTATTCCTGACTTGACGGGATATATTACCGAGGGGCAAATCTTTGTGGATAGACAACTCTCGAACAGGGGAGTGTATCCACCTATCAATGTGCTGCCATCTCTCTCGAGATTGATGAAAAGTGCCATTGGTGACGGAATGACCAGAAAAGACCACGGTGATGTCAGTAACCAGCTTTACGCCAAGTACGCCATTGGTAGGGACGCTGCTGCCATGAAGTCTGTGGTTGGTGAAGAAGCTTTGTCAACAGAAGATAAATTGTCGTTGGAGTTTTTGGAGAAATTCGAAAAGACATTTATTTCGCAGGGTGCATACGAGAACAGAACCATATTCGAGTCTTTGGACCAAGCCTGGTCTCTTTTGAGAATTTATCCAAAGGAAATGCTCAACAGAATTTCTCCTAAGATTCTGGCTGAATTTTACGATAGGGAGAGACTTGCAGAGACCAACAAGGAAGACAACAAGGAGTCCGACGTTCCATTGATCGATGCATAAATAGACTAGTAAAAAAGAAGGTGAAAGCTTTTGATAACCTGTGGTTCGAGGTGTATATGATGTAATATCTTTACCCCCAAAAAATTGTGACATTTTTGCTTTCTCGTAATGCAATTCCTCGTCCGTCAGGCCTCGTTTCCGCGTTACGGCTTGAAACCTGTGAATGCTTTCCTCGATCTGCCGGTGGAAATTCTTTATGAAGTGTTTAAGCAAGTTCCCAATGAGCTGAAGGCCACATGTCGATTTTTTTACGTCATGTACAACGACTACTATTGCCAGAAGCTTGTAGATGAGCTGGGAGAGAACATAATCTTTAACATTGCGATGTACAACTTTGATGAGCTAGTTGACTACATTCGGTCCTTTGATTATTGGCGCAGGACATTAAGACAAATTGTTAGCAATCATTACAAGTTAGGAGATCCAGAGCCGGATTCCGAGATACGCAAAACCATGAACCCAAAAGACATCATAAATTGCCAATACGTGAAAGACTCGTGGAAGTTAGTCTATGGAATTTACAAAAACCGCAGATTGTTCGTAGAATATGATGATTATCAAATAGATGAGCCCCACAGTTACCTCACACGATCTCTGCTGCATGTCAACAAAACATACCTTGTCAAGTACAGAAAAACCATCCAACTACCTGCGGATATCTACAACCTTTCATGTGGCATAATTATCCAGAATGCTCTTGGATTGGGAAGCATGAATTTCAAAGTCATCAGAAAAAGTAATCAAGAAGAACTTCTGAGCTTTTTCCCTGCAACCAATATTAATGATTTGGTCCCCCATGGAAAGTTTGTGTTACTTGACTTGGGAGATTTCACTATAGAGCTCACTAAAGAAGAAAAAGAATCCCTGACAGAAAATAAGCAAATTGAAGTCGATATTGTCATGGAAGAGACAGGGTTGTATTTGAAATCCGGTTTTATAATTTGCTTCATCGACATAAACGCTTACCCAGCCAAACTAAAATGCATCGATCCTCTTACCAAAAAAGTGACAGTTAGTGAGAAGCGTTCGTGGATAGCCTGGTCGATCGATAATCAGGATCCTATCCCGGAAAATGTTATCAACAGGCTTCTCAAACGCCTATACAAGTCCATCAACAACCTTGTTGCACTCAAGCCTCAAGAATCACCCTACCAACGCATTGGCAGCTTTGCTGAACTCAATGAACAGACCACAAGGAGGCAATCTAATGTAGTGAGGAAAAGACGAAACTCAGATTTCGAGGAAGCTATTGATATCGACACCTACAATCAAAGGTTCTACTCTCGATTCAATGAAGACGGTGAGCCAATTACCCGGACTTTTCGCTACATTTCGATGGCAGACAAGCGTCTGTTCGAGAACAGGGTGGTAGCAGAGGAAAAATTTATTGCGGCAGATGAGCCTCTGAAATGGAAGCTGACTACAATCTTAGAAGTTTGATCGGTGTGAAATTATTGCCGAGTCTTTCAGTGCCTGAAATTAAACAAAAAAATCTTACTGATTTTTTCACGTATTCTTTTTCGCCCTTTAAATTCGAATAGCAATACCAATATTTTTCAACCCCTTCAGTCCCATCGACACTCCAACCCCTTATTCATGACCGCTTCGGAATCTTTGTTTGATTCAAATTTCACTCAAAAGCCAATGCTTTTATTTTCATCAGATGGCATGACCAATGATGTGGATTTGGGCAAAAGCTTGATCACCTACAGGATGCTGGTGTCTAGAAGAGAGGCCGGTGCAATTATCGGGAAGAACGGCGACAACATTACAAGAATTCGCGAACAGACCAATGTGAAGGCAGGCGTGTCAAAAGTCATTGAGGGATGTATCGATAGAATCCTTACTGTTACCGGCATCGTGGACAATGTGCCTAGAGCATTGGTGCAGTTTGCAAAAGCTGTCACGGACTCGAATGTACAGACTGTCGCAAGTGCTGCCGCCAACGGAACGGACCCTACCTCCCTGATAACGTATAATTTCTTCCCTTTGAAACCCCTATGTCAAACCCCGGCCGCTTCTGATCCATTTTTTGCCGAAACTTTGAGTTTGAGATTGTTGATTCCTCATTCACAAATGGGAACATTGATTGGAAAAGGAGGTAGCAGAATCAAATCCATTCAAGAAACTTACAACATCAAGATGGTGGCTTCAAAGGACTATCTCAGAAACTCCACTGAGCGAATAGTTGAGGTTCAGGGAGTAAAGACAAATTTGATCGAAGCGCTCAATACCATCTCCAGGTGTCTTTTAAGCGACTACCATGGAGTGGTGGCAACAATTTACTATACACCATCTCCTCGCCAACCACCATATAAAGGTGGATCTAAACTGGACCTTCAACAGGGTAACGGTTCTGATAAAGAGATTTCTGAAAAAACTAGTTTTCCAGGAGAGTTTGTGGGAGCTTTAATTGGAAAGAAGGGGTCTCGTATCCAGGAAATCAGAAGAACATCTGGTTGCACTATCAACATTGATGCTGAGGACAATGAACAGGGCCAAAGAGAGTTCACTTTGACGGGAACTAAACTCAGTGTTGACCGTGCGCTTTCTTCGCTCTACTCTTACTTTGAGAAAGAGAAACAAAGAAGAGATGAACAGATGCACCAGGATTAACCCTGGATATCTTTGAAAAATTCGATTTTATTTAATGTGTTTAATAGTTTGTGTACGCTAAAAAATCCGGAAAAATTTTGCTGATACCCGTTATACAGCCCTGTCTTAAATTTTCCGAGACAATCATGTTATTGCGTGCGGCTTTCACCCGTTGCCACAGAAAAATCCAGTCACCCTATCAAGAGTACATCAGCAGTCCGAAAAGATACGTGAACTTTCAAAAAGGGCCACCATACCCGACGTACATAAATTAAGGTAGGTGTGCTCATCGTAAAGATTAAAATGGGTGAAACTGAAAGTTCAGATACAAGTTCATTTGAAGACTCTGTGAATTTTGCTCCACACCCGTATGATCAAGGAGATGACGAGAATCGTTTATCTCTCAATAAAACCGAGAGTTACCACAGTCTCTACCCTGATCAGGCTGTTGTTAATACTGTCTCGCACACTGACGATAAAGATGGAAATGATCAATGCTACGAGGTGAGCATGGGGGCTGGTGACAAACGCGATCCTTTGAAACTTCCCTTGTGGCGTAAATGGCTCATTACAGTCACTCTTGCTCTTGTTGGTCTTGATATTTGCTTGTTGTCGAGTTGCTGGTCTCTCGTAACACCATTAAAAGAGAGGTACAACGTCTCACACGAGCTCTTCGTACTAGGGGTGTCATTTTACATTTTTGGCATGGCTTGGGGACCCTTATTTTTGTCTCCAATCAGCGAATTTTATGGGCGGAGAACAACCTACATTTTAGGCCTCACAACTTGCAACATCTTCCAGGTCTTATGTTGCTTTGTCCCCAATTATGGGTTTATGATTTTCTGCCGCTTTATGACGGGGCTTTTTGGCTCTGTGTTTTTATCGGTTGCACCTGGTACAATATCCGATATCTTCACCAAGCAAAATATAGGAACACCGTTGACCGTTTACTCGCTATGTCCATTTTTGGGACCAAGCTTAGGTCCTTTGCTTGCAGGTATTGTCGTTAAATTCGGTGGAGATAAGTACATGTGGACTTTCTATAGTCTACTGATCTTCTCCAGTGTTCTCTGGGTGTTGGTGTTTTTGGTGGTTCCTGAGACCTACGTTCCGATCCTGACGAAATGGAAAGCCCATGAGCTCAGAAAGAGCACCGGTAAAGAGGAGCTATTTGCTCCAATTGAGAGAATGCATTCAAACATGTTTGAGGCCATCTTGAAGGCACCAAAACGGCCGCTCTCGGTTCTGCTTTTCGATCCGATGATGACTGTTCTCTGCTTCTATTCCGGCTTGGTCTTGGGGATCGTCTACCTGTTTTTCTTCTCCATCCCTTACACTTTTCACAAAGTCTGGGGATTCAACATTGCAGAGCAGGGACTAGCATTTCTTGGCATGGCTATTGGAATGCTGGCATCTTCGAGCATTTCGCCATATTTTGCCAAACTCTATCTCAGACTGAGCAAATTGAAAGGCAAACCTCAACCTGAATACAGGTTCCCACCGCTAATCGTTGGAGGCTTTCTGGCCCCCATTTCACTAATTATATTGGCATTCACAACTTACAAACAGTGCCACTGGATTGGGGCGCTGATTGCCTCTGCATTCTATGGCATGTCGACAGGGCTGATCATTTCTGGGATCTTTACCTATACAGCCGACGCATACCAGCTGTATGCGGCATCTGCAGCTGCTGCAAACACCTTTACAAGATGTTCCATGGCTGGAATTTTCCCGCTCTTTGGCCTCCAAATGTACGAGAGACTAGGAGTTCATTACGCATGCCTGCTGCTAGGGCTCCTTGCACTTCTCCTAACTCCTGTACCTCTCTTGTTTTATAAATATGGAGCCAAACTTAGACAACGGTCAAAGTTTGCTTGGTCAAATGAGTGAGAACAACATAGGTGTTAAAGACTAATAGACTTATATGTTCATTATGCGCTATACACTCAAGCCTCCACAGCCTCCTCAGCAACAGGCTTGAAGTCGTTAACGTATGGCTCAGCAACTTGCTGGTCCTCCTTTGGATCGTAGACGACAACGGAATCTGGAAGAGCCTTTGGACCTCTTCTGTTGGCAGCTGGGTCTTTCATAATCTTAACCTTGATACCCAAAACACCTTGTCTCAACAAGACGTGTCTGGTAGCAATGTCAATGAAGTCGTTGACTGGTTGACCAGAGTGGATCATGAAACCATCACCGAACTTCATAGACTTGGCTCTAGCACCCTTGGATTTACCAGAGATAACAACCTCAACACCCTTGGCGCCGGACTCCATCACGTGTCTGATAACACCATAGGCTGCTCTTCTGACAGCCAAACCGTTCAACAATTTGTACTTAAGGGACTCACATTGGGTAACAGCAGACAGACCTCTGTCTTGGACTCTCTCAGCGAACAAAACGATGGTGCCTGGAGCAAACTTGAATCTCTTTTGAATGAGGGAAGTCAACTCGTTGATTCTTCTACCCTTCTCACCAAGAACTCTTTGTGTGTTGGTGGCAGAGATGATAACCTCGGTCTTAGTTGGGGTGATTCTGACCTCAACACCAGCGTATCCCTCTTCAGGAAGCTCTCTGGTGAAGAATTCGTTAAGTTCGGCGTAGAAGACACCGTCAGCGACAAGCTTTCTTTTCTTGGAGAAGTTGGCAACCATTTTGATGATGAGTTTGTTCGGGTGAAAAATTTAGTTAAAAAAAACCTATGAGGGCTGAAATGGAGAACTTCAAACATCACGTGACAAGATAATCTGTAACTGAGGGCGAGGGAAAAAAAATCCTTGCATGCCGCGCCATGCCCAGTGCGCCTTCTTATTCGGTACGAATTAGGATCTAGAATCGGCAACAAGCGAGGCGGTGCACAATTCACTTTTGAAACACTACGCGAATTTAAGCGATTACGTTATAGCATTTTACACTGTATGAAGTTGAAAACTGAATTATGAGCCAAACTCAGATCACTTTCAATGTGAGCGACTACTATGAGATCAAAGATATAGTCGGAGAGGGAGCATACGGGATTGTCTGCTCCGCCATATATAAACCGTCTCAGCAAAAGGTCGCCATCAAGAAAATCCAACCTTTTGAGCGTACTATGTTTTGTCTACGGACACTGCGTGAGCTGAAACTACTAAAGCATTTCAACCACGAAAACATTATCGGAATACTGGATATTCAGATACCTTATGATTTTGACAGCTTCAATGAAGTTTATCTGATCCAAGAGTTGATGGAGACAGACTTGCATCGCGTCATTAGAACTCAGACGTTAAGTGACAATCACTGCCAGTACTTTATTTACCAGACTCTACGTGCGCTCAAGGCACTGCATTCAGCAAATGTGCTTCACCGCGACCTCAAACCGTCCAACTTGCTGCTGAACTCTAACTGCGACCTCAAAATATGCGATTTTGGTCTCGCTCGTTCGGTAGCATCTCAAGAGGACAATTTCGGGTTTATGACAGAATACGTGGCAACCAGATGGTACCGCGCGCCTGAGATTATGTTGACATTCCAGGAGTATACGACTGCCATTGATGTTTGGTCCGTTGGCTGTATTCTTGCAGAAATGCTGTCAGGAAGACCACTCTTCCCAGGAACGGACTACCACAACCAACTTTGGCTGATCATCGACGTCCTGGGGACCCCTCTAATGGAGGACTACTCTTCGATCAAGTCCAAACGTGCCAAGGAGTACATACGGACGCTTCCTTTTAGGAAGAAGAAGAATTTTCGGGATTTATTCCCAGATGCAAATCCCGATGCAATTGATCTTCTGGAGAAATTGCTCACTTTCAATCCCAAAAAGCGGATTACTGTCGAAGAAGCCTTAAACCACCCATATGTCTCCTTTTACCACGAGCCGAACGACGAGCCGGTTGCAGAGAAGATACCTGACGACTTCTTCGACTTTGACAAGCGTAAGGACGAGTTGTCACTATTGGAATTGAAGAAAATGCTCTATGACGAGATCATGGAGCCACTAAATGTGAATGGGGCATAAATAGATATTATAGCATCTTGATTAAGTGAATTGCGCTCACGCAAGAAATTTGGTTTTTTTTCGTTAACCCTCTCCTCCTGCGGATGTGTCGAGATACACAACTTCCCCCGGAAATGTGGTGGCTTGTGGCTTCTTTCTTGCATGATCTGGATTGTCTGAATCTACGAGCCACCAGCAAGTATCTCAATGTCACCTTTTCCGCAAATCCGTTGTGGAAACCGCGCGTATTGAGAAAATGGTACCGTTTCTGTGAGAGCCCGAACGCAGAAACCACAAGATTTTGGTTTAATAAGTATGTTGAGCATTCGCAATATGATCGCTGGTTGCGTGGCTTGATTGCGGACCTCATTTCTGGCACCGAGAAGACGAAGTCTGAAATTTGGGAGGACGTGAGCTATGTTTTTCGAAATCCCCAATTGTTCGTCCCAGAACTTCTCCGAATGATGAAGCATTTCGATTCCAGCTTTCTAAGAAACGGAAAATATCACAAGGAGGATTTCGTGCGACAAATGGATCGACGTCTGCATGATCTATCAACAGTGTATTACGCTAGCCAACTACTAGAAGCGATCAGATTATGCAAGATTCTCAATTTTGGATATCGCACCATATGCAAAAGCCAGTATCCTCAGTGTCTTGAGGACATGTTTTGTGAATTCGCTTATGTTGATCCATATGTGTACGACTTCTATCCTTATAGGAAACAAGTTTTAGGCAGGGTGCTGCGCGAATATAATGGGTTGCACCTAGATAGTGGGCTCTCCAATACAAATAAGGTCAAACTTCTTGCATCCATCCTACAAAAAGCTCTGCGGTTACAGTCGCTACCCCATTCGCTTACAGGTGACTACTATTCGCAATTGACATTGGAAGACTGTTGTCTCTTCCGCATTTATGGTGGTGACGCGGTGGGTAAGACCGAGTTGATCCATTCTATAATGGAAAAACTATGCCACGAACTTGGAATTCCAGCGCGACTCAACAACTTGAATCTTGTCGTCGATGATTCTACCACACGGAGTGGTACGTCTCATTTTATTATTGAATCCTACAAAACTACGCAGATCAACATTCCTGACATCCGCAATATGCCTCGGCCCTCCCTAATGCTCAACCAGTATGTATCGCATGTTGATCCACCAAAGCTGATTAAGAATATAGCAGCTAGCTTTTTCTGTCAGTACCCAATGGAGAGACGAGATAGAAGTGATTATATGCATCCAAAAGTTCTGGATGACCAGCTGTTTGTGGAGAGGCCCGATAATCGGTTACAGGGCCAGATCATTGGCTTTTATGGAACTGACAAAGATACTATAAACATCTTGCACAAGTTTTGGACTATGCTGATGCAGCTGGAGACTCAAAATCTGGAAGCGGACCTGGAATCCACATTTCTTTCACTTGTGCAGTCAAGTCGGTTGGCCTTTCTCGGGATAGGAGTGGCTTGTCTGACCAGTACCATGGAAGGGATCCAAAGCATACATTCAAAGTTGAAGAATGCATTCATGAATGGTATAATCTCGTTCAATGTGAATGAGGTCAAACGAGATGACCAGTTGCCGTTCCCTAAAGGTTCATATTCCCAATTTGAAGATGGCCAAATGGTGGTGGACCGGAGGGGGGAGCCTATGATAATAATTGGTTTCAAAGAATATCACAAACAACTATACTGCCAATGTTTCACCAACACGGGCCAGACAGTAATTGTCCATGAAAAAAACTTAGGCATCTCCAATTCTAAGGTGGACGCCAGCCAATTTGCACTGTTTGATAATCTAGGATTGTACTTCCGAGACTTCGACTTTCGGTCAGGGAAGTTCATCCGGTACTAGCCCGTGGGGGCTTTTTATAGACCTATTAATGATAGACAATGCGACTATTCAGATGACACTGAGCTATATACATACGAGAAAGTGTGCTGACCTTAAAATTCCACAAGGCTTTCGCCTGCCACCTTTCTTGTCGAAGGCGCCGATCTGGCATATGGAGTATATCTTAAAGGCATGAACTTGTTCAACAGAATGTTCTGAGCCAACGAGTACATGTTGGAGCTGATCCAATAGATCGACAGAGCAGCTGGAGCCTGGGCCGACAGAACAACAAGGAAACAGATACTCATTCTAGTAAGATTGATGACACTATCAAAAGCAGTAGGCCTTAATGAATTTCTCACTCCTCTTGTAGTCAGCTTCATTAGGTCCGCCGTACGGAAATTCCATTCTGCATTAGTCAAAGCTGTGACTCCCAGAACCACAGGCAGTATAAAATATGGATCACTTAAAGTGAGATTCGTGAAATACCCGAGCCCTTCGGTTGACAGCGTAGGATCCAACACTGTGGCACGCAAGTTTGTCCATCCTGTTAGTACTCGGAAAGTTTGAGATAATGCTATCCATAATGGTATCTGTATTGCAGGAAGCGCCAAAAACTTCCATGATTGACAACCGTTGTCCCTGAAAATCTGTCTCTGCCGCTTCATTCTTTCCTTGGAAGCCAGCACGATAATTTTGTTTGCCGAGAGCTGTTCGGTCTCAGTCTTTATTGGAACGTCAATTTTTGAGAGTCTCGCGTTTCGCTGTGCTGCTTGGGCCCTAGCGGCCAATCTAAGCTTGAAAATGGGAAACATCGCACTAATAATGGGACGTAGCTCATTCTGTTTTTGTAATCCCCTTCGCTGGTAAATTGCCAAGGGAAGAGTGATGCAAGTTCTGACCGAAACTGTTATGAGAGGAATAAAAGCCCACCAGGGAAGCCCCGAAGCAGCATGAGCAGCCGAAACCAGCTCAGCACCACTCTCAAACACAGAAGCAACATCTGTAGAGAGAAAACGTCGTTCTCGCTGTGTTGGAATGGGTCTAGCCAACTTAATGGTTCTTAACATGGTGCAATTTATTATTTTTTTAATTTTTATTTTTCAATCTTCATGTCGCAGAAAAGAGGAAGACCAGCGCCTAAGCTCAATAGGGCTTGTATGCTCTGCGGGCTTGTGCAGTCAATGAGTGTAGGTATGCCAATCACTATGACGCCTAACATAACAGCAATTCCGTAACGAAGGATGCCCAAATTGCGAGTCAGTTTTACATTTCGCAGACAATGACGACCTCGTTCGAGAGTGTACTTCGCCTACCTTTGAAGGGCTCGTTGCTACACATGGAGATCAGGGATCATGGGTGGCGAGATGGCTTAGAATTGAGAATTTTGTGCCCGGACTATATGCTGTGCGGGTTATCGGCAAATTGCCTGACGATGTGCGAGGCGACTTGCAGGCACAGGGCATTGAATACAGACCGCGCGATGGATCCATCCAGGATTAACCGTCGTATAAACATGAGAAATTTTGATGTACATCTTAAGGTACGAGCTATACGATAGGTGGATTCATATGAAGAACAGTTATTTACAATCACCTGCAATTCTATGACGATAACGTCCCTGATAAGCGCAAAGTGCGAACACAACCATTTAGTGGTTGTCAAGCCTCCCAAGGATGCAACATTTCACTAGTGCCTCCTATGGTGCCGTTTGGTTACATAATCGGGACAACCACATGCTGTGAAAATTTTCAACAAAAGGAATTTTGTATTGTATAAAAAGATCGCTAGATCTCGATTTTTTCATACTTGTTACTTTAACTGTTATCCTTATAAAAATGAGCAATTACAAAGTCGCTGACATTTCCCTTGCTGCCTTCGGTAGAAAAGACATTGAGTTGTCCGAGAATGAGATGCCTGGTCTCATGTACATCAGAAGAAAATATGGACCATCCCAACCCCTAAAAGGTGCCAGAATCGCTGGATGCTTGCACATGACTATCCAAACGGCAGTCCTGATTGAGACTTTGGTCGCTCTTGGTGCAGAGGTTACCTGGTCTTCATGTAACATCTACTCCACTCAGGACCACGCTGCTGCTGCAATTGCTGCAGCTGGTGTCCCAGTCTTTGCCTGGAAGGGAGAGACCGAGGAAGAATATCTATGGTGTATTGAGCAACAGCTGTTTGCTTTCAAGGACGGAAAAAAGCTCAACCTGATCTTGGATGACGGTGGAGACTTGACTTCTCTTGTCCACGAGAAATACCCAGAAATGTTGGAAGGTTGTTACGGTCTTTCTGAGGAGACGACCACCGGTGTTCATCACTTGTACAAGATGATGAAGGAGGGTACCTTGAAGGTTCCAGCCATCAATGTCAATGATTCCGTTACCAAATCTAAGTTCGACAACTTGTACGGTTGCAGAGAATCTTTGATTGACGGTATCAAAAGAGCCACCGACGTTATGATCGCCGGTAAGGTTGCTGTTGTTGCCGGTTTTGGTGACGTTGGTAAGGGTTGTGCCATGGCTTTGAGAGGTATGGGCGCTAGAGTGATCGTTACCGAGGTTGACCCAATTAATGCTTTGCAAGCCGCTGTTTCTGGTTACCAGGTCACCACTATGGAGGAAGCTGCCCCAATTGGTCAAATATTTGTGACTACCACTGGTTGCAGAGACATCATCACTGGTGAGCACTTCTCTGTTATGCCAGAGGACGCCATCGTTTGTAACATTGGCCATTTCGATGTGGAAATTGACGTCGCTTGGCTGAAAGCTAACGCTCTTGATACTGTCAACATCAAGCCTCAAGTCGACAGATACCTGCTCAAGTCTGGCAAGCACGTGATCTTGCTTGCTGACGGTAGATTAGTCAACTTGGGTTGCGCCACCGGTCACGCTTCGTTCGTTATGTCTTGTTCTTTCTCCAACCAAGTTCTTGCTCAAATCGCCTTGTTCAAGGCTGACGATGCTGCTTTCAGAAAGCAATTTGTTGAGTTCGAGAAGACTGGTCCGTTTGACATTGGTGTTCACACCTTGCCAAAAATTTTGGATGAGACCGTCGCTGCTTGTCACTTGGACCACTTGGGCGTCAAGCTGACTAAACTAACCAAGGCTCAAAGCGAATATTTGGATATTCCAGCACAGGGTCCATTTAAGGCTGATCACTACAGATACTAGACGATATTAGACGATTAGCAATTTTGCATCAACTGCATTTGCGATTTAGGTTTCTCTTTTGCTAATGAGCTCCACCTCTTTATGTTTGAATGTCATGCTTCAACATCATGTATACTACTGGTTTATATATCTTCAACGAGATTACTGTTTTTGGTTAGCTAAGTTAGTGAAATTCATGGCAGTTTATAATTTTCTGGGGATATGAGATAAAAAATAAAATTAGCATGATTGAAATTCCGTCTTATCTACTGAAACTGCGTTACGGGGCCGTTGCACAGCGGACACTTCAACAGATACGCTCCTCTGAGCAACCAAAGTCCAAAGATGATGTTCGTAATGCCATGGTGAGCCACCTCTCCACTATTGGGATAATTGGGTCCAATCCAGTCATGTTTAGCAAAAATGAAGACTATATCGATAAGTTGGTGGAAATCTTCAAGAATAAGGGACCTGCAAAAGCAAGTGCAATGGTTAGTGATGAATTTGTCAATGACGAGACCGAAACGGATGAGCTTGTGACGGAAGTTGACGATAGCAGTGTTGGCAAATCTCCCTCTGTTGCTTTGAAAGCCGAACCTCTAGATAGTGCGGCTACTTCTATTGACTGCCAATCTCTCCCATCTCGGTGGATCACTCCAAAGGAATGCCAGTTCGAACTTTCGCTAGACGGTTTGGAGATCTCGACCAAGAATCCCACCAAATCCGTGTCCTCCACTTCCTCGATAACGGTCAATCTTCCTCATCACGGTCGTTCCAGCATATTCTCGACAAAAGCCAATTTCAGCGTGCATGAAACGATCGGCATATACTATTATGAGGTGGAGGTTCTTTTTGGCCTAAACTCGGGGTCGGAGATAACAATAGGATACATGGATGGAGATCAACCAGAGGAAATTATCAGCTCTTTGAGGGGCCACGACGAGAACGCATGGGGATACAAAGGCAAAGACGGCAAGCTAGTAAGCTTTGAGGAGTGTAGATCCAGCGTTCGTACATCGTGCAAGTTTGGCAATAAAGATGTCGTTGGATGCGGAGTGAACTTTGTCAATCGCTCGATATTTATCACCAAGAACGGCGTATTCCTTGGTGAAGCCTTTTCTTTGCCATCGAACATGAAACGAGTTGTACCTGTGGTGAGTCTGGGATCATGGAACTCGATTTCGACCAATTTTGGCCATACCAAAAGCTTCAGGTTCAATATTGACAACTATGTCGACTCATTCAAATTACGGTTCTTAAAGACAATCAATAACCACCAAGTACCCTCCGTGACACTAGACAATGGCACAGAAATCAAAGACTCCAACGATATGAAGAACTCGCTCAACCAAATGATCAAAAAGTACTTTGAGCACAGAGGGTATGCAAACGCGCTCAAGTCTTTTGAGAAGGATTTGAGTCTTGAAGGCCGTACAGAGCCACCATTTCCTATAAGACGGGAGAGCTATATCAAAATGCAGCTCAAGGATTTGATTTCAAGCAATGAAATCGGTTTAGCTACGGACTTGATTAATTCCAATTTTCCTGGTCTGCTCGAAGACAATACAGATATACAATTCAAATTAGACTGTCTTAAACTGGTTAACATGGTCGGTAATGATAGTGAAGGACAATTTATTAAACTTGCTAAACAAATGAAGTCAACTTACACTTCGGAGCAATATCAAAAAACACTAAACGATCTTTTGGGGTTGCTTGCATACGATGACCCAACTGCCACTGTGCTGTACAAATCATTTGTGAACTTCGAACGTGCTAGATTGGTGCACAAGCTCTGCATGTTGATTAATATGAAAAGTGGCATTCCGGCATTATCCAATTTTGAACAGTTAGTTCAAGCCGCAGACTCCATGGTCGCTGCGAGCAATGATCTCAATACCGCACTGATAGATATAGTAAATGATTTTGTCCAGATATGAGCTCACAATTGATTTTTCAGTTCCTCGAGGATGACGTCGCTCAATCTTATGATTCCATCTGCATTGCACAATCTATATGTGTCATTAGCCTGGTACGTGGCCTGATCCATATTGCCCGTTGCATCTACTTTGATGTAGCCTAACACGTTATCAACGTTCACTTGCTGGTTCATGTACTCGGGAACACGTTTAAGATCATATATGGGCATATAAGAATTTCGATAATTAAGCGAATCCAGTCGATACATCATTTCATCAGCAACGTGGTCTTTGATGACCTGTTGTAAGCGTTCGATGAAAGACTTGTTTTCAACGAAATTATCAGGTGTGACTTGGTAGTCAGCACCTATATTATCTATTACTCTGATTTTCCCTATCGGCAGACGTGCGGGGTTGGAGCTAAAAGATAGTAACGCGGTAGAACCAGCATGATGAAGATATAACTGTGACTGTGCGGCGTATTTTAATGTTTTGACTAGATTGCTGTTGGCAAATTGACCGATCCCAGATAAGCTCATAGTGAAGTATAATTTTTGCGGGGAAAATATATTTATATTGGCAGCTCGAACAATTTATATTTGATCGTGTTCAAAGTATTCCAATATACTTTCGGACATTTTCTGCGCAAAATCATGCTTTTGTTCTTCGGGAAGACGGGAAGCATCAATACGCGCCTGTTTCATTTTTTCCACAAGCCGAGAAACGTCTAACAGTTTCTCACCATCACGATCCAGCAAAGGATGCGTGTAATCAGCAGCAGTTTTGACTGGCTTACTTGCCTGTATTCGCTCCTGTAAAGATCTCCATCTATGTGCTTGAACTGATGCACGGATCCGTTCTTCATCATAAGTAATATACTCAAACCCTGACATAATGAACATGTCCTGATAGAATTCGTCGGTTTCTAGCGGATTGAATCCAACGACAATCTTGAATCCATCCCACTGAGGTTCTCCAAAATCTTCAGTATATTCGTCGTCCAGCTTAGTCGCTAAGCGCTCTAGATGTCGTCCAATCTCTTTGATTTCTTCGTTGCTTGTGGATTGTAGATCAATACATATTACTAGCCCCTGTATTTCTTCTCGGAGTATTTTGGCTTCTGCAGTATTAAGCTCGTTGAACCACTCCTCGACAGACTCGAATTCATCTACGAAAATAGAGACTGATGTTCTATAATACTTCGTCTCAATCGGAACATCGTCCACTATCAGACCACTTTGAGATACATCATTTGTCAGATCTTTATCCTTGACAGAAAACACGTGCTGGACAAGCCGCACCTTGTCCACACCTACCTTACCAGCGATCAATATTCTGTTCATGAGTTCGAATTGGCTGTGTAAATCCCAGCTTTGAATAAACAAAAAATAACTTGCAATTGTTTGTTTCATATGACATCAAAACTAGATATAAACCCTCAGAAAAATGATAATGACTCACTCATACAATATGCACTGACATCGGACGATTACCTGGACCAATTTGTGCCAATAATAAAAGCCGAATTGGCGAACAAAGAGTCTTTGGAGGATCTGATATCGAGACTTGATTCCGCGTACAAAGAAGAAGAAGATACTCTTGAAGGAGCATCCTTTACTTCAGTAGACAAGCTAACTAGCTCAATCGAAAACATATCTGAAGTATCAAAAACATCGGGGCAAATTGGTCAAGAGATTGCGTCCATAAATGGCCAGCTTAGAAAGACAGGATTGGATTATTTGGATAAGAAGAAAACCGCTCTCAAATACAAGCGACTCCATAACAAGATCTCAGAGACTACATTGACAATTAACTTGTGCCTGGATATGCTTGATAAAACAAACAAAGTCTTTGAATTGTTTCACAACAAAAGCTATTATAAAGCTTTGATCAATTTGAATCTGCTAATGAAAAGTCGTTCTGAAGACATTGAAATGTTTGAATTCACCCAAAAAATTCATAACTCGCTTCCGACAATCAAACAGCTTATCATCGATGAGACATTCAACCAGCTAATAAGATGGTTCAACGTCAGCTTTGAAAAAAATCTTACATCAATTGGAGAACAAATGTTCGAGCATTTCGAGAAACTGAATCAAGCATGGGCTGAACAGCAGCAGCAGGATGAAAGTTTGCTGCCGTTCAAGGTAAACACGCCTTTGGAAAGGGCTTTCAGAGATGATGAGCTCAAATCTTTCAACCCCCTCTCAAATGACAAGGTTCAGATTGATCTTGGTCCAGTTTATCATTCTATAATGGTGTTCGAGCTAATCGATGAATTTGATAGACTCAAAGATGACTTTTCTAACGAACTGCTTCGCAAGCGTGATCGACTGATCTACCCCATAAGAGAGGCACTCGCGACTCAAAAACTGGACATGTTTTCCAACAACGAGTCTCTGAAAATTGTCATTTACTCACTCGCTGCCTTTTTTGTGACGGACAGAATGATTGCGGCCAAAACGGAATATCAATTGAGAAACAAAAAGCAAACAGATGATTTATTTAGTTCTGTCATTACAAAGTTCGTTCCAGTACTAAAGAGGCATATTGAGAAATTACATGACGACTCTCAAAACTTGAAGGATCTGAACGAAATAATTGGCATATTCGTTCAAATTCTGGAAAATTATGAGTTCAATGTGGAAGCACTCTATGAAGTACTTATTATGCTATTCCAAGAATACATCAATACTCTTACAAGGGATTTTGAGCTTGATTATCAAAACCTGTCTCTTGAAGAAAACCCACAGCCTATTACTATAGAGAATAAGACACAATTGAATAATGTTCAGGCAAACTGTTTCCACAAATTCAAGGATACCATAACAGAGTTCCCAGTTGTTCTTCCATTCTCGATAATCTATGTGGCTACTTGTTTAAAAATGAGAGCATTTATTCATGATGTTTACGACTTCGTTGGAAAGTATTATGTGCATCAAAATACGGAGATATTGAAGCTTATTGGCAAGTCTGTGGACCACGTTCTCATAAATATTGTGTTGAAGGATCTCAAAACAAAAATTGACTCTTCATATAAAGAGGAGGTGTCTCAGAACCTCATAAATCTAGAGTTCTTTTCCAGGTCCGTGATTGAAATCGAGAATTATTTGAACTACTCCAACGATCCCACCATCGCGAGATGCAGGTCATCATCGCTATTAACTCGCTTAAGGTCTCAGAAGGAGTTTCAAGCAATACAGTCGAAAGCGGAAGAAGGAATGTTCGATATGGTGGACTCCAAAATTGATATGCTGTTTGATATGGTCGATTTTGATTGGGAGTCCAAGGAAGTCAATGAGGAGCCTAGCATTGGCATCAAGGATATGGGCCTGTTCTTGGAAAACATATTCATGCTTGACTTTTCGCATCTTCCCTACACAATCAAATCTTTGTTGCTGATAAGAACATTCGACAAAATTGTCAACTTCTTTAAGCAATCGATCTATCAGACTGATTTTATCACAAACGAAAGTATAATGAATTTTGAGACGGATATCAAATATATTGAATCTATTATTCCTGGTCTCAAGCAGCAGAACACATCGACGCGGCACCTGACTGCTGACTCGGATACCTCCAACTCGACTTTCCAAACCATATTTGCTGGTCTAACACAAATCATAGACCTTTTGAAAGATGGAAATTTAGAAGCTTACAAAGATGAGACTACACGAATGCGTAAATTTAATACCATTTTGCCAGAAGAAGCGATCGAGTTAATTCAGAAACTTGAAAACTATCAGGTGCTGAAACGCGAGATGTCTGAACCAGAGCAACAAGAACATATTGATCCCAATAGTGGGTCAAATGGAGATTCCGCACGGTCAATGTTTGGCTTCAAGAGGTCGAATACCACCGCATCTTTTACATCTCCTTCAAAAATGTCAATGTTCAAAAGACAGATTTCCTAAATTACACTTCAAGCGGCTCCCAGCTAAGCCAGTCACTGCTCCGATTTGGAATTAAGCCCAGCTTATTCAACTTCCAAACGCCAATGGCCATGTTTCCACAACAACATGCAACATATAGAAATTGTAAAATCGTCTTTCCCTGATTATCGTTTAATTCTAAATCGCGGAACTTTTCTTTAACCTGAAAAATCTCCTTTATGGAGTTGACGAAAAGCATCAATACCATGACAATAGGAATCAGTTGAAGCGAATTGGGTGACATGTACATCATTATCAAGTTCATAGGAATATTTTTAGATGGCGATTTTGCCAACTCCCACGCTCTTTCGTATTTCAGTTTCTCAAGGCCAGAGCTTTTGTTCGCTGTTTTCACCTGCGGCTTGATCTTGCCTTCTTTCCATTGTTTGTAAAACTGCTCATTAAATCCAGGAGGTGGTGGAGCAGATTTGCTGGATGGCTTATCACCCCTTTTTGGTGGGCTTTTATATTGACTGACCCAATCCATGAAAAAATATAATTAAATTCAAATTATTTTTGTTCCGACCCATGCAAAATTATAGATTAGTCAAGCATGCTCCTGCACTCAAGTACTCATATAATGATTCACGGACAGTAGTGCACATAAAGTCTTCCACTCCATTCATGTCAGCGGTTAAACGAATACAGAAAAACATAGAGTATTTTGATCATAAATATACTAAGAAAGGGAAGCCGATACCGAATGAGAACAAGTCAATACCATATATTATTGTGCGCGGAATGGGAAAAACAATTGTCAAGGTTACTAATCTTGCTCTCCATTTTGATCAAGAGCTGAATCACAAAGTAGAAGTGTTCACCAAAACAGTAGAAGTCCTTGATGAGCTACAGAGTGCGAATGATGACGACATTTACCAGCGAAGGAAAGTTTCTTGCATAGAATTGCATATACACCTTCAGAAAAGGTAAAGACACTTCTTCAAATTATAGCCTATATGGTATTAATACATCAGCATTCATTTTTTATATTTTGCTCTCTTCATCAATCGTTAGTGTGCGGCTCAGCTTATTGAGACATTTCTGTTGAATATCTGTCAGTTGTTTGAGTAATTTCTCGTGTTGCTTGCGTTCTTGTTTGTCGGTGGACTTTAGTTCTAGCCTGCTTATAAGTTCATTACAATTGCTCAGGCAATCGTCGAAATACCCCAAATAGTAACGTCGCTCTAGACCATGAATTGTTTGAGCTCTGGCTATGCTGTCCACAGAGCAAAGGTTAGCTATTACTATCGGGTTTTCCATAAAGGTTTCAAGCTCGCTCACGATGGGGCCTTCCTGCAAAAATTGTTTCTTCTGTAAAAGATACTCTTCGTAACTTTGTCCCTTACGAACTCGTATATGGCTATCCTCCGCCTTTTCCGACGCACTTTCATGACTATGGTTCGTATAATCAGGAGTTTCCATTGAAAAGTCCCTACGTTATAATTTTTTATATAATATTTTTTTCGATATTGACATTTAAATAAATAGATAACCCGGCTTACTCCTTGAGCCCATTGATGGTAGCCACACAATGTCTAGTGTGTCTGTAGTCCCTGAACTCCAGCAACCAAATGCCTTGCCATGTACCTGTTGCCAGCCTTCCATTGCTAATGGGAATGTTGAGGGATGCTCCTATCAAGGAAGATTTGACGTGCCCTGACATGTCATCAGGGCCTTCGTCTGTATGAATGAATTGGCACTTACCACCTCCATTATCAGGGCAGATCATGTTCAAGGCAGTCGTCATGTCAGTACGGACATCGGGGTCCCAGTTTTCGTTCAAACTCAAAGCACAAGATGTGTGTTGAACAAACAAGTTGAGCATTCCAACCTTATACTTCTTGATTTGTGGGAGGTTCTTTAATACCTCGTCGGTGACCAAGTAGCAGCCGCGGGATCGTGGAGAGAAGGAGAATTTAGTTTGTTCCCAAGACATAGGAGAGATAATTGCTGGAAAGAAATACGACTTACATAATCTAGAAGTCCGAGTCTGAAAATATTTCCGGACTGTAGTCGCGGTCTTCCTCTTCATCATCACTGGAAATCAAAGGCCCTGCCAGGAGAAGTGTTTCTGGAGAACAGACAAAATCAATGGGCTTTTCGATCGTGGTGGCTCTCTCCTCCTCGTTGTATTCCCAAAGACCCTTCAATTCTCCCCTATAGAGGGCTGTCGATAATGTTGATAAGATAATACTAGGACACAGATATAATAGTGCCGGCTGTGCACGGTTGAAAACATGTAGCACTGTCACGGTGGATATCAGCCCTATTGTATAACCGATCAGGGCACTGTAAAAGTATGGCTTATCAATTTTTTGTAGGTGATGAAACTCTGTGCCTGGATGCAGCTCATGATATCTATATAGGTCATACCTCAAACAGAGCGAAATGAAGAGACCAGGCACGATCATATCTCCGAGACCCAAGATTGACATCTGAACCTCGTTGTTCTCGCTTGACAGCTTGCTAGGGACAAGCATTTTGACAGGAATATCAATTTTGGTAGCAACATCAACCATGACGTTAGATCCGAAGACAAAATAAATATCGTAGATGAAGAAGAGAATCAGCATGATCAATGCTGGCCTAAAGCTGGGTAATCTACTCACAGAAAGGCCAAAGATCGTGAAAGACGCACCAAATATGTTGCTCAATATCCAGTTGTTTTTGCCATCTAGTAAAGCAAACACAATGGAGAGAGCAATTCCAAAGAACCATCCGTAGATATCCGCTGTGGAACAGTAGAAATTGAACAATTGATTTTCCTTTTTGATATTCACACGTGACTCCAAGAGCATCTCACTTTTGATGATTTTCTCGGCTTCTGTGGAGTCGGGGAGCAGGAAGTTTTCTTCCACCCCTGCCGAGTGAAATAAATCGTCCTGAGATATGGTAAAGGCATATCTTTTGACAAATCGTAGCGAATTAAAACCTAGATGGTGGCATATCTTGCGTGCTGTGACTTTTATCAGAAAGGAGATCGTAAAAGAGTTCGCTTTGACACTCAAGATGATTAAATAGCCGTTTAAAATTCTGGTGATTTTCTCGATATCCCAGTTTCGTATTGCAAAATATAAGCCTATGAGAGCAATACCGGCCAACACTGGCATGGCAAAGGCATGAGTCTCATCAATCATCGCTTCGGCTATTGATGTTTCATCGCGATCCGATGGATCAAATAAGGGGTGTTTCTCGTTGGCTATTTTAGCGTTTCTTGGTCTCTCAATAGTACTGTAACTCCCCAAAGAAACCAAAATGAGAGCTATCAAAATTATCGTGGCATAGGATAGATATGCCGTGCTAACGTATGATTGGTCATAGATGTAGAATGCAAATTTATTAGCTAGGTTGTGCGAATACCTTCGCCCCCATTCAACGTATTTCTCCATAAGAGGAAGGAAGAGGGTAATTTTTTTAAGTACGTGTTCGAAAAAAAGGTGGTTTTTAACTATAATTAGATTTCTCTCCAATGTCTTCATTGAAAGAGTTAGAGCAGTTCAATTGCGGTCTACGAACCACAAACGTGAGTATAATGGTCCCAGGTTATTAATCAAGTAGTATCCAGCTATCAAAAATGCGCCATTGCCGGCTGATGGTGCAGGGTCCAAGCACTTCAACAACTGGATTCTTTTGTCCATTATGTTAGGTGTTCCTTTCTATATCACTAGAAGACTTGGATTGGGCCTTTACGGTTTTGTCTTTTTGTTTGCATTGTTAGCAATTCCAATTCTGATGGCCTGGTGGACTGTTTTGTCAACCTACTCCCCAAGGCTCAATGAAAAGGTCAAGTTGCCGAACATGGGTGTTCAATACTACCTTGAATTCCATGACGATGAACTTAAGAATAAATACAAGGATCAGCAGAAAATCCCAATGGAGACTTTCCACAATCTTTATTTTGAAGGAAAGGTTTCGTTCAAAGGAGACGCCTTGGACGTCATGGAGTACAGATACGATTGGGCTTCGTTCAGATTTACCTTGAGCTTGTTCAAATTCTTCCTGTTTGGCATGATTCCAGAAGTTATCATGCATACCAAGTCCCAGGACGAGGAACAAGTGAGAGATCACTATGACAGGGGCGATGATTTTTACTCCTGGTTCTTGGGCCCAAGAATGATTTACACCTCTGGTATCATCACTGAAATTGAGAAAAATGAGACTCTTGAGGAACTTCAAGACAACAAGTTGAAAATCGTTTGTGAGAAGATCGGCTTGAAAAAAGGTGACAAGATGCTTGATCTCGGATGCGGATGGGGTACTCTTGCTTGTTTTGCTTCTTCGCAATACGGGGCAGAGGTTACTGGTGTCACATTGGGCAAGAACCAAACCAAATATGGTAACGAGAAGCTAGCTTCTTACGGTATTTCTTCTGACCAATCCCGCATCGTGTGTTGTGACTATAGAGATTCACCAATGCCTAAGGAGGAGGGCAAGAAGTACGACAAGATCACCTGTTTGGAAATGGCGGAACACGTTGGTGTCAGAAAGTTTTCTTCATTCCTACGCCAAGTTTATGACATGTTGGATGATGATGGTGTCTTCTTCTTGCAATATGCCGGATTGAGAAAATCATGGCAATACGAGGACTTGATATGGGGATTATTCATGAACAAATACATTTTCCCTGGAGCGGACGCCTCAACTCCTTTAGATTTTGTGATTTCTGCTCTAGAAGGAACTGGATTTGAGACGGTTAGTGTCGACAACATCGGTGTTCATTACTCCGCGACATTATACAGGTGGTACAAAAATTGGCTGGCCAACAAGGAGGAAGTTATCTCCAAGTACGGTGTCAAATGGTACAGAATTTGGGAATTCTTCCTTTCTTACTCCACTATTATCGCCAGACAAGGTTCTGCTACCTGTTATCAAATTGTGCTCAGAAAGAACATCAATTCCTATCACAGAATTGAAGATGTTCCGCGGCAAGAAGGTTTGCTTGCTCCAGCTTCCAGGCTTGAGAAATGGGTCAAATAGTCGTTTTGGATTATATGTAAAAGCATGTTTTTTTTATTTATATCTGATTTCTTAAAATGTCTTAATCCCAAGACCAGGTGATCTCAATTTCACCTATCTCCTGGTCTGCCAGCTTGGAGAATGCAGCTGGAGAAAAGTCCAAATCATTGTCTCCACATGACTCGCAAGAGTCAACGACCTTGACCGTGACAGAGTTGCCGTTGTAGCTGGCAGTGATGGTCTTACCACAGTAGGACGAGACATCCTCACCATTGACAGAAGTCTCATAAAGGGAGTGAGAGATGGCGCAGACCAAGTCAGAGTTGGTGCTAGAGGTTCCACAATTGTCAGCTCCAACTTCATAAAAGGTTCCTCTACCGGTATGAGCACCACTAGACGAGACACTTGCAGAAGTTTCGCTTTGAGAAGCGGAAGACTCGGCAGCAGAATTAATTGTGGTTGTTGAGAAAGCTGAGGAGGATAACATTTGGCTACCAGGTTTCGAAGTGTGAGCAGAACTCAAGAACGAAGTGGACAAGGTAGTGTTTGAGTTGAATGAGACAGAAGTGCTCCTAACTTTGGGAGCACCAGTAACGCCTGTGGAAGCTGGAACCTGGCCATCCGTGGAGTCACCTGTAGGTTCATGACCAGTTCCAAGCCATTCAAGCTCGTCTGTTTTGACGGTTAGGTGGCACTTGTTCTCAACATAGCTCACAGCTTGAGCGACCTTTTCTCCCAGATCCTGGGCTTCGAATGGAGCTGCAATGGTGTAGGAAGTGAGTGCAAGAATCAAAAGAGTAGAAGTTTTCATTGGTGTGTGAACAATCTACATTGTGACGGGAAAGGGGGGTGACTTTATAGCGTTCTGTAAATGCGTATTACATCATATCATTCTTCCGCCTCTTCAATAAACGAGAGATTTGTCTAGGTCATGGCCCTAATGGAACGGCCCCCTGCATATGCGCCGACCCGCCCTTCTGGGCCAGCCCAGGATATTTATTGGAGAATAGGGGCCAACAACAGCCAAACGCGCTTTTCGCGTGAATTTCTCTTGTTCAAATCTGTATCATGGCTATTTGATGCGATAATTGCAGGCTAGAACCATTTTGATTCCTTAATTTGTTAATTAATTATGCACATCATATCTGAAAACAATAGTATCTGTACAGGATTTTAGCGAATTTAATTTTGAGGCTGCATGATCGGTCTAAACGGTAAAAAAAAAGTTCTATTTTCCAATCTCCAATACTTTTTTATAGCAGTAGAGTTCAAGAAGAAGTTTGCGAAGCAATTCTTGGTTCACTGGAAACATTTTGGCGATTCTTTTCAGTTTCACGGAGTTCATTCTCTGATCATATACCCAGTGCTTCAGATCTGGAAGTGATAACAGAGAAGGAATTTCTTTATAGGGAAAGCAAAGCCCTTCCGGATCGATTGTAAAAAGTTTCTTTTTAGTCGTGGAAACCAATTGCGAGGTAAATATCAGATTCTTTAATGCAAGAAGTAACGACGACTCCTCGTAACCCAAGGGAGATCCGCCCAAATCGAGAACTATTGTGATTATCAAGCTCAAAAATTGCTTATTCTCTGTTGCGTCATACAGATAGAAAGCATTAAGTCTTACAACTAGTGCTTGGTAGAATAATGATTCTTCATTCAAATATGCTCCTCTTTTGATCGACTTTTTAGAGCTCAAAGCAATATCAAAACACTGTTTCATTTTCGTAGCTACCAAAAGGATGTCTTCCTCTCGAGAATAGATCTGACTGATGTTAGACAAAAACCAGTACGACTCCCCTTTCTCACAGCAAGGCCGGGTTTTCACAAAAACCAAATTTCGGATTGTTGGAGATGAAGTCGAATAAACAAATTTGATGAACTCAAGAGTATATTTGTGAGTGACTCTGGAAGCGGCTTTTTCGATAGTCCCTGTTAATTCCGATTCTTTGAAACATAATAGACTAGACCAAACCATAGACTGAAACAAAGGATTTCCGATGGTAGAGGTCATCAAGGTATGACAAGTTTTCAGGCTTGGTTTCTCTGCTATTGCTTTGAGGCCTTCATACAAAATGGACACTATGGTACTGTTCTTGTTTATGTTGTAGTAGACTAGTAGATTGTCAAAGAAGTCTCCCAGTACCAGCAAGAAATGATTTTTTGAGTCATGGTTTTTGCATAGTTCCATGATATCAAGGTAATAATTGAGTGACGAAATATAAAGCTGATATTCTTGGGTCTCTGTAAAGAGTTCGGTAGTAATTTTGTTTTTGACTGGATCCCTTTTTAATCTATTTTCGCTTTCCTGCTCTCGCAAAGATAAAGGGTACTTTAGGAGAGTTTCGCAAAGTTGGGATTCAGTGAAATAGAGGCGAGTATGCTGAGATACGTCGATCAGCCTAGCCAAGCTACCCAGCAATATATCCCGATACTGAAGCGTGAATTTTTCGCCAGGTGGGGAATAGATGGTGGAATTTATAAACCTGTGAACGAAGTCGAACGTGGGGAATCGTTTCTTTGATGCTTCATAAGAGTCTGATTTAGGTATTTTGATTTTGAACCATTCCTCTGCAAGTGCTGGAAACTTAGTATAGGTTTGAATGATACTGGCTACAAGAAGAATAGAACACTTCAGGAGCTTTGAATCTGGTGCAGCATGTAAACCTGATACAAAATTCTCTAGCGCTTTGCAAATGTAAGAAGAGTACTCATCCATTGTGTCATGAAAATGCTCATAATTCTTTAGCACAGTGAAGAACATGGAACACAATTCTGTTGTTACCGAATGGTCGCCAAAACGCAGCGCAACGATTCCAACACGGGATTCCAAAATACCGCTCAGTATCAATGATTCATACCGCTCTTTTAGACTTGTGGAAAAGTTCTGATTCAAGCGCTTCAATGATATGTATAGTTCATTGAGAGTATTATCGTCACACTGATGTTGTTAGTATTGAGATGGACAAAACTCACCTTGTTCAACACGCCGACGGTAGAGCTTTGAACGTTGTCGAGCAAATATTGGAAACTGGAGTCCTGTTTCTTTTGGTTTGTCACAAGAAACCTAGAGTTTGAAGTAACGGGGCGCTGTGTTGAGTGTTGTTCTAATCCAGCCGTTTTATTTGGGGAAGCACTGAGGCTCTTCATTTTAGGATTAAAAAACAATGTTGCCCTTTTTAGGGATACAAAGGCTGTGCGCCATGTTAAAAATTAAATCAACTAAAAAAAGCAAGATGTGAGATCTGAAACATCCACTAAATATAAATGAAGCATCCCCTACCAAATCTAGCACTTGACAAATCTTGAAACAGTTTGATCCAGAGCAAAGGTGACATTTGGCGCACTAAGGCTTTCATTTACAGGTTTCAAAACAAACGTGCAACAAACTTTTGCTGGCTTTTGACTTATAAGAAGGATCGAAACAGGTATATTGATTTATATTGATAATTCCTTCAAGTGGAATAAATCAGAATGAATAATACATCCTATATCAAGCCACTAAACACAAGATCGGAGTATCCTTACCTATCAGGCCTTCAAGGATGGCAGGGATCTGATTATAATATTCAAAAATCACTAGCGCATCAACCTGGTGATGGCCATAGACTTGTTGCCACCCGTGCCTCCGTTAAAGATTCAAATTCAAAGACTACTAGGACCTTAGCATCCTTGAATCCCCAACAGACAAACAATAGGACAGGGAAAGGGAACGTCAATAATAAGCAAAACAATGAAAGCAAAAGCTCCGTTCCATGTTTCAAGAATGACTATTCAAATCATTACATCCATTCTGGTGTCCTTCCAGTCAAATATGTAAGAAACGCAATTCAACCTGTGGAAGGATATCCCAAGCTACAAAAGCTTATTAAACTTAAAGAGCAACAGGTGATGAAATATGCTACTAGAGCTTATGGCTCAAGAGTCAAGCCTGAAAAAATGGTTGATACGTTGAACAAGTGGATATACGAGGACAATTTACAGTTCGATGTTATCATGATTGGTGCATTATCTGAAAACCAGTTATTATACCCCTTAATATCGCAACTTCCAATTGATAAACTGTGTGCTAAACCGGGATTTTTGTTCATCTGGGCATCCACTCAAAAAATATCCGAGCTTTCTAAACTTCTTTCAAACACTGGCACATGGACAAAGAAATTTAGGAGATCAGAAGAGCTTGTGTTCGTCCCTGTGGACAAAAACTCGCCATTCTATCCCACCGATTCACTAATCCCTGAAGAGCAATTGCTAGAACAAATGCAATGGCATTGTTGGATGTGTATTACTGGAACTGTACGGAGATCATCAGATAAGAACCTTATTCACTGCAACATTAACACTGATCTTTCCATTGAAAATGCTTCTACGAAGAACTCGGCCGTTCCAGCTCAGATATACCAAGTTGCCGAGAATTTTTCAACTTCCACCAAACGGCTGCATATAATCCCATCAAAGACAGGGCTTGATCATCCTGTCAAACTGAGGCCAGGCTGGGTTATCCTGAGCCCCGATGTTATGCTCGATAATTTTGATGCATTGAAATACAAAAAGGAGATTGCAAGTCTGGGTTCAAATATTCCTCTTGACGACGAAATTGAACAGTTAAGACCCAAGACTCCAGTTTAATGTAAGCATTATAACTTTGCTAAAAAAAAACCTAGCATTTCAGATTTTTAACAGCTGCCAATTAAAACTTTCTGGTAGAGAAGTCTGTATTTTGAACCTAATGTACAGATTTTTTCAGCTATATATGAACAGACTGACTTAATGACATTCGATCATCTGTCAAATTTAAGAATTGAAATAATTTCAAACAATTATTGGGACATTGTTTGAAAATTTAAAGATCAACTTGTAATAACACCTCACCCAACCGCAAATAATAAATATAATCAAGCCCATAGTGTACAATGTGTGAAACATCACATCCCTGTTCTGTTTCTCAATGATATTTTCTTATGCACCAATGGAAGAGACATACCTTCCACTCTCAAGTTCATCGATAGTGGACTCAATGACCTCATCGTCATCGTCATCTTCAACTAATTCAATGGTAGCATATTTGATTAAGTCCCACTTTTTCCAAAAAAGTAGACACTCATTAATATCGTCTGAGTCCACGAAATCCTGCAGATAATATTTTGTCTTGATGAGTCTATCCTTCAGTTGCTGCAAACGCACATTTTCAGGAACTTCAGATACACGACGAGTTGTTGATTTCGGGACATCTGCAGGGTAATCACTTTCATATTCCGTGATGTTTGTGTTTGTGGATATTTCTGATTTATAACCCTCTTCTTCGTCAGAAGTAATTGCAATAGAGGTAGGAGTTTGCGGAATTCCATTTCCCCCGTCAAATCCATACACTTCATCCTCATCGACTGCCGTGGCATCACAATATCTTGCCCAGGCTTCATCAATGGCCCCCACAAGGTATTCAAAACAACGACTTCTTGCTGCAAAATCGGAGTCTGGGAGACAACGTCTTGACTTTGGGCTCATGTCCAGAGATGGAGCCTGCGTCACATTGAGAGGAGAAGACACGGCCGATCCCCTTCTACTGAAGGAGTTGTGACCGGCTGCATTGTCAGATGAATCCTCCTTGCGATCCCGTTTCTCTTCTCGCTCGTCGTCACTGTATTGGCTGACAGCTTTTGATAACTTCGAATCCATCATTGCTGATGACAAAGAGTTTCTTAAAAGCTCTCTGTGACTTCTTCTTTTATTTCTTAACCTGTTTCTATCTCTGAGAGTTGTTGGCTTTCTCGAAGCTTCATCTTCAGAAGACTCGTCCTCACTCGACGAGTTTTGGCAACTACGGATGTAGAGCAAACTGCCTTTATTAGAGGACAAGGGGCAGTGCTTTTTGCGGGAAGGACATGAAAGTGACGAGATGGGATTGTTCTCCTTATCGTAATCTGTGTTCACAGATGATCCTCTTTTGATTGAGAGAACCATTTTGGGCGTGTACCTTGCACAAAAAAGGTTTTCCTTTTTTAGGTAACTGACACGATTTCTCTTGACAGCCTCCTTGCTATTAATAACCAATCAGAAGAAAGTATTGGCACAAGCACAACTGAACGTAACAATTAAGTAGTCCAGAAGAACGGTAAGCCCTGTAGTAGTAGTAATATGACTCTAAAACCTCTCTATTTGCAACCAAATATAAGGCTTGAGTACTAGTACCAGCTAAAAATTAACTTGGCAGAACTTGGTGAACAAGTTTTAAAACACCAGAGTGGCAAATTTGCTGGAAAAAAATTGTGGAAATAGGAAATGTACAAGGATAAAATAGTGGGTGGCGAATTGCAGCCAAATTATGGTTCGCAGAAATTTTCTGTGCGGCGCACGCACCTTAGAGAGTAAGACGTGTCTAGAAAATCTTTGGCTATGGTGGTGTATGGATGTCTTCGTAAGGATGTTCTTTGGTGATGAAACTAGCTATATTCGGTGTTGTTTTGGTAATCCAGCTATTGTCACCAGATTGAATGAGTTTCCTTATGCTTGACGAGCTGAGATTATCTGTATGAGCATCTCCTTGAACTAAGAAGATTTTTTCAGCCCATGTAGGGAGTGTGTCTGCTACCATGCCTTTTTTCATTCTCTCAAGGTATTGCATCTGGGATTCTAGAGGATGACTACCGTCATTCCTTGTCAATACGAAACAGTCGCTCGTGTCGAAAAACCCACCCAAGGCCTCCTGCAAAGAACGAGGCTCGTAGTATTTTGGAGCCAGAAGTCTAACTAGAGTATCATAGCCAAGCAGAAAGGTAAACCTCAAGTGGTTTGTGTATTCTCTTTTGAAGTACTCCTCTAAAGTCGAAGCTTTGTCCACAAAAAGGGAGCAATTGGTGATTCCGATAGCGCAAGAGACTCCAAATTGATCAGTAATTTCTTGAGCCAAGTAGTACATCATTTTAAGACGGTCTTCGAACTTGGCAGGTTGTGGTTGCTTGTCGGCATTTTTAACTGAGAGTACTAATAGCACTGACCTTGAGTTTACGCTGCTGTGAACAGTTGATTCATCACCTAATTTATGTGTGAGGGACTTGGCTACCAATGATAAATGACCTTTATGAGGGGGGTTGAATGAGGAGTCCAATACAAGGATACGATTTGTTATTGGAAGAACAAACTGGTTATTCGTTGCAAAGAGCAGCTTGAAAGATTTGGATGTGGTCTTGAGAAATGAGTTCAAGTGAGGCTCAAAACTAAACATTTTATTTAATAAAAAATCACGAAAATACAGTGATTCTTTTCAGGAATCAAGAGTAGAATCGTTATCGGATTAAATGGGAAGCTGTGCTTTTTTATTGATCCGTTTTATATATTTTATTAATTCACAACTCTGGACCACTCGCTCTCAACAACACCATATTGCAACTCAGCAATCCAGTCTGCGATTTGTTTAGTCAAAGGACCAGATTGCTCGCCAGGAAGCAAAGGAACATTGATAGCAGTGCCGTTATAGCCAATCTCTTTGATTGGCGACACAACTGCAGCAGTTCCGGCACCAAATGCCTCGACCAATTCACCAGATTCGGCCTTGGAGGCAATTTCAGTGATGGTACAGTATCTCTCGTTGACATCCCATTCTGATGGATCGAGCCTCTCTCTTGCCAGGCTCAAAATAGAATCTCTTGTCACACCCTCCAAAATAGTGCCGTCCAATGGCGCCGTCACCAACTCTTTCTTTCCTGTAGCCTTGTCTTGGAAAACAACGAAAAAGTTCATGGTACCCACTTCCGTAACGTTCTTTTCTGGACCGAATAACCAGAGATTTTGTTGATAGCCTCTAGAAGCAGCCTCAAGTTGAGGTTTGATACATGGAGCGTAGTTTGCTCCAAGTTTCTTATCACCAACTCCTCCAGGCCAAGCTCTGGTAGCGTAATCGGTCGCTTCCAATCTAACTGCCTTGAAACCAGTCTTATAGTATGGTCCAACAGGCGAACAAATGACAAACAGAAGAGCTCTGTCTGGAGTTCCAACACCAAGACCTGCTGTCGTTCCAATCATAGTTGGTCTGATATATAGAGAGTATCCTCTCTCTTGTGGGATAAAAGCACCGTCGATCTTCAACAATTCCCCGATGAGCTTGATGAGTTCTTCGGAATCAAAAGTAGGCAAGCATATTCTAGCAGCAGATTTGTTCATTCTCTTCATGTTCATGTCTGGTCTGAACATTCTGATCTTTCCCTTACTATCCTTGTATGCCTTAAGACCTTCGAAGAGTTCGAAAGCATAGTGAAAAACGCAAGAAGATGGATCAAGAGAAAGATTGCCGTATGGTTTGATCTCTGGAGTGCCCCAACCGGACTCTGCAGTCCATTCAATAGTCAACATATGATCGGTAAATGATTGGCCGAAAACAAGCTGGTCATTAGGCAGCTTAGTCTTTGGTGCTGTAGTTTTGGTGATCTTCAGCTTTGAAGAATCTAGCGCAGACGACATGCTCCTTATAAAGTTTTTGCTTCTGAATGACTGTTTTAGAAAAAACATTTTGAGGTTGATTTTAGACTAAGTTGGTGAGTAATTTACAGATCTCCGGAAATGATAAATTTTCATTGAATTTTATCAAATTTCGGTTATTAAGGGAAATGAGGTAAGAAGTGTTTTATCTGAGATGAGCTGACTTAAATTATTTTTGGCTTGTAAATTTCTTACTTGCTTCCAGTTTCCTATCCAGACTCCTCAATCTCTCGTTCTTTTTTTCCTCTTGATCCTGGGAAAGTCTACTCAACAATGCAGGATCATGCGGGCTCTTGAATGCCGACTTGAATAAACTTAATTTATCCGTCTCTGGTATCTGTGCGTTACTCGATAAGGCCTTGTTCTTAACCTCTTTCTTTTTGCTCTTGTCCCCATTTTGCTTCTTCAGCCTGTTCCGTTCGATCGCAGATCTTTTCTCCAAAATCTCAACCACCTTTTTAGTTTTATCGAATAAAGCCGCTTGTAGTTCTTTATTGTTGAGTTCAGAGCGCTGTTCCTTTTTGACAATTGAGCATTCTTTGACGTAATTACCACCATGCAATTTAAGGAACTCAGGAGAGTTGAGTGCAAACAAGAACGACTGCATTCCCTGTTCTCCGGATTTCAAAACGAACCACCAAAAAGGATACAAAATCAAATAAAGCAGCAGGCCCCAAATGGAGCCCATGGAGAGAATGCGGCGCATCGAAGGGGTTCTTACCAATCCTGGGTTCACGACGTTGATTTTCGTGTTATTTGGTTCACCATCTTTTCTTTGAAAGCTGTCCAGCCTGCGTTGGTACTCTTTTGCAAACATGGAAAGCATTAGCTTTGATGTCCCATAGACCTTCCATGGCTGGTTTGCAGGGTATTTTCTTTCGTCCCACAACAAATCGTTCAGATCGATCTCACCTATTGACTGACTCATACAGCTGGCCAGTAATATTCTAACATCTCTATCTGCCAACTGAACTTTGAGAGACGGTTCAAGCAATGTGAGCAGATGAAAGTGGCCTAGGTAATTGATTGCCATTTGACGTTCAACGCCGTCTATACTTGATTCTCTCACCTTGCCAATTGGTGCCGCTTCGGCTGCAAGGCACAGAATCCCATCAAGACGACGCGGTGGGGACTGATCAAGCCAAGTGGTAGCAAATTTTCTAATGGAATACAAGGAGGACAAGTCACAATGCTCCGCGTAAATCAATTGGTTGCCCGTGTCGTTCCTGAGATCATCGATATAATCTGTAATCCACGCACCTCCTGACCCATCCTCATTCAACTGTGAGCTCAACAGAACAAGTTGTGCACCTCTATTAGCAAGCTCGCGCACCAAGGAGGCGCCGATACCCGACGTTCCTCCGGTCACGAGATAAACTTTACCGTGTAAGTCTCTCTCCCACGTATTAGTTGATCCACCAAAGTAAAACTTTGTGAGTCCTGCTGTAAGCAAGAGCGGTCCGTATTTTTTTGCATAGTCCCACCCTGGAACTTTATCAGTACCTTCCAGCAGTATAGTACCTAGAATATTGAGTGGCATAGTATCACTAAAATAGAGGGATCAACGTAAAATCGATGAACAAATAATTCACACAGCCTTGAAAAAAAAAATTATTTGGAAAGTAATTCAACTATTGATCAACATGGACGAGTTACTTTTCTACAACTCTGTTGGTGATCCCTCCAAAAAACATTCTACCTCGTTTGGATTTTTGTCTAGTATTCACTCGTCGCAACAAATCGGTCAATATCGCCAATGTTACTCGAACATTAACGGCACAGCACTCACTGGGGTTGGTGGTGAGCACAAGGTTATCGTCGCGTGCAAAGGCAAGGCACTCATTCAGGTATACTTACACGGAAAGGAGTCGCCTGAACAGACCATTCCTTTGCCAGAAGAAATCAGCTGTCTCGAAATCTTTCCACATCCAGATTCTCAAAGATCGTGGCTTTTGGTTGCAGGAGCAGTGAGTGGTCGCTTATACGTCTGGGAACTGGACTCTGGCCTTCTTCTCACCGTGAAAGAGAGCCATTATCAGTCTGTGGGCGTGATCAAGTGTACTAAAGGATATATTGTGAGTGGAGGAGCAGACTCCAGAATCGTCGTTTGGAAAGTTTTGGATATTCTGTCCGACTCACATAAACCCTATGCTATATTCACTGATCATACTCTACCAATTACTGACATAGCTATAAGCTCTGGGCTCATTAATGATATAAAATTGTGGTCTGTCTCCACAGACCAGACTGTCCGCTGCTACGATTTGACCTCTTTGGCTTTGGTGACAATGTTCGTTGCACAGCACCCCATCCAGTCCATTGCAGCAGACCCCGCATTCAGATGTCTGTATATTGGACTAACCAACGGAACCATTCGGATGATACATCTGTTTCAAGCATCTCCACAAACACAGATATGGGAGCAAGTTGGTGGTTTTGGCAAAATCATCACCTTGAAAGACGATACGGACCTGCGCGAAACCTTCACTAACCATCAGATTGGAGAAAATCCAGTGACTAAAATTGCAGTATCGTTCGATGGCACACAAATTGTCAGTGGCGACAGCAATGGAAAAGTGTTAGTTTTGGACGTGGCTACAAAACAAACTGTGCGCACCTTGAAACAGCTTGCTGGGCCTGTCTCAACTCTTAAACTATTCAGACTGGAGGCTAATACTGTTAGCAATTCTGCACTGAAGACTGCTGTGCGAACAATTCCCGTCCTCAAAAGAAATCTTGTGGAAGACTCAGACCTCCAAAAGCACGAGGTCCATAGAAAATTCACTGACTTTGAAAGTCTCCAGCAACTTGACCTTGAAAGCTTCTTAGACACTGTTAAATCAGAACAGAGGTGGTTCCATAACTTCACTGGAGTTGACTCGACTGTCAAACAAAATAAAGAGAATGTGAGATCCGAGTTGGAAGAGCTGAAAGAGTCTTATGCAAGCATGAAATCCAAGTATGATGCACTCTATGACGAACACTCCAAGCTTTTAATGAATAGTAAGTAGAATTAACTCATTTCTTCTTCTTCCTGGGTGGTGAGAGTGGGCGATTGAATCCTTTTTCACGGTTCATGTACTGGCGATATTCAGTCTTAGGTAATTTTCGGGCACCAAAAGCGTCATTACCGTTGACTTTCTTGTTTTTAGTTGACCCAAAGCCATCAAATCCAATTATAGATGACAATCCTGGTTCACTTTCAACAAGTGGCTCCTCTTCACTATCAGAAAATCGTCGGCCACGATCCTCTTTGTCTGTATTGTCCTTTCTCGAATCCGTTTCTTCTTCGTTTTCCGGGGATGCTTCAGAACCTTCGTTTAATTCCGTGACTTTATCATGGCCTGTTGACTTGCCATTTTCTTCAAGCGGTGGCTTCACAACACTGCCTGTCTGTAGCTTTTCGGCCGTCTCCCGGTCCTTGAGCTTTATCTGTATTTTTGGCATTTTTTTTTTTTATCTAAAAAATTTGCTTGATCTTCAATGTCTGAAAAGCTTACCAAAAAGCAACTGAAAGCGCTTCAGTTCAAGTCTAAAAACTCTGAAAAGGCTGCTGAAACTCTAGAGAAAGTGAAACAGACCAAGCAGGAGCCGCAGAAGAAAAATAAGACCCGCAGGAGAAGGACATCGCAGGAGAAGAAAGATCGCAAAATTCTCTTCATAGGGAATTTACCTTATAATGTGTCGAATGAAGATCTCGAGAAACACTTTAAAAGCTCGAGTCCTGATAAAATTCGAATTCGTCAAGAGAAAGGCATAGCTTTTCTGGAGTTTGAAACCGAAACAGAGGACTACGTTAAAAGAGTGGAAGCAGCGCTGAAGATGCATCATACAGTCATGAATAATCGAAAGATAAACGTGGAATTGACGGTTGGTGGTGGAGGAAACTCTAAACAGCGGATCACCAAAATCAAATCTAAAAACGAGAAGCTTGAGAAGAGACGAAAACAACTGGAACTCAAACGCCACAAGCATGAGTTAGAAAAACGCAGCGCGAACACTGATAATGCCAATAAGGACGAGCCCTTGACATCCAATTCATCGATCCATCCTTCGAGAAAGCAACTAATTGATAAATAGTGATGTAATCGGTAATGTCGAAGAACTGAACGATCTATATGTCAAGCAGTGATTTGTATCTTTACTTTAAAGAATAGTGCATTTTTTGCTCTTTTTGACTTTCTTTTGGACTGGCTGGGCAGGTAGCGGTGTTTGCTGCTTATTTGCTGCTTGGTTTGTCTTCCTTTCCTCCGTTGGAGGATGTAGAACTGCTTTGATTGCATATTCAAAAATCTCGCTGACACCTTGTTGCGAAGCAGCTGAGCATTCCATGTAATTTATACATCCCACCTCCTTTGCGAGCTTCCTACCTTCCTCGAAACTGATCGGGCTCTGCCCATACTCTTCCAGTTGGTCAAGAACATGTGGATCATCCCTCAAGTCCCGCTTCGTGCCCACAAGCAAAATCAAAACATTCTTGGGAGAATGATGCTTGATTTCTGGGATCCATTTGTTTTTTACATTGACAAAGGATGAAGGTTCCACAAGGGAGAAGCAAATGATGAAGATTTCAGTTTGTTGATAGGAAAGCGGTCTCAAACGGTCATACTCTTCCTGGCCTGCAGTATCCCACAAGTTGAGCGTGACTCTCTCATCGTCGACCATCAAATTAGCGGAATAGTTATCAAAAACAGTTGGCACGTAATCCTGAGGAAATTGGTTCGTGGTGTAGGAGATCAGAAGGCAGGTCTTTCCGACTGCGCCGTCTCCAACAACCACACACTTTATGCTTCTCATTATGTTTGGTGGGATTCAACCGAAAAAAGTTGGAAAACGTTCGATCACACTGGCAGTCGAGAAATTTTTCGCTCAATCAGGAAATTGAAATATCAGGACCGATTTTACGCGTTGGTGATGGCTTGATATCGAATTCATGCCGATAGGTACCATTACAAAATTGCGGTCTTTTCAAGAGGGTCTGCTCTATCCGTCGCTTCTTGGACTCAAAAGCATTTGTGTCTGTGCAATTAGTAACTCATGCGTCGTCGCTGTATTTGTCGAGGGCGATGCACGTTTTAGTGCGCTTGCAAAGTTCCAATTTCCTGAGCAATAAGTTCGATTGCTCAATTTGCTCTAGTAGCACACATCAGGCAACAAAGACGAGAGTTTTTGAAATTCTGCCCCTTACTAGTGCGTTTCGCTTACGCAGTGATTTTTAAGCTGCATTATAATTTCCTAAAGCAATAAATTGAGGTTGGCATAAATGCTGCTATTGCAGTTGTAGATGCAGAATCCGAACGAAATATTCATATTTTGTATATATTTTCATAAATGCTACAGCGTCTATTTCAAATGGTAGCAACATCTGGCGTCTTTAGCTTCCTTGAGTTGCCAATTCACTGGGCGGTATACTGTTTATTTTATTATGAATTCCCACTTGCAGGGATGCATCAAACACTATAAATTGACGCTTCCTCCCTATTTACCTTTTCGACTTCTCTTCTTTCGTCAAGTTATACAAGTTTTATACCGTTCGTTGCAAACACTGAACAACTCACAATCAACCAATGCAATTCGTTACCGTGTTCCTTATGGCTGTCTCGGCCTCAGCTGCATCTACTGCTGTCACCGAATCTACGACCCAAACTTCGGTCGTTTCGGTCACCGTTAGTTCATGCGATTCTTCTGTCACTGACTGTCCGTTTTCCAACAGCAGCGCGCCAGTCTCAACTTACGAGGGTGGTGCCCCATTTCATGGTTCTTTTTACGCTGCTGGAGCTGCCGCTCTTGCAGCAGGTGCTCTTCTTCTCTAAGGTTTACGGTTGCAAAGCTGATTTGTCTATTGTTTGACCGGGAATCTGTTTGCGTTTCTTCCTTTTTTGCAGAGGTGGGCGGTTGACTCTACGTAATTAGCGCGTTAGACCTGATTAATTGTACCGGTTTTTTCTTCAAATGTATAACTGTTAATTGTTATTAACAGTGCTTGTTTGCGCCTTCCGATGTTGATCGTATATGGCCGTGGAGTAACAGTGCGGCCGGTTTGCAGGGCAATAAAGATATATTTCTAGCTACCTATCGTCGCGTCGCTCGACGAAATCTATGCGAGAAATATTATTTCCCACCTTAGAAAATATTATATTGAACATTGTTTAGCTAGGGTTCTGGACAGCACTCAATCACAGTGTCCTTGCAATGGACGTCTTTGTATCGATACTTTTGAGCGATGTTCAAGTTAATCGCGGTTCCTCGAAGCTAACGAAATTGACATTCAAGACACATGCCCAACAGGTGGTGGAAATCGACCTAGTTGCAAAGAAAATATCACAATCAACACCTATGGAGTTCATTCAGGATCGATCGAGGCTTTTATTGAAACTCCCTTCCTCATTCAGCATTGTTGAGGCCAAATTTGTAAAAGGTTCCCACTTGTACTTAGTTGAATTTATCGACGCGGATAATAAAGCGACGAAACATCCGATTGAAGCAGATTCTACTCATATGACCATTCAGCTCACCTCGAAGCTTAACGGGAAGTTTACTCTGCAATTAAAGGAGGGTAGTCAGACGCTTTCCCAGTTGTCAGTCTATTTCTATAGTGATTCGTCAGGCTCTGCTCCTTCACAACAAACCGAAATAATACATCCTACAAACTTAACAGAACATTCGGGGAGTCCATTCCCAATATCTTTGGAAGATGGACCCGTCTTTCGCGAAACGCTTAATGATTATGAAACCAAAATCACGAAATTAAAGCAAGCAATACGGTCTACGAATGACCTTTTAATTAACTATGAGTCCTTATCCAATCAGCTTTATAATTCAAGAGCATCGCTCATAAAGTCCTTTAGCGTCATCGAATCCACTTTTCCAACTTTCTACTATTGTGAGTTTGACAAATCTATTGTTTACTCATTTGAGAACCTAACGGATGAGAACAAGTCTGCCATAAAGCAGCTGAAATCCAGACTCTCGTCAACTGATAAACTCTCCGGACTAGAATCATATTTGGCATCCAAGAAACGAGTTTTCGAGGACGAAAGCAAAAAGTACTACGATTGGCTCTCGCGATTACTTAGTTCAGGCAAGTCAAAAGACGATAAACTTCTTCAGAAAAGAAAGAGCTTTGAATTGGCTAAGATTGACTATTTTGTTTTTCTTTTCGACACTCTCGTTGACCTTGTTTTGGACTTTTGCAACCCTCAAAGTCCCTTCATCAACGCATACAGCTCCTCAAAATCACAACGGCAGAAAATCAGAGCAGCAGTGGAACGCGCCTCTTCAATGGCTGAATTAAATGCAGAATTATCCAAGATACATGGCATTGCCGGCCCTAACAAGTCTGGTATCTTGTTTACCCAAGGAGGCCAAGGAAAGTCTGGTTGGCACAAGCAATGGGTTGTGCTTAACAACGGTAAACTTTCCGAGTTCATGGACTGGCGAAAAGGCACGTCAAGGCGTAACGAACCTATCGATATTTCTTTATCAAGCATCAAACCATTGGATATGGAAAAGCGCAAAAATTGTTTTAGGGTCATCACTAGTACTGGTATAGAGCACTATTTTCAAGCGACGTCTGAGGAGGATCGCGATTCCTGGATTCAAGCATTGTATGATGCAGGTCAACAGATTAATTTCCATAAGTCCAGAGGTGACTTGGCAGGAGATCCACTTTTTGTAAATGCTAAGAAGACAAGAGAGATACGGTCTTCAAGCAATGACTCGAAAAAGGAATCCCTACAAAATGACGGCCGGCACAGAAGAGTGTCCTCGGTTTCCTTAGAGAATCTGCGCATGGTTCAAAAAGCTGACAGCAGCAATACTCGCTGTAGCGAATGTGGATCAACAGAGTCGGTTGAGTGGATTTCTATGAATCTACTTGTTATCTTCTGTGTCAAATGCTCTTCTTGCCACAGATCGCTTGGGACCTCTATATCTAAAGTCCGCTCACTCAAACTTGATGTTTTCACTCCGGAAAGCTATAAACTTTTGCAGTACATTAACAACAAGTCAAGCAATGCTATATATGAGGAGTTGCTGCCCAAGGAATCTCACATTAGCCCTGATTCCAACGATAAAGATCGGCTGAGGTTCATCACCAATAAGTATGCCGCAAAACAATACGTTAATCGAAAAGACGCTTCAAAAGCTTCTGATTTCTTGATCCATGGCGTTCGAACTCATAATATTCCAGAAATAAGCAAAAGTTTTGCGCTTGGTGTTGATCGTGATCTGAAATTATACAAGCCGACTGATCATCTCACAAATCTGAAACCTCATGCATTTTCTGTTTTGGAGTATGCTTTAAATTATCCTTCGTTGGAGGGCAAGGACAAATCTATCAAAGTTTTTGATCTCGCTGAATATCTCATTCTGAATGGAACAAACTGTGGAGACAAGGTCCAGAATGTTATAGGCTTATCCGTCGAAGCATTGGATTATTGGCAATCGAAAATTGACCGCTTTAAAGGGAACTCTACCAAAACCTCTACTAGTGAATTGTTATCTCAAACAGCAGCAGCACCAAAGTCTACACCCAAGGAGCATAAATTCAATCTTCTCAAAAAGAAGTTGAAAAACTGAATTGTATTGAGGGAGCAAAAAATAAAAGGGCAGGCAGGCGCTAATTAGTTAATAAAATCACCTCTATTTATTATTCTCGATGGATGAAGGAGCCGACCATGCTTTTGATTTTGATCAACATGATCCAATGAACCTTGTGCATTTGGGCGAATGTATTGGCAGGGGTAACTTTGGAGATGTATACAAGGGAGAACTCGTGAAGACCTCTCAAGTGGTTGCAGTTAAAATCATTGACCTTGAGAAGTCAGAGGACGACATTCCTGTCTTGATTCAGGAAATCAAATTTCTGAAAGGCCTCAAGTCTCCGTATATCACGAATTGCTATGAGACTTATATTAAAGATGTTACTATGTGGATTGTTATGGAGTATTGTGGCGCTGGATCCTGTGCTGACTTTCTCAAATGTTTCAAAAAATTAGACGAGAGGGTTGTTGCCTTCATCTTACGAGATACGGTTCGAGGTTTGGAGTACCTTCATTCAATGAATAAAGTGCATAGAGACGTGAAGGCAGCGAATATCTTGGTCACAGATCACGGACAAATCAAACTGGCAGATTTTGGTGTGAGCGGACAGCTCACAGAGACTATGAACAAGAAGGAGACGTTCGTGGGCACGCCATTTTGGATGGCTCCTGAGATAATATTAAGACGTGACGGCTATAATGAAAAAGTTGACATTTGGTCTTTGGGTATCACGGCTATCGAGCTGGTAACTGGATTCCCTCCCTATTCTAATGAAGAGCCAATGCGGGCAATCTTTGAGATTCCTGATCGTCCGGCACCTATTTTAACAGGGGATCAGTTTAGTGCTCATTTAAAACAGTTTGTGAAAGACTGTTTAAACAAAGAGCCAAGCCGAAGACCATCGGCCAAAGCTCTGTTGAAAACAAAGTTGCTCTACAAGGTCAAGAGCAGATACAGTCCCATGCTACCTCTAATCACTGAGAAGAAATCTAAGATGCAGAGATTTAAGAAAAAACCCAAATTCTCGTTAAATTTTGAAGAGAAGCGTAGTGGCCAAGACATCCACTGGAATTTTGATCCAACGGTCAAATTGACCTCTCTGCAAATAAGCCATGGTGACCATTCGTCGCCTTCTGTTGGGTCATCCGGTGGTATGGATGAAAATGAAATGCACAGTGATCACGAAAATAGCATACTGAGACCGGAAACCGCAGTCACCCCTTCTACGTCACCATTATACAACCAGCGATCTGAGCATACAAGGATATCGAAACCACCGACTTTAGGACAGCGGTCCAGCAACAGTACTTCCTACCCAGCCATGATTTCCAAGGATTCCATTTCTGTTAAAGAAAACGTTGACCCCCGAGGCCAGTATTTCTACAATAACTTGATACGCGAATCGTTTGATAGCATCAGTCATCAATCACAATCCCAACGTTTCAGAAAAAATCTCGAGCAATTGAAGACTGTCATGTACGAGATGGAGATGCGTAATCCAGGGTTCTGTGAATTGTTGTGTCACAAAGTCTTCAATAGCATGCTTCAAAGTTGAGAAAAAAAAAGCCCTATTATTCCGCATTCTAGTAAAAAGTATCTATCTTCTTGCACTGCCTTACAGCAATCTTCTTGAGACAAAGTCATAAAAAATTGTAGTAAAAAACTTACAACCATGCACGCTAGGGATTGGTTATTGGCTTTCATTGGGGTGTTTTTACCGTTTGTTCCAGTTGGCATCAAACGTGGTATCTGTTCTGCAGACTTTTGGATCAACATTGCACTATGTTTCCTTGGCTTTTTGCCAGCTCTGATACATTGCTGGTATATCATATCTTGCTATCCGCATGATACCCATACGAGGTATACTGGAGTCACGCTACCTGGACGCGAACAACAGAACTATGGCAGCGTTTGACCTAGGTTCTAGTTCATGAAGGGACACTCGAAAGGGTGGTCTTAAATAACTTTGTGTATGTGGGGGAATATTTTATTTTGTTTACAAGTGTAATAAAGCACTCTTATGAGCAGTGCCACAATCTTCAGCAGGAACATCAGTCTCGAGTTCCAACATGGGTATCTGAAAACCTTTTATACCTGCAGCCCGACACTTAGCCCAACACAGTGTGGGTTAAAAGAATGGGAAACGAAGAACATGGATCAGTTGTATTTACCCAACCTGACCAGTATGAAAGTATGTAATCAGCTACCGTGATACTAACCAAAGCTATCATTCAATCTGGTTCTTGACGGCCAGAGTGTGAATCCTCAAAGACATCCTGTAGCCTGTGAAATGATTGCACATTGTCTAATGCAGGGCAAAATTTGGGAGCAGCTAAGATATTTGGCATCTTTCAAGCAGGAGAAGCTTCAAACCACCTGTTGCTCTATAATACTTAAAGACGATTTGCTGAATAGGCAAATGTATCAGGACCTCAAAAACAACGCAAACGGAATCGCAAAGCTCAACAACACATTGATATACATTTTGGATGAAGTCGTTTTCCATATCTACATTAATGACGATCGTCTCTGCCCTTCAAACAGCAACTTTATAAAGTTGTTAATGGAGGACCTCAATTATCTCATGGCATGTAACTACCTGCAACTAGAGTCTGCTTTCCCTTTGGTGTTTTGCTTTTATTCCCGTTCTATATTGCAACAATCATATGAGCTAGTGTCCTCCATCCAAGAGTCGCTTCAAAGGAGAACACAAGACCAATTATCGGGACGACGCGAAATCGTGATTGGGTTCTTGAAACAGGTCTCCGCAAAAAATATGAGGTGGTTCTGGTCGAAGCACAAGTCGCATAGAAACCCGGATTCCATCAAGGTTTTCTTGTTGGAGTTCTTCAATCATGAGGCTGCGCTGTAATGCACAGCTAATTTATGCCTCTTTATAGTTAAATTTCAATCGCTCCAACTCTAGAATTTCTTGACTCAAGCTTCCAATATCTTTAATGAGGGAGTATAAGGTAAGTGACGACAGGAAAGGAACGAAAAAAAGCATATCGAGAATTCCAGTATAAAAGCGAATGCTCATAAGGAAGATTGTCGCTGAGATCGCCATGATTGCAATAAGTATTTGAATATTGGTGAATCTATCAAAGAGTTCTCGAGGTTTAATGAATTCAACATGGATCAGTACTGATAGTCCAAGAATTGTCACGCAAGTAAGACAGCTGACTACTGGATTTTCACGCCGATAGTGTGGATGAGTGATGAGGATTAGATTAATTGCTGCAAAGCATATCTGGATCAAATATAGCACCTTGCTAAACCGATCGTCCAGCTTATTTCGAGGCCGAAGTTTGCTGAAGGGCACATTCTCCTTGAAGTTTTCGATTAGGACAGATTGGTCTTGCAAATCCAAGGGAAGGTCCTCGTCGTCCGTGGTATATTTTGAATTGATGACTTTGCGTAATCGGGGCATATTAAGTGAGCGAATTTATATTACACAATTTTAGTCTCATCGAAATTTAGCTATGCTACACAATTAAACGTCGGACTTTTCTTCCACTCTATGAGTTAAGGACATGACAGGTTCCAGCTCGCCAGATTTGATTGCCCGCAGTATGTTCTTCTCATCCGCTCTGGATTTTACGCTTTGAATTGAATGCACCAGATAAACCTCTTCGTCTTCCCTGATCTTTTCACCCTCGTGAACAATCGAAGGTTCTGACAAGTTGCTCTTTGGACCTTTGTATTTTCCTTTTGCATAACCCAAGTAGTAAAGAGTGGCAATTATCATGCATCCTGGCGTTATGACAACCGTATAGTTCATTGTCGTTGAGGAGACTGTAGGTTCGGCAGGGAACATCACCAAAATTATGATGAAGGCAATGAATGCACAAGTGATCCAGCCTATTATTGGGGACAATAAGTCACCTGTGTAAAATTTGCCTGGCACGAACTTGTGTTTTCCAGTTGTGAGTCTGAGGAAAATCGGGGTACCCCACGAAAAGTAGTTTCCCGCAATGTATAAAGAGAACAAGGCGTTGGCTGCTGTTGTTCCGATAAGACAAAGCAAACCTAGTAATAAGGCAAGGACCCCACCATAGATGACTGCCCTAATAGGGGTTGAGAGTTTTCTGTTGACAACCTTCACGATCGGAGCGAGAGGAAGACCGTCGTCTCTAGCGAAAGCCCAAATTTGTCTGGAGATAGCCGTGAGAATGGAGGCTCCCATCAGCCACTGGCAGAAGGCAATTAGCGACATAAATGCAATGGCCCAATTCTTACCCATCGCATTGTATATAATCTGGGCGATTGGGCTACCAAACTTGGAATCGAGAATCGCCGACACGTCTGGACCCATACATGAAGCAATGACAATACAGATGAAAAAGCCAAGAATGAAGCATGCTGAAACAGACCCAATTATTCCAATAGGAACGCCATGGGATGCATTTCTGGCCTCTTCGGACATATGAACACAGGAATCAAAGGCACCAATGGTCCAGACACTAGGCATGAATCCGTTCATCACAAAGTTGAACCCTGGGGTCCAACCACTCAGCTGTTCATTATCCGCAAAAATGAAAGAGCCCTTATTGAACTCAACGCCATTGACCTTGCAACCAATTGGCAATGCGATAAAAAACAGAACTATGAGTCCCAGGTTGCACACAATTGAAAAAGTTTGAAGTCTTGACACAAAGTTGGAGGCAAAGCAGGTAATTCCAATGTGGGAAATGACACAGGCTGCGTAAACACCATACGTTTTGCCGGAGGTGATGTCAAAGTTTCCGTCTTTTGAAATGGAAACTGCGGCCAGAATTTCGCCAGCGAAACCATAGTCCACAGAACACAAGGCACCCACCAGGGCCACTGAGTTCGTGTTTCCAACCAGATATGAAAGGAACACTTTGATCTTGTCTGGGGCATAGAAGTGAGTCCAGTAGAACAAGCCTCCTGATGTAGGCAAGCTGCTTCCCAGCTCTGCCATACTGATTGCAATCAATAAAACAAATGTGGATGCAATTGCCCATCCCCAAATGAGGGTGATAGTGCCACCGGTGAGACCCTGGGCCAAAACACTAGCAATCGATGGCAGCAAGCCCATGATACTGAATGCCACACCAAACACTTGTAACGTCGAAAACTTACGTTTCAGTTCCTGTTTGTACCCGATCTGAGCTAGCAGTTCATTATCAGAACTCACAAGTTTTGCGTTGATGATCTCCGGGCGTTGGACGTCTCGGTACTTGCTGAATGTCACGGCAATATCGTGAGAGTCGTGTTTCTCCATTTCGAGCTATAGTTTCCAAACGCTCGAAATAACAAGCTAATTATATATTTTGATCGCTCGGAAAACTCTGCTACTTACTGCTTATCACGGCATGATCAACATAGAGATCTAAAGTCTTATCATACAGCAATAAGATGCAGCCAAACAAACGCGCCTATTTACCGCCCGTTCCTGAAAAAGCAAGTTAAATACTCACCATCTAGTGTTTTGCGCGTCCCCGAGGATCCAGTACCGTCAAGATACCAAACTTTCTGCTTTGGGAGTCTGGAAAAACGGCATCATGCACAACAACTATAATGCTGCGTATGTCCACAATGAAAATCAAAAATCATTGGCGCACGTCTGCACAACTACCGTAGATAAGAAAACGTCAGCAATTCGTGCCGAATAGACACGAGGGCGCCCTGTTATTCTACTTATTCTAGTCACGAAAATCCTTGTCAAGAAATAGCTTCTATAGTGTAGTGGTATCACCTCAGATTCTGATTCTGATAACCCCGGTTCGAACCCGGGTAGGAGCTAATCTTCTTATTTTTTTGGACCTCGAGAAAAATTTTTGCCCTGCACTACATGCCCGCCCCATGGTGGCATAGTAACTTAGTCTTGACTCATAAAAAAATATCTTTTTAATTTCAAGCATGTCGTACAGATCGACTCGCTCCTCCGAGCAACAAAGTGTATCCTTTGAGGAGGCCATCATGATTGGCTTAGCAGCTGATGGAGGTCTTTTTATTCCTGCTGAGATTCCAAAACTCGATGATTCGTTTTTGGAGGAATGGTCGCAACTCTCCTTCCAAGAAATCGCGTTCAAAATCATGAGACTGTATATCAAGGAATCCGAGATTTCAGATGATGAGCTTAAGAACCTGATTAGCAGGTCGTACTCAACCTTTAGATCTAAGGATGTGACGCCTTTGGTTCCTTTGGACTCCAACAAAAACCTCTATCTTTTGGAGCTATTCCATGGACCTACTTACGCTTTCAAAGACGTTGCCCTCCAATTCGTTGGTAACCTGTTTGAGTTTTTCCTGACTAGGAAAAACTCTGCAAAGAAGGAAGGCGAACCAAGAGACATAATTACCGTTGTCGGCGCTACTTCGGGTGACACTGGATCTGCCGCCATTTACGGTCTCAGAAACAAGAAAGACGTTTCTGTGTTTATCCTGTATCCAACTGGAAGGGTGTCCCCATTGCAGGAGCGCCAGATGACCACCGTTTTGGACGACAACATCCACACTCTCTCAGTGAATGGTACTTTCGACGACTGCCAAGACCTTGTGAAGATGGTTTTTGGTGACAAAGAATTCAACGACAAGTACCATGTGGGAGCAGTGAATTCTATCAACTGGGCTAGAATATTAGCTCAAATGACTTATTACTTCTACGCATATTTCCAGCTTCTCAAGCAACTTCCAGAATCAGAAAGATCGAGTTTCAAGGTGAAGTTCATAGTTCCAAGTGGAAATTTTGGCGACATTCTTGCAGGATTTTATGCTAAGGAGATGGGCCTTCCAGTTGAGGAGCTAGTTGTTGCCACCAATGAAAATGACATTCTGGATAGATTCCTGCACAGTGGGAAGTACGACAAGTCTCGGGTCAAAGAGACCTATTCTCCTGCCATGGACATTTGTGTGTCATCCAACTTTGAGAGATTCCTTTGGTATATGATTAAAAGAACTAGCGGCTCAAATGACAACTTAAGAACAGGCGAGATCCTATCCCAATATATGAAGGACTTGGCATCAAATGGTGTTTTCGAGGTTTCCCCAGAGACCCTGAAGTTGGCTCAGGGTAATTTGGATTCTTCCAGAGTGTCCAATGAAGACACAGTGAAGACCATCAGGGAAATATACACAAAGACCTCCAATCATTACATCCTTGATCCTCATACAGCTGTTGGAGTGGCTACTGCACTTAGAAAGATTGCCAGTGATGGCAACGACCTGAATCTGAAATACATTTCGCTCTCTACTGCACACCCAGCCAAGTTTTCTGAGGTTGTGAACCAGGCTTTGTGTGAATTTGAGGGTTATTCATTCGAGAAAGACGTGCTTCCAGATGAATTGAAAAAGCTCTTTTCCATGCCAACCAAAATCAAACTGGTTGAGCAAGTTGATCTGAAAGTTGTTGAATCTCTCATCGTCAGCGAACTCGAAAGGGAGGGCAAGAAGTAGATGATGACTCATGGACAGCCATCAGGTTCGTTGTTTCGATCATTAATTACGATGGTTGGTTATGTAGCCCTTGGATTCACTTAATCTCTATATACACGAAAAAAATCTTAGAGGATATTTTCTGTTTTCGTATGTCTGCCTCTAGACTTCAAAGAGAAAAGCAAAGAAAGCTGGCTAAACAGGCAGCAATTGCTCATGGACAAGGCCATGTTCAACATAGCATAATGGGAAATCAGGGACCCAAACCCCAAGGGTCGGGATCGCAAGGAGCTCAGTTGTCCTCGAACATTAAACCTACAGATATTGTTATCTCCAAATCGATCGCGTCCATGTTTCCGGACAAAGCCGAAATGTACAACAAACTCAGAACTAAGGAAAGGGAGCTGGATTTAATGATAAATAAAAAAATCATTGACCTTCAGGAGTATCAACAATCTGTCGCAAACGGCTTTGTAGAAGACTCAAATGACTACCAAATTCTGAGAATTTTCATCTACAACACATCTGAAAACCAACCTTGGCAAGTGAAGGATCAAGAGGTAGAATCTTTACCGCCTCCGTCCTGGACGTTGAGAATCGAAGGGCGTTTGCTCAACGATCCCGAACCTTCAGACTCCCCAAAACGAAGAAAATTTAGCTCTTTTCTTTCTGGAATTTCGGTAGAGCTCAAGGCAAAAGATGGCAATGACGAAGACTTGACAATCGGTTCAATTAATGGCGGTCCAGATTCAAGGGTGATCGAATGGCATGATAACTTTGGCGCTAACGAACTCGAAAGAATGAAACATCAATTTGACGGGCTAGATATCAAACGGTCTGGTTCATCCATTCCTCAGTCAGAATATCAGGAAAACGAATCCCAGGACCCTTTGGAAAAGGAGATTGTGTGTGATATCGTCATTCAGCCAAAGATGTACCCAATCAAATTGCAGGTTGTGAAGGATGCTTTGGTTGAACTTGTTGGATCAAACGAGATCTCGCAATCTGACTGTATTCATAA